CAAATAATTGTCTTAATAAGTATTTCATGGAATGAGGCCTAATTAGACAATCTTTTCAGTTACATCCCAAGTAAGATCAACGTTGTCTTCCTCGAGTCATGTTCGATCGTGAGTTAATCGTGATAGTAAACAATAATATCACTACCTAATCATTGGTCGCAAACCAAGAGTAAGAATGAGTATCTGGCTTCATTGTTTCTCTATGGTAAATTGGCTCTCTTATGAATTGGCCAACTCTTTTCCTCTGTTTCTCTTTGATTCTGCCTATTTCTTCTCTTTTGACCTTAAAAAAAATAATTTGGGCGCGTGCCATGTTTCAGTTCAGGGTGTGGTAGCGTGAGGTTGTTTCTGCGTTGGTCTGCGCCATGTATACGCATAGTTTTCAGGCAAGGAAGGTCACAACACTATTAGTTGTCAACAGTGCTTCGACAAGATTAATGTTTATACTGTCGCCTATTTTTTAACTCCATATTCTTAAGCTAGATTTAAAAATTTCATTAACAATAGTTAGATGTACGTAGAACTCAGAAACACATAAAATGAATTTTCTTAATTCGATACGCATTTGTTTCTGCCATATTCATATTTCTGATTGTCATTTTGAGTGTTATTTGATTATAGTTTCCGTAATCTTATATTTTGATGTTACATGATTTACTCAACATGTATTTTGTTTCAATTTTCCAATGTACTTCATTTTTTGCTTTTAAATTGGTTGCGCTTGACACAAATTTGCTAAGCTATAAAGTGAGTCCAAACTATTACTCTAAATTACAGGCTCGGAGGCGAAGAAAGAAGTGAAAGAAAACCTATATCGACGCGATTGATAGTCGAGTCACAGTTGACAGATGTAAATGGCAAGGTAGGTAGTTGGTCTTAAAATATTACAACATTACATACAAGTTGAACATGAACATTTTCATCATAACTTGGTTATAAAGCAAAGATTCTACAATTTTCAATTAATTCACAGGGCACAGATAAAAGCAATAATACTGTTGGTGATCTAGTGAAAACGAATCGCTGTAAATTGACAGGTTGGTTCTATTTTCTATTTCATAAAAAATAATTTTATTGCAAGCGAGGGCGTATTGTTGGCTCATGTTGTTTGTAAAATGTATGCTTCTGAATAATTGATTCAATTTTTGTATTCCAAGATCATTTAGTACTATGCTATGGCCTAACTAAAAAAATGAGTTTATCTGCAAAAATCATAGCATCCTCCGATTTAGATTCACCTCACCAATACCTGGTAATCTCAATGCCACTTTGTAGATATTTGAATCAATAATAGGTCTAGATTTAGTTTAATTGCATTAGTAAGCTGTAAAACCTTAAAATACAACAGTAACGTAATACAAGCGTTGAAACATAGGCAGATTAGGGCCAAAAAGGTGTAGATAAACCAATTAACTTAAAAAAATCACAAAAATGAAATCAGTGCTCACCTGGCGGCGTCAAATTTGAAAAGACCGCATGGGAGCAGGGAAAAAGTTTGGATGTAATAAAGAAACAAAGAGAGCCGGGTAAACCACGAAATTAGGATGCCTTTTCATTGGTTATTGGGAATCACATGACTAGGTGACGCCAGAAAAAGAGGAGGGTGAAAGAAAAAGGGTGGAATATGCCACTTGTCGCATTAACCACCACTACAGCCCTCATAATGATCTTCCATGGACCATACAACCTGTGCGAATACGCGGTTATATTTGCTGTGTTTTATCTCATTGTTTCGTCATTACCATTTATTTTCATTATTTTTTCACGTCATCATTGTTCACTCACATACTGGTATTTGCGTTTTATTTCGTTTTCAAGGGTGATTCATCGCAGTCGTCTCATGGCTGATAATTCCGAATTTACGATTTACAAGTCAAATATCCAATCTGTGAATGGGAAAAATCAAGGACAGTACAGTCGCTAAAATAGAGTGTTATTGTGAATATTTTTGGGCATATATACAGGGTGTCTCAAAAGTAAGTACACACTTTTAATTTTGATTTGCTGTTCAGGTACTCATCATAGAGCGTTCATTTCTTCAGAAAACATAGTATGGATAAATAGTAAACTTTTGGAATTGTTTGCATTTTTCATCAACCTACAGAATGACAAGGAGATTAATCAAAGGAATGAGGTGCAAAACTGCTGTTTGGCAAGAAGCATATAAATCAGTAAGGCAAACATAGCGCCTTTCAAATAAGAATTTAGAATTAATTCAGCTCTGAATGTTTTCCTCGCCCGCTTCTTAGTATTCCCGATCTTTGTGCATCAAGTGCAGATCCAGTTTCCATAAATTTAAGATGAATTGCATAAATTGTTCGTCGTGTAGGAGCCGAATTAATTCCAAATTCTCTGTTAAAGAGGCGATGAGTTCGCTTACTGATTTATATGCTTCTTGACAGCAATATTGCACCTCATTTCTTGGGTTGATCCTAGGTTGATGAAAAATGCCAACGATATCTAAATTTTACCACTTACCCATGGGTGTCTCAAAAATGTCGTGTCCCACGTGTCTCACTTGTCCCAAGTATCCCACTTGTCCCACGTATCTCACTTGTACCGCTTGTCCCACGTGTCTCACTTGCCCCACGTGACCCACTCATCCCACTTGCCCCCCATGTCATCAATAACCAAAATCTTTTTGCTTGCAATTACCAGAAAGCCTATGTTGAATGAAAGTGCGACCTGCGGTTTTACGTAGTTATCATTATCTGATCCTCCTGTAGGTTGCACACCCTTGATTTTAACTATTTAAATTGCTTTGCAACCTAGTTCTTCGCTTGATATTTATCATGTTTTTTTCGATTTTCGTCATTTTTGTCTGTAAATTTAGAGCAATATGAGAATAATTCAGGTAATTTGTAGACCAATATGATATGTAAAAGTTAATAATGTCCCGAGCAGATGTTGACATTATCTATCGAACCAAGAAATTGTTGCCCCATCTAACATGAATACTACCATATTATTTTTATCATTCTATTGCATTTTTCTTTCCGATTTTATATGTAACTGCAATACCTTATATTTTTTCTGCCAAGATGTTTGTTATTTTATTGCAAGAATCAATTTCTTTTACTATCTTATACCAATTTCTTTTTATTTCAATGTTAAGTTCCCTTATTTTTTTCATCTTCAAGTCATTCGTACTTAATGATACTAGCCCAATTGAAAAAATACTATAGTCACAATTTTTTAAATCATTGTGATCATATATATTTGACGCATTCACTACAAAGAACATAAAAACATAATTTGTCTACAAATATCTCATTCATTGGGGGCACGTTTTTCAAACTGGGAAAAAATTCATCTTTGGCGAGTAATTATGTCCTTTTGAGAAGGAATCGGCTTTATATTTGCTGTAGCATTACGGATTTCCCAAAGTTCGCTCTGCCTACTATAATACAATGCACACATTCAATTAGAAAATACTGGAACTGTACAAAATCGGTTTAGACAAAGATCTAGGAATTGAATTAATACAGTAGTTTTTATGCATAGTGGGAGAAGAATAAAAAGGTTGAATGATTTGGTAAGGGAGAAGTTTAACGGAAAAGGTTTGGAATCACATGACTTTTACATATACATCTTATTCATCAAATGTTTTGTCCACATGTACAATACGTATTTTGTCCACATGTATCCCATTTATCATACATACCATTTAACAGATGTTTTGTCCACCAACAGCTCATTCGTAAAGTGTTTTCTTTTCATACATGTCGTTCGGTTTTTTTTTCACATATATCTCATTCACCAGATATTTTGTCCATATACATCTCGTTTCCCCGATGGAACAACAGCTCATTCGCGAAATGTTTTCTCTCCATACATTTCGCCAAGGGGTTTTGTCCACATATATCTCATTCGCCTGATATTTTGCCCACATGAATGTCGTTTATCATACATCTGACTAACCATTTATTTTGTCCATATATATCTCAATTCCCTGATGAAACAACAGCTCATTCGCGAAGTGTTTACTCTTCGTACATTTTGTCCAGAAGTTTTGTCCACATGTATCTCATTCGCCGAATATTTTGTCCACATGAATCCCGTTTATCATACATTTCATTCACCAGATATTTTGTCTATATATATATTTCGTTTCCCTCATAAAACAGTCGCCGTGATTATTCGCTCGTTAAAAAAAAGACTTTTTCAGTGAGACTCTTCTGTGGCGTATAATATTCAATCCATGGTAATTAACTTAATTGTGTCTAACGTAACTCGCGGTGGCGGTGGCATCTGTATAAAATATGTAATTTATCAGCCACCCGTTCGATTTTTAACTTTCTTATAAAGTATGTGCCGCTCGCATTCAATTCTGGCCCGCGAGCGACAGAAGGTTGCCGACCCCTTCCGTATACATTACAGGCAGGTAATGATATACATACCATTGCCTAAATTTTTTGCATGCATGTGTTTGTTCTAGGGTCCTTACAGTAACACTCAGCCAAGCAAATAACGCAGGTTGGCTGGCGCACAACAAACATAATATCGGGTTGACATGTAGGCTACTAAAAGTTGTGACTTAGAATAAGTGATTCATTTGGTGCTTGAATGTGTAAAATGTTCCTGGTAAGTCAGTTCAAAAAATGAATTTTATTGCATACAATAACTAGAATGTCGGCTATGCAAATGCTCCGAATCAATTCCAAATCACGTGTGCGTTATCAAAACGCTTTTAAGCTGGTATTTAAAGCATAGTTAATTTTTTCCCTCATTTTGTTGAAGCTGCTTTCAATATCAGGTTTATCAGAGTAAGTTGAAATTTCACTTATAGGATTTCTTTTACCTATTCAGAAATTCAACAGCAACGTAAAAGGACAGGAACGTGATTCAGTATAACAAAACTTTATGATATAAAACTGTTCAAATACGCAGGAAACATTACGAATATTCAGAATTTATATTTGTATACTTCAACGATTAAGTGTAATATTAATAAGTGTCTTACATTCAGTCCACCAAAGCAATCCAATAGCACAGCCGTAGAACATTCACTTGTATAATTCAGTTTAGTGATATTCACTGATCAAATTTTGTTTAATATTTTTCCATACAGGAATGATCTGGGAAAAGTGAATAAAACTCCGAAACAGTTTTTTGATCTACCCATGGAAAAAAAGAAGAAGTACGACATCAATCAAGAATGCTTTGGCTACATCGGGATCGGAGTAGAGAAGTGAGTACATGTTTCATACTTCCATATTGAATGTATATAAATTCTAGGTAGGGTTATCTTTGACAAGTCAATGATTCGCGTAATTTTTTAGAATCTTTTTACCGCGTGGGTTTGCGATTCTGCCTAGTATACAAGTAAGAAAATTGTGTTCTTTGACAATTTACATGTGGGATATTTTTATTTTAGAAACTCGGCTTTGAGGCCCGCAGATTATAAAGAAGGTTTTGATATCCCTGGATCTGCATTTGTACCTGGACGAGTGCTCTGCACTCTGAATGCAGATGACGCCGTATTATGCTATCTCGAAAAAAATTTGAAAAAAATTCTACTACTTTCCATCCATATAAGTGTGTGCTATATATAATTCATATGACAACATGGCGTATTACTTGTTCGTTGAAAACTTTCAACAGTTTCTGCAATCCGCAAAAATCTGTAAATTGAATTCAAGATAGTTTCGATTATCCCAACTTCTCTCAAATTTTCGGGACCTTGTGTATACGTTAGGTGCTACGTCAGACCTATGAAAGATTTCAAATGCAGTTCGTACGTTTAGTATGAACGGAAGATATCTTTCTGATTAGTAATTACATTGTTATCCCATTTTCATCAACACAGGATAAAGAATACTTGATGAAATGTCATTCTCGAATGAACGATGCAAGGAATTTAACGACGCTCAGAACACATTACTATTCGCACACACCCGATAAGTGTTCGTTCAAACCAGGTCAAGTTCGTCCTGGTGAACATACTGATTTTGGATCTTTTACTATTTTGTTTCAAGATAAGGTGGGCGGACTGCAGGTTGGTTTCAATTAGTATCTTTAAAATATGACATAGTTGATAGCCATTTTTCTACATATTTTAAACGGTTACAACAAAATATTAAGGTGAAAGCCAGCAATGGAGAATACGTGGATGCCACATCTTTTACTATTTTGTTTCAAGATAAGGTGGGCGGACTGCAGGTTGGTTTCAATTAGTATCTTTAAAATATGACATAGTTGATAGCCATTTTAAACGGTTACAACAAAATATTAAGGTGAAAGCCAGCAATGGAGAATACGTGGATGCCACTCCTATACCGGGAACAGCATTAGTAAACATAGGAGATGCATTGCAGTTTTGTACGCAAGGAAGACTCAAATCAACGGTAATTTAGTTTTTAGTGTCTCCAAAAAATCAAATTCACTTATAGGTGCTCATGTATACGTTTATATTTATACAATATAAGTAATGATGAACGTTTATCCAATTACAACTTAAAAATACGCCACACTACTTTGTATTAGCCCTTTCGCAAAAAATGTTGTCAACTAGTTTGGGAAGATGGTGCTTGGGGCTTCCGATGGCATTTTATGCTGTGCTATTTATAATAGATACAATATTGAGCGTTTATATTCAGAATATAAAATGTCATTTATTTGTGGCGGGAAATATAACTTTACTTTGGTTTTCGCAGATGCTTGATTGTCCTGTAGACCAGAGTTTTCCAACTTTGAGGGGAAATTTTATTTTGCATTCGCGTGTAGTATTTTTATTAAGAATCACTTTAATGCAGACGAGACAAAACCAGAGCACGCGATGTACGTGTCACAATCAAATTTTCCATTGAAGATTAAATAACAAATGGAAACAGAGCTTTATGCGTAGTAGGAAAGGGAAGAAGGTTTAAAATATGCCAATGGAGGAATGAATTAAACAGGAATGTGAACTAGGGCCTCACTTGTTCGAAAACACACCACTGACAAAAATAAGTTAGACTATGTACTCGATTGTGTAAAGTACATGTTTTTGTAATCTTGTATTGGACATTTTTCGAACTATAGTTGATTTAACAAGTTGAAAATTTTGTACTCCCGTAGTACGTGTACCAGGTTAGGGCTAGGTAGGGTTACCATATTTTTTTGACTTCAAAGCGGGACGCCTACAAAGACACGACCCCTTAGCTGTGATCCTGAAACTTTACAGTTTCTGATTTTACTACATAGGCCTACATTTAAATTTTAAAGTCATCCGGGTTGTCTTCATTGACCATATTGTCATCGAGAGTTCATGCGCATATTCTCTGTCGAAATATCGGGTTCAGTTCGAAAAATAGAAAGAAATAGACGCTAACGATACAAATGATCCGAATCTAGATTTTTTTTTGTACAGCAAAAGGAATAAAGAATAATGAAATAGTCCGTTTTCAAGCATTTTCCCTGTTCGCCCAAGCATGCTTTTCATGTAGATAACACTTTCAAAAAGACGTTGCTCAATGTTACATTCACATGAACGAGAATTGATTTTACATGTGATACGTTCGCTAACAATTTTAGCGGGAAAGAACGAAACAAACAAAATAACTCATACACCTTCAGTAAGTAGGCTAGCGTTGTGCTACACAGCAACAATAGTAACGAAAACATGTTCATGTATTATGCTGGTTGGCTGAACGCAAAAGCGGGACATTCAGCTGACTTGTCGGGACGGCGGGACAAGAGGCTAAAAAGCGGGACTGTCCCGCCTAAAGCGGGACGTATGGTAAGCTTAGCGCTAGGCCATTATTTTATTCCGATTTCCCTTACTTTAGTTCTATTACGAGTTCGGGGACTGTCTGTGTTAGCCAAGTGAATATCCCCCTGCCCATAGGTTTTAGTCCCTTTACACAACTTGACGTAAAATAGGTGAACAAAATTTGTTGCCTCCATGTTGGTACACATACCTCTGGAGCGCCGTACATTTTTGATGCATGTTACAACCGTTTTTGCACATATGTCAATATAGTAACAGTGTACCGTATGTTCACAGTTTCGAACTATATACATTTATTACAGGAACACAGAACACTGAAAACAATGACATTTTCTCGCCCAGAAAAGCTTCACAAGTCACCGATGAACCCGTTACTGTTCTTCAGTATTTGAAAAAGCAATACAAAAGCATTAACTTACAAAGGCTGAATGATCACAGTGAATAACAATGCGAACACTTTCAGATAAAATGTTAAGGAATCAAAATTTGTTTTATCATTACGATCAGCTTGAAATTAATTGTTCTGTTGCAACAAGAAAGATTATATTTACAGTATATATATATTTATATATCGTTTCCGTCTCTATTTTCTTCCTCAGAGCAGCAGTTTTTTCTTTTGATTTGAGCAACTGACGAATCAACCATAGCAAATAAATCTTATGTCAACGTTGCAAGTACTTAATTTTATACCAATTATTTATAGTCAATCACAAGAATAGAATCTTTTTACAACCCAGTTTGAAATTGGCCCACATTTGTTTCATTGTCCTAAGTTAGGATAGATAGAAAGCATGGTGGTGCATGACATTTTTGAGACACCTAAATGACTCAAAACAATACTACAAAAGCAAACTAAATTTTACTCGTACGTTTTTACAGGAGTGTGGTTGAAAGATTATGTGCCAAAAAGCCCACAATTATTTAGAAATCTAGATGGCAATAAAACGTTACTTCAAATAATCATTCATTACACTTACTTGTATTACAAATGTCTCTTGTGTGTATCTGAATGGATAGCACATTGTCTCACTCGCAACGAACGTTGCCGGAATGAGCTAGAAAACTAAGTCAAATAAACTTAATCAGCTTAATAAATGACATCATTAAATTGAAGACTGAGATGAGGATGCTTATATGTGCAATCGCTCTTTAGTGTGTTGAATTTAAATTTTGTTACTGATGTATGTCTATCGCACAATTCCACAAATTTTCTACCCTTTCTGCCTTTTCTGCCGTCGCCTAATGCGTTTTTCAAATTGAAGCGTCACGGGAGATTATGCGCCACTAGCCCACCACTGTAATGCAAAATTACTTTCTTTATTTTATTGGAATTTATGATTGAAATCTATATAAGCAGTCACCTATTTTGTTGTATTAGTTCGTGAAAGTAAACAACTGGGTCTGTATAAACTCGGACTCTGGGATACAAAACGGCGAACAACATTGGTTAATGATTTATTTTTATCATATTAGTTTGAGGTAAGTTATATCAAGTGCGATAATATGTTTGCACTAGCATGGCCGTAGGGTTCGAGTCATATATAGAAAATTTTCTTTAACGGGATTTTGATATAGTTCTTATAATTATACTTGAGTCAATCTATAAAACAACATAAAACTGCTGGAAAGTTTACTGCAACGTATTACAAAAGAATTGAGGTATTTGCAAGCAAACCTGATATCACATGTACAAAACCTTTCTGGTTAGATTGTAATATGTCGGGTCGCAGCCTACCTAGTTTGCTAGCGCAACATAGCTAACGTTAGTTAGTGATATCTTGAAATACGCATACTCGTTGGTGCACACCGTGAGTAAACATTTAATCAAACTAGATAAATGCCTGTGTTTACTTGGAGTTATGAGAACTCGGTAGTAGGCTAATCCTGTTGCGTAATCGTAACACTATACGAAACTGACGTTTGTCCTGGAAACTGTCATTTGTCGCGTATGTCAGGCTGCTGACATGTCAGACTCAGGAGTCAGCCTTGCAAAGCACGAAGGGTGGTTGTGGAAATGGACAAATTATGTTTCGGGATATCAAAAAAGGTGGTTTGTTTTATCAAATGGTGTGTTGTCTTACTTTTTATCTCAAGATGACGTGAAAGAAATATGCAGAGGGCAAGTTTCGTTAAAATCAACTTCAGTAGTTGCTGATGACTCTAGTCACTTCACTATTCAAAAAGGCAGCACATCGTTTTACCATCTGAGAGCTGATTCAGCAATTGAATGTGAAAGATGGATGAAGGCACTCGAATTGTCCAAAGCAACATCGATGGATGAAAAGGGTGCAGAAAATATTGCCAGGCTTGAAATGTCATCTGCTAATTCTCTAACCGATCCTAGTCTGTTGTTGCGCATGAAGCAAAAATTCTCTGATCTAGAAGCGCATACCAGCTTAATAACAAAACGTGGATCAGATATTCTTTTTTCTTTTAGTGAAATCGAACAGGAAATTACCAAACTCCAAGCCGACTCACTCAAAAATGATAAAAATGCAAAAATAAAAGAAGCAAAGAGTCAGCAATTTTGTTTCGAATTACTTCGGAAGCATGGTTACCACGTGTTCTGAATTTTTACAACTCGCAAAAAATCAAATTGGAGAATGCCAGAAAATATCGGAATTTTACAAAACCACAGCTACTAAATGCCTTTGAAGATGCTTCTGACGATGAAAGTGAGTTTTTAGATGCGAGTGATGCGATGTTAGATGTCGGGGTTAAACAAAATGAACAGAATGATCAAACTTCAACCCTGGTTACATCTGACAACGGATTTAGGATATTTCCTGACCCTCTTTTAGACGAAACTAAAAAATCAAAATATAGAGCCAGTATTCCGCTAAAACCAGAATACAAATTAGAATTGTGGTCTATTCTCAAACATCTAATCGGTCGAGATATATCCAAATTTGCCGTTCCAGTGAATTTTAATGATCCACTCTCTATGTTACAACGACTTGCTGAAGAACTTGAATCCAGCGAACTACTGGACTCGGCTGCTACCTGTACAGACTCAGCCGAACAAATGGCCCATGTCATGATATTCGCCACAGCTGCATATTCTACAACAGCAGATAGAATGGGAAAACCTTTCAATCCAATGCTGGAGAAAACATTTGAGCTAGATTGTGAAGAAAAGGGATTCCGAACCATTGCAGAACAGGTCAGCCATCATCCACCAGTGGCGGCTTACCATGTAGAATCAACAAAAAAAAAGAGCATGGAGGATGGTCGTACTGGCAAGAAGTCACGCCGCATATGATTTTTCGTGGATATTACGCGGCTGTCAAACCTATCGGAACATGTCACTCGTTTTTCACAAAACTGGGCATCATTACACCTGGAATAAAGTGTGTTTAAACGTGAATAATATCATTATCGGAAACTTATGGATTGATCAGTCGGGAGTCTCCGTATTTACAAATCACACAACTGGAGAAAAATCGAGTTTGACGTTTTATCCTTATAGCTATTTGTCAACGAAAAATTTTCGAAAAGTATCTGGCACCGTAATAGATAAAGATGGTATTGAACGATTTATCGTTTCAGGAACGTGGGACAAATCAATGTCATATCGCAAAATTGATTTATGGAATCGCGGAAAAGAGGAGGAAGTTGTATTATGGAAAGTGAATCCTAAACCGACTGGTGCCGATAAGATGTATAATTTTACAAGATTCACAATGATTCTAAATGAGTGGGAAGATGGAACAGCACCAACAGATTCTAGAAGACGACCAGATCAACGAAAAATGGAAGAGGGAGAATGGGATGAGGCAAACAGTCTTAAAATGGAATTAGAGGAGAGACAAAGATATAGAAGGAAATTGAAAGAACAAGAGGATGCAAAAAGAAAAGCAGAGGGCCTTCCTGATGAACCCCACGAGCCGCGTTGGTTCAAAAAGGAAATTTGCCCTTTGACTGGAGAGAATAGTTGGACATATCAGCATGAATATTGGGAAGCTAAAGAAAAGCAAGACTGGTCACGTTGCGTTGATATTTTTGATTTGACTGGACAAAATCTTTCGGCTAATCAAAAATCCAACTGGCCTGATATAATAAAATCAGCAAGAGCGAAAAAATGATTTTCGTTTTTGTACGTTTGATTAGGAAATTTGTAAATTTACCATACTTTTATATGTACTAGAATGAATGTTGTCATTAATGTGTGCTGTATTCAGATGTTGATGAACATCGTGGGTTTCTTTAAATTAATAGCGCTGTGATGTTTAATTTTCAATGAATTTACTGTTTTTTCATATTTATGAAAGCCCGAAAATTATCTATTTGCCATATTTCGTTTTTGGAAATTTGAACGAAAAGTCTAGTTATCAAAGTGAAAAAAAATTAGTAGTAAAATTGAAGTATTCAACATCGTGTAATTTGTAAGTTAAATAGAATTTATCGAACAATATTATCAATATCAAATTATTTTATTCTAAGAAGTCTATGAGAGTCAAAGTACGTCCATGTATTTCAACTATTTCGTTTGTTTGCTGATAATTATTTCTAGTGAAATATATGCAATTTAAATTCGTGCAATTGTAAATTCATGGGCATTATTTAATCATATAATGTCAAAACTAATTTTTAAATATATGTTATGTTCTTTCATGTGATTTGAATATAGAATTTTAATGTAGCGTTAAAATATTCACAAATATGGAAAATACTGTCAAGCCTGGTTTGGCGAGAGATGAGTCGAAATATTTTCACACTGTGGACTATGTGGTGTTCGCAACCATGTTGTTTATTTCTGCTTCCATCGGTGTATTTTTTGCAATTCGTTCTCGAAGAAAGGGTACGACTTCAACAGGCGATTATCTGATGGCAAGTCGAGAAATGTCTTACGGTATTGTATGATGTAATAAGTACAATTTGTATCGTAGATTTTGAATGGGCCTAACTAGAACCGTTTTGAACATAAAGATATCACCAAACCAGGCTTGGTTCAATAATCCAATTCAATGATTTATCAAGCTAATATTTGCATGTAAGGTTTATGTTTTGGCCGATTTAAAGTCAGCACATTTGTCGGGTCCTTCTGCCAACGTCGTCTATTTTGTTAAAGATTGATGACTAATTACGGTGCTAAAACTCCTAGGTAATGAGTAAACGAAACATTCCGATGGAAGAATTAGGTTAAGCTAGAAAATACTGCTTACAAACAATTGAAGCATAGTATTGCGGTATTAGTCTAGTCACCAGAAAATTCCGACTGACGTCTCCGCATTCATTAAAAATTTCATTCATTAAGTTAATTCTGTATTTACCAATGTGCTTCGTAAGTTGAAATTGAGGGCATGATCTATTTGCCTTTCATAAACAAATGCCTTATTTAATTCGGAGGGATTGATGGATCATAACTCATCTATCAACAGCACCATAGCCTGTAATGCTATTGAGTTTACTAGGTACAACTGTATCCTATATACATATTGTAGGGAAAATATTCCCTCAGAACAATGAAATTAAATTCTCATTACCAGGTCCAGTTTCCCTCAGTCTCATTGCAAGTTTCATGTCGTCGGTTACTATTATTGGTTTACCAGCCGAATATTATGTTTATGGAACAATGTTTACTTGGTTTGGAGTTGTCTATCTCCTGCTACCAATCATACTAATTGCAATTTACATACCTGTATTTTATGATCTAGGAATTGCTAGTACTTATGAGGTGAGTAGAACAGACTCAAGTAGGCCTACACATTAATGTTTTCTAATAATTGGAGTTTAAATTTTCAGCGTATTAAAATGAAAATAATCTTGATTTAGAAATATCATTTTAAACTAAAAATGTTGAAGGTGTGAATATTTGTCATTCAAGTCGTATGTTACTTTCTGAATCACATAAAAAAAACTGACACATGAAATCTAGTGTTTTCTGTGTAATAAACACTGGTTGTTTATTTTCGATTGAGGCTAATGAATTTTTCATTTAGTCTCAGCAATTTATTAACAATTTTAACAGCTTTTATGGGTATATTTTTATGATTGATTTAAAATTTATTTTCAGTACTTGGAACTGAGATACAATAAATTTACGAGACTCGCTGTCACGTGTTTATATCTCATTTTATCGGTAAGTCGAGAATATTAGAGATATTACATAATAGTAAGTTTGACGCTAATTTCGGCCACATAAGCCACATAGTTTTACAAAGTTTTCTAGTGAAGCAATTTAATAGAATTTTATCACTAGTAGGTGTGCATTTTCTGAATATATTAGGACTATGAAAACTTGCATACGAGTCCATGACCTGGATCTGAAGGTTTCCAGAAACTAATAGCTTTTATTCTGAAGCTATCAGTTATTCATTGCCATTGTTATCTTGCTTATACTAATATTTGCTATATTTTTAAGACACTATACGGTGGAATTGTTACATACGGACCCGCACTTGCTTTGAGTAAAGTTACAGGACTCAATATGTGGGGATCCATAATATGTACTGGAGGTGTTTGCATGTTTTATACAACTCTGGTTAGTGTTTTTTACCATCGAATGATCAAAACGTTAACCTGATTGATTGAGTTTAATTTTCAAATTTTGTTATTCACACTCTACAAACAGTCTTAATCCTCGCTTTGCCCTTCTATGTCCACACATAATAAAACGTTTGTCAACTTGGTATTCGAACATTAGATACTTATCGTATATATGTTAAAATATATTTTGGATCAGAAGTTTGCAAGTGGACTATTTTTAATGTGAATATTACGTATATTAACAATACAATCGGAGAAATGTGTACAGGAATAAATCAATGTCGAAAACGATTGTATAGCTTGACAATTAGAAGTAATTTCCACTTCTGAGTCTATTATCCATTTTAAGTCAGATTGATTTCATAAGAATATCGCAATAGCAGCTCTTCGGGACGTGGCTCTCCCTGGTTTTTAGTAACAAGAATTTGTATAAAAACAAAGACAATTCGTGATTAATTTTAAATTTTATGACCCCAATTTGAAAATGCTCGTGCATTTTTTGCCTTACCAACTCGATTTCACACAATTATTTGAATTCAGTATATGTATCCAGGGTGGACTCAAGGCCGTTATATGGACTGATGTTCTTCAGTCTATTCTAATGTTGTCTGGATTTGTAATTGTCATCATACAAGGTTCGATCAACTTAGGTGGATTTTCAAACATTTGGGAAGCAGCACAAGATGGCGGAAGAATTGATTTATACAGTAATGTTTCAATTTATAAATAATTATAAGTAGTTTTACACCATCACTATGAACGAATATAGACTAGCAGTTATGTAGGTACCATAGCCGAATCTTTCCATTCGACATTGTCTACGAATTTTTTTACACTCGCGATGAAATGATTACGGGGATCAAATATTGGGCGCGATGGTCGTGAGAGCGTTGAACCCAACTATTTCGGCATCGCAGTTCAAAATTTTGGGTTACACCCTTGCTCACCACCCAACCCAGGGTGTGGTATATGTTGATTGGGCAAAGATAAAAAAAACAATAGTATTTGCGCATCGGTGCCCTTATTTAAAGCGCGTTGTTCGTTGAGAATCATAAAAACACCATATAAAATTAAGGTAATGGCACAAACTCATTTAGAGTAACTCTCATTGCGAAAATAATTCACGAAGTATTTTGGTTCGTGATTTGCTACCAAGACTCTAAAAAGTATGCTGAGTATCGTAGAGCGACACTAGTTCACAAGCAAATAACTGACAACAAACAACTTTAAATCTTCCAGTGTAATGAATAGCATATCGAAACTATTACCGATAGAGTTATCTCAAGAGTCAGTAACCAGAACGCAAAATATTAACACTGATGAATCTATTTTTTCACAGTTTTGAAATCGACCCACGCATCCGCCATACATTTTGGAGCATCCTCATAGGAGGATCTATATTATGGACTTCTATATTTGGTGTTAATCAGTCACAAGTTCAAAGATATATCTGCTGTCGGACGAGGAGAGATGCCAACATGTATGGTCTTTGTTTTATTACATTTTTACACTGATTATTCCATTTACTATATGACAGGAAATATATAGGCAGCAAGTAATCATAACAGAGCTTTTCAAACTTTTTGTGAAGAATGAATGAAAAATTTTGATTTGTAGTTTCCTTACATTCCAGTAATTATAATCGATAGCTGTAACAAAGTGTTCGTTTTTAAATTCAGTGCGATCATCATTTCTGGCATCGGTTTGATCATCATCATGATATTAGCTGCAATGACTGGACTGACGATTTATGCAACTTATGAAGATTGCGATCCTATCAACAATGGAGATGTTGATAAAGCTGACCAGGTAAACAAAAACTCCCTTTCATCCATTTACGATATGAGAAAAACCATACTCAAATTTGAAATAATTGTTGAAGATATTCCCACTAGAATTTCAGATATATCAGGTTGAGAGCAATTTTATCTGATGAAACTAAATGACTATCATTCAAGTATTAGGATTTACAATATTCGTGCAAGAAATTGAAAAATTAGCTCCTCCTTCTACTAAAATTTAAATTTTATAAATTTTTCCAGTTATTTCCCTATATTATCATGGACATTGTCGGACATTTGCCGGGAATACCAGGACTGTTCGTTGCAGCAGTGTTCAGTAGCTCGTTGAGGTACAGCATAGGATTTTTCATTGAAATAAAATGACAAATAGAATTAAACGTACACGTAAATGCCCAGGACTTATTATTATTACCAATTTTTTTTTTTTGTATTTCCAGTACAATTTCTTCTGGAATAAACGCTATGGCATGTGTAACATTGGAAGATTTCATTCGCCCACTGACTGACTGGAGAGACTTGTCATACACTAGAACTTCCAGAGTTCTTGTTCTTTTATATGGATGTATATATATAATGGTTGCGTATTTGGCATCGGAAATTGGAGGATTGATTCGGGTAAATACAAGCAGCAGACTCGGATGTTTGAATCATCCCATGCCTGGTTCAAAGGTCAATTTGACAAAACGATCAATGAATAGTCTGACTCTGGAACATCGCGTATACGACAAGATGCCAATTTTAACATTGAAACTTGTTTGAACGTGAAACGCTAAAACGCTATAAATAACCCAATGGATCAGTTAAATAGGCTAAATAAATAGGCTTCAAAAGCGAAAGCAGAAAAATATTTCAAAATTTAAATATAAATTATTGATAACGATATATTGGCCGAATTAAATATACAGGCAAAACTTCAGTTGGCGTCGTCAATCTTATTATTCTCAAGTTTGTCTATTCAACGCGTCGAATGGAGCACATCTGGACAGCCTTATGCCTGTGACACTCGTCTATGGCCGAATTCAGATTGTTATTGTTTTTTATTTGTACAGATGTCTTACAGCATCCACGGAATAATCGGAGGTCCAATCACTGGGATATTTACAATTGGAATGTTGGCATCCTGGGTTAACAGTCATGTAAATCATCATTTTTGCATTGATTTCATAGGCTTAACGGTAACTTATCAATAAGAGTGATTTACGATAAAAATCACTTAATCAGCTCTCCAATATTATTAACTCATTGTATTTATGTTAGAGTTGTCTGAAGATGGCTATTTTTCATCGACTAAACTAAACCAAGAATGTTGGTCTGGACATCGCAATGAAGTTAATCGTGTCGAATCGACTTTCTAACCATGACAGATCGAAATCTGGGCATGCGCAAATAATAACTAATGGTGACATCGCACTGCTTTCTACATCAAATCGTCTCGACAATATTAGTTTTTAGTTTAGATTTAAATGAATGAAAGTTTTTTGATTTCAATTTCAACTGTTGTAAATCTAGATGACACAAACTGGAAGATGTTTATTCATGTTTTTTTTGTCTCATTAGGGAGCAATGTCAGGGTTGCTGGCCGGACTTGCATCAACAACCTGGCTCTTTGTTGGAAGCACAATCTACCCATCTCCATCCATATATACGAGACCTCTTCATAGATCAACGGATGGATGTGATGGATACGATACATCAAATGCGACAAATGTTTTACTGATTACAAATCAATCTTATTCACCAATTGAAATTTCTACGCCAAGTTATTACAGCGTTGAACACTCGAATGCTTCATTCGAATATCAAACAGTAGATGGAACCTTGCAAACTATTACAAACGACGTCGACCAGAATGATGGCGAAAGGTTATATTTAGTATACGTATTGATATACATTTCGGTCAAATAGCGAAACAAATGCTTCACTTGTCAATGAAATTTGTCTGCCCTATTTTGGTATGTCTCTCTGTCTGTTGTCTATGGCAAGGTAATATATTTACTTATTATATTGAATAGTTTGCTAACAGACAAGCCTTCCACATTGTCCGATATATAATGATCGTCAAACGCAAAATACATGCCCAAGATTTGAATGGTTAGCGTTCTTGAAAGAACAGACAATGGTAGAACTAGTTTCTAACAAATATCGAGAATAGGTGCAACAAAACCATGCTGGTATTTTAAACCTGTGTTTGGTGTTTGTGTGAATCAAAATTCTTCATTTGTATTTTCTTTTGGTATGCAGACCTCCTATCGCAGAATTTTACGCTCTATCGTATCTTCATTTTGCAACTGTTGGATTTTTATCAACCATCTTGGTAACAATGCTCGTCAGTGCATTAACAGGTATAAGTTTTTGGCATTGTGACGTTGTAGAAACAAGTTAAACAAGAAGAAATCAACCACAGTACCAGGATACATTCGATCGTAATGTTTGTTATGGTAGAAAAATGACGCTAATCGTTCACATTTTCAATGCACTTCAATAAAAGTTCATTGGACCTATATACAAGAACTTTCATATTTAAAGCACCGGTATACTTGAATTTGATAGTATATTTATATCTATTGTCTACACTTGAGAATAACATTTAAAAACGATAAACAATATCGTCGTATTTTATACTTCTCGACGAGAGGTATTTTTGGTGCTGATCAAATTATTCGTTCTTGTTTTTGATGCCTTCACCTCTTAGTAAAACTTCGTGTATTCGTGGTGTATTGATATTAGTTCTTCACAAACTTTTTCATTTTAGGTTGCACAGGAAAGAAGGGAGTGCATGATGATTTATTAGTTCCGTGCTTGAGATCTGGAAAGAAAACCAACGACAATTCAAAGAAAGGACGATATGCCAAGGTAGCTATTGTCGTTAGAATGAGTACTTCGATTTTCATCATTTACAAAAAAAACACGATAAAATTGCATTTTGAATGTTTGAGAAATTATCTTTGAACAAAATGTTTGAAAGTTAACTGCATAATTTAAAGCTAACAATACGTCGAAATTCAAATCAATTGCATACGATGTCCAAAAACGGATAAAAAAAAAGGGGAATGAAAAATATTGATCGAATAGAAGTAAGCATGTTAAATTCGGACGATTTGTGAAAGTTTCAACCAGTCTTGCACGTATTTTTCAACGTTGTTTATCATAAAATATACGAAATATCTTGCCTGCGTTATTTTGGTTGGTATGTATATTCGCTACATTGGCGGTGCTCGCCGTAAAATACATACAAGATATATCGAAAAATTTACAGGAAAAATAACAGCGATTACTCTTTTTTGACGATCCGAATTTAGAAACATTACCCATTGCTGAAAATATCTCTATTTAGGTCGAAGGGGTTGAGCGGTCAACTAGTTGGATGCCGGATAAACCAAGAGGGGCAAGCATCGAAGTATCAGATCTTATTGGGACTACTGCTCTCGTTGATGGACCTGTGTACTATCCAAACACTCATGAACAAATTTACTCAATGCGGAGAAATTCAGACGATTATGATAATGTACCAGACGAGGATTTAAATAAGGAATCGACTTTCTAACGATGTATAGGCGATGAAAGTATTACCGGGCCACGTCTACACAGTAAAAATATTGGGACTCATGAGATGGCTAACTGTTAACGCAAGACTACACGTAGGCTATTTGCAACGAAACACAAACTAGTACGTGTTTTTCAACACAACTTTGCCCTATTAGTGGGCGATTCACTGATAACCCAGTTTTTTTTTTGGCTTACTATCAATCTTTTCTCCAAACAAACCAGCCAAAAATTTGGATTGGTTGCGCTCTTGTAATGCTACACAATAGTGGAAATTCAGTTCAACTGGTAAACATGTTTTGTAACGGAATAAATGGCGGGATTCCAAATTTCGAGTAGAATTAATGAGACCGACAGGGAAAGAATGGCCAAAATGAATCGTTTTTTTTATTAGGACAAATATCTTTATTTTTATTAGATTTTTTTTGCCAAATGCGTTATTTGCACTACTACAATAAAAAATGTGAATATGTATTTTCAGAAAAAATGTGTTTTTCATATTATATCAAAAATACGACATTTCGTGATTAGTTGTTCAAAAGTTCTTGCACATTTGTAAATCATGTACATTGTTTGTTGGCCGATTCAAAAAATCTGCATTAACCTGTACATACATGTATGAAATTGAATATAATTTATTTTATATAAGTTAATGGAGTTGTAAAAATAATGTATTTGGAAAAATATAAAAATAAATGCCACATTTTACATGAAATATAAAGTGTGAACTCCTTATAAGAAATTGTGCTACTAACTGAATAAATGGGTTACTGTTATTGGTCTTAAATTCCTAATTAGACTACTGAGAGGCTCAGAAATTTGGACGATTTATTTTATCTCGACTAAACAACTAAACGATAATATCGGTCGGAGACCGAAGACTTATCGATCGAAACTGCGGTTTCAATTCATGACTCTATAGTGACACCGTGTGTCCCATCACTAATTAATTAATAACTCGCTATTTATACGACATAATTCATCCAAAATCAAGGGCTTCTGGTTCAAGATATGATGAAAGCACATGCAATTTGGAGCAGGTTCAACCTTGCCTTCTTGAGATATTGCGTTCATCTTGCAGACATACAAACAGACATCCAGACAAATACCTATCAACATACCTACCGATCTTAAGATCGATAAGTAATAACAACCATCGTTCTGTGTTTGTTTTGCATCTTGATACAAACTAAAGCTCTATAAGGTTATCTTTATCTTCAAACCTATGAAAGAAAATCGTAGAAATCTTGAAGCAGGTGGACTGACATGAACAAAATAACAATGCTCACAGGTAATGGCACGAATGCAAAATGACTAATGTCCACACAATGCCAACATATTTTAGCCAAATGTTAAAAGTATTTTAACGAATGCTATATGAAGGTTGGAAGGCTTATTAAATAACAGGATCTCATAGAACTCAGGGGGAAACTGGCAAAAAAACTAATAGCTTTCTGGTGAATACTCCAATATTTATGCATTGAAAATTCTAAATTAATTGGTTCATTGAATTACAGACAATTTTTTGCACGCCCGAATTAGCCCGAATGAAAAAGTAACAATAACAAGTCTTCAGCAAAACGATCCATATGGCCTCTTCTTTTCCCAAAAGCGATATTTCCACCCGCTATGAGATTAAAAACAACAATAATTTAGCTAAACGAACGACCCATAGGTTCGATTTGTGTCCAAATATGTCAGTTATAAAATAGTAAAATTTTTATGATATAGTGTACGAAATTGCGTCATATTATTGAAAATTGTGCTATTCTCGATATCCTCACTCGCACTTCAAGAGTTTGCATCGAATTTAAAAATAAAATTTTTCTCTCCGAAAATTTAAATCGTTACAATATATATAATAATTCCGCGATTGACCTAGTTGATGGCTATCAATTCTTGACCACGTCAAAATAGTGAATTCGAATTTCAGGTGAATGATTTACTTTATATGCTGTTCAAACATTCCTGCAGCGCATCAGGATGTAGTTTGGAGTGCTTGCTTGTTTGTTCAGCACAAGTTATTTGTTTAACTTAATTTAAAGTAATTTGTTGATTAAGTTGGCGTCATTGAAAATGTTTAATTCGCTTATATTGAATGGTCGAAATGGGAAGGGTTCATTACGTATAAATATACCAGATGTTTCTTTTAGATTAGGTAACTCGATGTATTCAATGGACCGTTTTGAATTTTGTTCTACACACAAGAATGAACAAGGTGTCTGTTCATAGTCACAAAGTTGTTTTGCGTAAAAAGTGTGCTTACAAAAGTATGCAGTGTATTCGGAAAAATTGAAACTTGATCAGGCGGACCTAAATAATTACGTAATACGGTTTCGAGGTAAACCATTTTTTTGATTTCTTGGCATGATGCGCGGATAGATAGAGTAGTAAGTCAGAGAAAGACGAACGGTCAAATTGGAATATTAAAGAAGGAATATAAATTTTGTTTCTCCCTCACTTTGGAGATGATTACATTCTGAATGCACAGGAATAACAATGACGTTCATTGCGGTGTCTGTGGCGAAACCATCTGCTAAGTTCAAGTTCGTTTACATCGTTAGATAAGGAATTGGGTAATACTTCCTGAAACAAAAAATAATGGCTATTGGATTATTGAATTTTTTTTTAAATGAAATTGAATATGCAATATGTGTGTAATCTATCTGCATACATATATATATTCATATACATCGTAATATTAGTTCTGATAGTTTTAAATGAGAGCGGCTTTTATTTACTTTTATCATTATAGCAACAGAATAGATTTTACAATAAACAATGGAGATGAAATCGTCAACAGAGTCTGTTATTTCGCAAATGCCGAACGGATCCAAGTATTTTCATCCGGTGGATTATGTTGTATTTTCCATCATGCTGATGCTTTCTGCTTCCATCGGAGTTTATTTTGCTGTTCAAGCTCGGAGAACAAAAGCAACTTCGTCAGGAGATTACTTGATGGCTAGCAGGAAAATGACTCACGGTAATGATGGTATACCTAATATGCTCTAAGCTAAAGAATATTTCATACGAAATGCATAACCTTCCGCATTCTTGAACTGAGGTTCTAATATGAGATATCCAGTATATATATATATAATATGTATATATATATTGCGTATATTGCGTTATGACATATATATATATATATATGTCATAAATCAAATAACGTATTTATGATTCGTTAAAAGCTAGTAATCATACAAGAGAGCGATGCTCATATATATGGTGGACACGAAAGACAAAACGAAGTAGTACAGCACAATGTACAACATTTTTGATGACGTCATCGCACACAAAAAACGAATCCCATAGGGAATAGAGCCCACAAAAATTTTCGAAATAAATAAAAGTCATGGCCTTCTAGCGAAAAAGATAATCTTTAACTGCTCAATTTCAAAGCAATTGAACCGGTAGTTATTTAAAGTTAAGTTAGTTGAAGAGCTTTTTGCATAACAATAAGATGAACCCAAACAACCCAACAACAACAACACCAACAGCATGATGACAAAACGATCCATTTGTACACTTAGTGTTCAAAAAAATTTTTTAATACAAGATAAATACAAATGTTTACATTGCAGCAAATATTTTGCGCAAACTGTTTATTTGTGTGTCTCTTTTATACAGGACCGGTTTCGTTCAGTCTGCTCGCTAGTTTTATGTCATCAGTCACTATTCTGGGTTTGCCAGCTGAATATTATATGTTCGGAACAATGTTTACATGGTTTGGATTGATATATCTTCTACAACCTCTCATCATAACTTCGATTTATCTGCCAGTATTTTACGAATTGGAACTTGTTAGTGCGTACGAGGTAGGCTAAGCATTTCATCAGTTGCATAAAATAAGGAAAATATTTAAAAATACAATTATCTTATGATTTTAAATTTTTATGATTTGGAAAATATACCTATATTGTATTACTGTATTACAAAATACATAAAACATACACCATTTTTAAAAAAGTTATGCGGAAAAAATTCCATCAATCAAGATAATTCCAGCACATATCCTCTAATTCATGAAAATAGGCAACATAACTGGGACAAAAAAGATAGCAACACAATATAATCATATATATGTCCTTTTGTTTACAGTATTTGGAACTACGGTACAACAGATTAACAAGACTTTTGGTCACAGTTTTGTATCTTGTTTTATCAGTAAGTTTGTATGACATCATTCTTAAAAAGTATATACCAAGTATGTAATAGTACATAAACTCAAAATAAATAAAGTCTTAATTTGCTCAGCAAGGGAATGGAAAGTAGACTATCATAGCATTTACTAATTCACTTTTTTATTAGCTGTATCGGTATTAGAATAATCGAAATAAAATTTTTATATATATTCGCTTTTCCACGTAACCCTTACATCCGTGCCTCAATTATAAACACTACAGTAGTTTTCAGCAGAATGCAAAATATCGCATACTTTCTATATATACTAAAAATCTACATTTAATTTTTGTAATCAAATCTAAATCGTTTTAAATAATTGTTTTTATAAAAGACGTTGTACGGTGGAATTGTTACATACGGACCAGCACTTGCTTTGAGTAAAGTTACAGGACTCAATATGTGGGGATCCATAATATGTACTGGAGGTGTTTGCATGTTTTATACCACTTTGGTGAGCTGCTTCTATTTTACTTTCCATGCATGAATTTTACGCTCAATTGAAATGTCACAATACACACATATATGGACCGCATTAAATATAGTCTCAAAAACTTTAGGTGCAGCTGTATCCGGAACAACATGTTTGTCGTTGTTCTACTGAATAAACTCAAATATGTGGTTTTCAGTAGTTAATGTGTATTTACTATTTACACAGCAATTATACTCTGTATTTCTGTCTATCTTATGCAATATATCACAAAAAAGCTTTGACTTGATTGTTATGCAATTCTCTAAATATGCTATTTAATATACTAAAATAAACAATTTTTCCAGGGTGGATTAAAAGCGGTCATTTGGACGGATGTTTTACAATCAATTATTATGATATCAGGGTTTTTAGTTGTTATCATACAAGGGAGTATCAATCTTGGAGGATTCTCGAATATCTGGAAAGAAGCAGTAAATGGAGGACGTATCGATTTTGTTCAGTAAGTCGTAGATGGCATAATGATGCTTGTTTGAATCAATGCTAATTTATTAATTGCATTTTTATAGTTTTGAAATAGATCCTCGGATACGTCATACATTCTGGACCATTCTTATTGGCGGAAGCGTTCTGAACGCATCAGTGAACGGTTGCAATCAATCACAAATTCAAAGATATGTTTGTTGCCGCACAAAGCGAGATGCCAGCATGTAAGATGAATTTTACCTATTAAAAGCATATTCTAAGCTCTCGTTTCCAATATGTTTGTTTATTTTGTCTCATAATACATCCACGGAATTGGAGAATAATATGACTCCGATTTGAGCGTCGCGGCAAACAATTTAGATTGGGAAACACTTGTATCGATTGATTATGGCAGGGGTCACCAAACTTTTTTGACCACGGGCCGGGTATGACTCAAACTGTGTTGAAACGGGCCGGACAAATATTTTTGTCAATGCAATAGGCCAGGGGTCACCAAACTTTTTTGACCGCGGGCCGGGTATGACTCAAACTGTGTTGAAACGGGCCGGACAAATATTTTTGTCAATGCAATAGGCCTACAATAAATTCACAAAAGTTGGGAAATCCATTCAATTTGTTAACGATATAGATTCTACATCTCCTGAAGACTTGAATATTAAATTCTATCTATATCGCAGAATATAGATCGCAAACATCCTAGGAAAACAAATATATATACAAGATTTTAATATCTTGACAACTATCCTGAGTTTAGCTGTTATCAAAACGTTGCAGTCATGAATTAGGAATGTTACAAAATTCGCCTTTTAGCGCCAAAAAATGTCCGCATCACGTCTGCTAAGTACCGTTACGCCGTGTCGGAATATCGCTCATAACAACGACTACGGACTGCTTGCTGTAGCATAGAATTCCATAAAATTTTGACATAATTTAGATAAAATAAACAACTATTATCTGGTATTTGATTTTTTTCGTTAGCGCATAAATTTCCCATCATTCAGAACTTACAAAAATTCCGCTCAAGTTATACCAAGTGCAAATTAATGGTATTGTCCATAGACACCAATAAAATTTATGTAGACGTGTGTATTTCTTTCCTATCTTGATACTTACCAATGAACCACTGACAAACTAACATGCACAACTTCAGCGTTTATTTGCCACGATCTTTCGGCGGTATAAAACACCATTGCCAGAATAAAATCCTGAAATAGTCTCAATATTCCATAGATGTGACGCAGATCGAAAGATTAGTGATTGATATGTTTTTTTTTCATATTTATTACAGTTCTTATCAAAAAAGTAATACAATCCTTATGAAAAAAATTGGCCTGTCGGGCGGTACTAAAATTCCAATATTTTTTTAACGGTTTTTTTCAAACTTGGTATTATTTTCTTATTTTCACTCAGATCTATCTAATTGTGCAGTTTTCATTTAAATCGGATGACCTTTTAATTTTTTTGTAACGTACGTACATGAATATCCGCATTTAAGCAGTACAAAAGTTAGTGTGACTTTTGAAATTGGAGCAGTACGCGAGGGATTACAGTACTGTTAGCGCAAACTGCACATTCGACGTTCATTTTAGCACAAGAAACGTAAATAGTTTCGTCGAAAGCACGCGTCACGAGTGTACGAGTGTAAAAAACGTTGCATACTGGTAGAAAATTTAAACCTATTTTGTCACTGCTATTTCCAGACTCATTTTTCATTACTACTATTAAAACTATAACTCCTAAGAAGGCAAATGATGACTGACTTAATTTGTTTCATGCATACTTAAATTTCCCAAACACAACCTAAAACTAACGAAGTATTGTTTACAACCACGACTGAAAATCTGTCAGGGTGACAAAAGTGTCTGAGCGAATGCGAAAAGGCCTATTATTACGTCACTCTTTTGCATCTTGCTGATTGGCCAATTTTACGAAATAAACAAGGAAGACGATGCTCGGGAAAATTTTCTTTGGAAAAATATTTCGCCCTTTTTGCGTGTTATCGCGGGCCGGATCCGGCCCGCGGGCCGTAGTTTGGTGACCCCTGGATTATGGCGATACTCATGGAAAGCATGTAATTATATTATTGTTGAAAACAATATACCAAGTTCGTTGATTGCCTTCAAACTTTGGTAAATATGTTATAGTCCTGTGGATCTCTATACCTCAATTTCATAAATAAATACTCACAAATTTCCATTGTCAATATTTCAACCAATTTGTCACTTTGAAATTTGTGGCCCAGACTTTGCGATGCCACACTGAAAAGATAACTAATATTAAAGGCGCCATTGCTGACGCGACTCTTCTCCCCCGTCGTCAGCTACAGGCTTCAATGGAATCAAACAACATATTTAGATGTACGACGCTAGTACAAATAAGATAACGATGCAATAAGAAAAAAGTCGAGTCAAGACGTTCAGTATCTGGATTGGAATCATTTATGTTTTGTTTTGCAGTTCAATTTTCACTTCTGCTATTGGTTTGATTATCATCATGATATTAGCGGGAATGACCGGATTAACAATATATGCGATATATAAAGAATGTGATCCTATCAGTAGTGGTGAAGTTGACAAAGCTGATCAGGTGAGCCACCATTGAACAAAATAATCTTCAACTTCTTACAAGTGTAAAAAGTAATCTGCAACTAACAGCGTCGACTATGTTTCAATGTTCCGAAAATATATTTGAATTGATCTCATAATTAAAGTGTGTAAAATTGGGTAATCAGTCATCTTCATTGTCCCGGACATTAAAAAAAACGGACCTCCCGAAGTATGCGCACCAAGATGGCGCACAACCTGAACTCAGGTTGTGTACCAGGTTATGCGACATCTTGGTGCGTATACTTCAGGAGTACCAAAAAGACTCTATATTTTTTTTGCAATACTTAGTTGTTTCCCTACGTCATAATGGACATTGTTGGACACTTGCCAGGAATACCAGGACTATTCGTTGCCGCAGTTTTCAGTAGCTCTTTAAGGTTTGTTTCATAGTTTTTTATTTTATAAATCACACATTCTGGCGTTACTACTATTTGTTTCATTCAGAAAGATGGTATAGAAAGAACCAGAATGTGAAATAATAAGATATTTTCACAAATTGTGCTTAATTAGTCTAGTGTGATTGAGTGATTTACTGCCCGTATTATTTCGCTATAAACTCAGTTTGGCGAGAAGGTATCCTATTCATAAATCTATATCTCTTTATCTTAGCACAATTTCGTCCGGTATCAATGCCATGGCATGTGTGACATTGGAAGATTTCGTTCGGCCTTCAACGAACTGGACAGAAATGAATTATACACGGATTTCAAAAGTTTTTGTAATCCTATACGGAGTGTTATACATTTTTGTTGCTTTCTTGGCTTCACAAATAGGTGGACTTATCCAGGTGGGGTATAAATTCTATCTAACAGACCTATTGTATGAAATTTATCAAGAAAATGGATAAATGAAAAATTAATGTTTACTTAAGATAGAAAACTGGAGTTGAGAGTAACACATTTGCCCCAAAATTCAATTTCGTTGGAGCCTTTTTCTTTTATTCGTAAAATGGAATAGACACTGAAAGAATAGTTTTGAGCAGCCCCGAATGCGCCGTCAAGAGTTTATATACATATATACCATAGGTTTATTGACGCGAGATTTGAAACAATACAGATCTATGATGTCAGGTAAATAGCTAAGCGGAGAAGAATTGCACGAAGTGAACCCTCTTGATAATGGAAGGAGTGGGAAGGGGGGGGCATTATAGGCTTTTTAGGCAAGAAAAGTCAAAAGAGAGACCCACTATAGCTGTTGGTAGCAATCAGTTCGCCCGCAGCGGGATATGCCCAGCCTGCAGCTTCATCCCCAGAAAACCGTGTCCTATCAGGCTACCAGTTGATTAATATCTTGCTTTGTGGGTCCGGCTTTGCTATATATATCACAATAAAATAATTTTATAAATCTGGTACTTTAAAATGATTCTATAAATAACTATTTTTGATAATGAAAACCATGATTCATTTTTAGATGTCTTTTACCGTTCACGGCACAATCGGTGGTCCCATTACGGGAATTTTCACGATCGGAATGTTGGCGTCATGGGTGAACAGCTGGGTAAGATACACATTTATTGTCAATATATCAGCTACAAGGAATTTATAACCTAATAATATAAATGTAATATCAACAAGATCTATATATATATATATATTTCTCAGGGTGCATTATCGGGAATTTTTGCCGGCTTGTTCTCCACAATGTGGCTTTTCGTCGGTAGTAGATTTTACCCTTCTCCACCCAAATATACTAGACCGCTAAATCTATATACCGATGGATGTATAGAACAAGATCTGTTTTCAACAGCCAGTGTGACGAATGTTAACACAAGTTATGAAGGAATGGGAGAAACTTCTGCAGATTACGATACATCGACTACAAATTACAACCTCGTAACTGAGCTAAGCAACGACAGGTAACTCTGTCAGCATGGATGTTTTGTTGGCCTTTGACCTCAATGAACTATTTTTATTAGTTTAACGCTGCGACAAGTCGGATGCTTATTTTGATGGTGCTTTTGCCAGTTGACCGTTAAGTTATTCAATTTATACCAAAAAGATACTGTCTAAACTTTAAAATAGAAACGAAAACTATTTAAATGCAACCATGTGAACGATCAAATTTAGAAAGGGACTTGGGCAAAAAGTTAAATTTTAATTGTTATGTCATCATTGACTCCTTTTAAATGCAACCATGTGAACAATCAAATTCAGAAAGGGACTTTGGCAAAAAAAGTAAATTTTAATTGTTATGTCATCATTGACTCCTTAGTCATTGTTACGGGCACAAACAAGAAAGTTGAGTATGTAAATACAATTCATCGTTTAGTGGTGTAGTTTTGGCAGCGTCTAGCGGTTTGTCCCTACCGGTATGCTTGCCGGTATTACGAATTGCCGTCAAGACCCTCCAAAAACCTAAATCGTTTTATGGCCTCAGTTCGTACTGTCTAATATTTATCCTTCAGCGGTTCCCAAACCAGGGGTTGCGTACACTGTACAGCACTCCATACCGTGTTTCCCCGAAATTAAGACAGGATTTAGATTTATTTTCCTTAAATGACACTATGTTTTTTTGGACACGTAGTGGACATAACGATCGTTTCAATATTATGTTGTTGTTGTTCTTGTTCTTGTTCTTTGACACGTTTTTAAAAAGTCGCTTTTCTCTTCGAATACTGGACCAATTGCTTTGAAATTTTCAGTGGTTAAAGATTAATTTTTTCGCTAGAAGGCTATTACTTTTATTTATTTCAAAATTTTGCGTGAATTCTATGAAATTTGATATTTCGTCTAAAATTTTGCTGTATTATTTTTTATCCATGGGAACACGGATTTTAGTCAGTGTCATGACTGGCTGTACGTTTTGATTCTGCAAAATTCTTGCTACTGGAAATTCAGAACTTTTTTGAGGGTACCGGTAGCGTCAAAGATACCGGTAAGGACTGATTCGCTCTGGTCTAACGTGTCCATATATTTGTGCGTAGCTCTCTTGTTTTGGAAGAGGTCTTTTGTGTTCATTTATCAAAAATAAAATTACATTGTAGGAAATCACAATATTTTTTACTAAACATCATATAAAAACCGACATCCATTGTTTTTATTTGTATTTCCTTTACAAAAATCAAGTGACAAATGTCATAATTTTGATTGTGACATCACACAATCTTGAATAGTGGTGTGATCTTCACGTTACCTCAGGCCAATGAACCTTTCCTCTCTCACACATTTTGAATTTATTTTAAGGGTGGGGTTCAATTAAAATCATTTGGAAAATTCAAATTATTATCTTATTTTCAGGTCTTATTTTCGAGGATTAGCCTCGAATGGCGATGATTAGCCAGTGCTGTGTTCTGTCATAAAAAAAACAAAAGAAAATTAAATTAAAGTTAAGTGGGTCGCCAAAAGCTGTGATAATAAACTCTAAAAGGTTTGGGGACAAATGGGAGTCTAATCAATGAATCACTTTTATTTTGGGATCAATCTCTAAAGCGGAATGAAAATTTTAATGCGTATGACCAATTTTTGCAGACCTCCAATTGCTGAATTTTATGCTTTGTCGTATCTTCATTTCGCAACTGTTGGATTTTTGACAGCGGTGTCGGTGGCAATGATTGTCAGTCTTTTAACAGGTACGTACATACGCTATTCAATGACAAAAGTCGTACATGTATATGGTCGAGTTTTCAGTGTAATACATACAAATTATTCACTGAAAAGTTTGAATAGAACGAAAATAATTAGAAACATTTGCTTTTCTAATAAATACATTTACTAGATATAGCTATTACAATTGGCAATTGTATAGATCGTTTTAAACTGCTTGTTTGATGAAGTCTGATATTAGTCAGACGAATTGTGGCCCGTGGCTTCATTATCTGTGACCCGCGTCGCTATTGCGGGAGGGTAAACAAAATTTGCATTTGGTGTTGTTTCGTCATAAAAATAACCAGAAAAATATTGTGACATCACTAATGTCATTGAATTGACTAGTGTTATGGCTAGCTGGGACAACTAGCGAAGTTGAATAATGTGCTTGGCAAGTCTAAATTGTTAACAGGCTTTCTATCTTTTTGGTCGGGAATATAATAGGCTTCATAGAAAGCTAAAAATCGAATGCAGAATCTAGTAGCCTAGGTCGGCTATGCCTGATGTTATGGCCGAACAATATAATTCCTGCAGGGTGTTTTTTTCAACCAGCCTAAACAGTATTACAAAAAATTCTGCCTATATGCCTGAAAATTCAGTAATTACTCTCCTGTATCTCAAATTTGTTAAAATTCGGTATTCAATCAATCTGCAGTTGTTTATAAGTTATTTTGTAAACAAGAGTTTGAAAAGAAAGCTGACCAACCAGATTTTTGACTGGACATGAGAAGAAAAATACCACATGTCTGCAAGTTGTGTCGTTGACAATCTAAAACCTTTTTTTTCATTTGGCACTTTTTTTCCTCTCCGTTATGGAGAGTTTGGAATCTTACACTAAATGTAGATATAGTAAGATTTTTTTGTACGTTGTAGTGAGTTTTTGGTTGGTTTTAGCTTGATAAATGACAAATAATGTTCAATGTGTTTGGACAATAAAAGTGTTTGTTTCGTATTGCACTGTTTACCTATTCTTGACATTATTGTGGCCCGCAAACACATCAAGAATAATAGTGTGGTCCGCCAGGCCGTCAACCTTGGACCACCCTGAATTAAATACTGAACCATTGGGTGTCGCTGCTCCCTGGTGAAAATGTGTGTTTAATTTTATTTATTTTTCTCCCTTTCTTATATATGTTATAGAAAAATAAACTCGGATAGAAAAAATAAACTTGTCGATGGCTATATACATTTGATATAAGATAGTAACAAACGATCGATGTCCATTTCGTGCCCAATGATTATGTTCATAGAGACAAATCTTGTATGCGAGGCAATTAAAACTTATAAGGTGAACTGGACTTGTTGATCCAATCAGCTATAGTGATTAACGTCTGATCCGAAGTTAAAAATTTATCTTATTAATCCAGTTTTTAAACTTGTAGAATTTCATGAGGTTGTTAGTAACATGTTGGCTTTTTTCTGTACTGTAAAGATTCGTACATTTTACTAATATTTCTTTAAACGGTATCCAGACAATCATTCAGTATTGCTCCAAACCACCGCCAGTAAATATATTACTTAGTCGTAAATAGAAAATAGGATCTTCTAAATTTTGAGAAATAAAGTTTGAAACGATTACAGGTCGAACAAAAAAACGGCCACCTGGTGATGAATTACTGGTTCCTTTCATGAGATCAGGAGAAATTCCCAAAAAAGAAAACTTAGAGAAAACAAGTCGGGTATGTTACATGAATCAATTACTGTGGGGAAAGATATTTTTCTAAAAATTTGGTCTCTATATACGGTATATCATAATACAGGTCGAAGGGGCGGAACGTTCAATGAGCTGGGTATCACCAGACAAATTGCTGATACACAAGCAAGAAGAAACAGAAAATGCACCAAAAGGCACAACGACGTTTTCAAAGAATCCTAACATGAAGGATAATAATGCAGACGAACAGATGGTTCTTCTCAAGGAAAATTCACTATCAGATGCATCAGAAGAGGTTTTTGAAAGTGAATCGCGAGTTTGATGCCTACTCTCAATCAATCATCTTTCCACTTACTACCTCTTAGCTAGATTGCCTGGGTGAAAAGCTGGTAGATGACACGGTTTTCAAATAAGGCTGATGAATCTCGACTTATTTCTATTTAGCGTCAGATGTGTACCATGACCTGAATGTACTCGATATGAGCAGTTCGCCGATGTTTCCATAGGTACAGACTTTTTCTTTACAGATAATGGCCAAATTTCAAAAATTCTAAGACATTGTGATATTATAAAAATGGTATTATGATAAAACACAAATGTTACAAAAGTCTTACGATATAATAAAAAATTGTCAGGTTCCATAGTTTTACGTGATCACTATTACGGTTTGGGAAGCCTCGTATGTTGCATTTGTCTACAGGGAAACAAATAAAACTATAAACAAAGGTAATTGCACTAAGCTTGGCGTTAGGCAGTGTATTACAGAAAGAACGGCGATATCGGCTGAGCAATTTCAAATTATATTACAATGCATCAAGCCAAGAACCAGTTCGAAACCAGTCTAACAAATCGCATGAATTTGAAATTATATCACCCAGACAACATAATCAAGCTAACGATGATTGCGTAAGCCGTAAAATAATCCGAAATTTGATGGACGTTTCCCAGACCTTTAACCCCTGAAACATTCTTCCTTTGCTTTACTATCGTCAAATTTTTAATGTTTATTTTGAGAGTGTTTCTTCCGGTTGTCGCTTACAAACTGGTTTACATGCCTAAAATCACCATTCTTATTAAAAATATTCAACGACGTGTCGCTTACGGGTACTGATAGCCGATCTTAGGCCAGTCTATCGCATCATTTTCGGGACTAATTTTTGATTATTGCAAATAAACTAAAGATCGTTGGAAGACATATTAACGAATGAACGAATCACTAATTTTCGGAAACACAACTAAAAACTGACAAATAGCCGGCAAATTCACGAAGACGAGGAAATGTTACAATCATGCTTGAATAAAAGATGTGTCCGAGCGTCCCCTCAAACTGCAGTTGTTACGTCATGGTTGACGATGGCAATTGTTACGAAAATAAACGATGATGAATAAATATGAATAAAGGATGAAGTATGTATTTTCTAATTGATATTACCGTGATGGGGTTAAATATGTATATATATGTTAAATTTGAATGGTAGTTTGCAGAAAACGCAGATAGTAATTGTATGTATTACATTTAAAATCACTACTCATTCGACAGTTCCCATCCCTAGCAGTTATAAAATCAACAGAAAGGTAAAAATTAATCTAAATATATTTAGAAGAGACGGTTGAGTAGGGAATCAGTACAAAACAAGAACTACCTCTGCAAAAGATGTAAACGGATTACAAAACATAGGAACAAGAGTAGACTTCCTTTTTATTCTGTATTATTACAAAAGATGAAAATTAAAGATTTGCCATGGATGTTATCAAACATCTGCAGGACAAACACCAAGAAATGCCATGCAAAACAATCACAAACAAGGTGTGTAAATAGCATGACACTAGGCAGCAACGATCTCAGAAATGAATCTCTGATATTGAAGAACGAGTACCTGAACTTGTGCTATAGTAATGCATACACAACTAGCAAGAAGCAATAGATCCGGTCTAGCCAACTTACACTGTGTTACTCGCTATGAGCTCGTATTATTTTTAATGCATTCTTCCAAGATAACAAACAAAGCCACAGCACTTTGTAGGCTAAACTATCGGTATATTGCAGATTATTACCAGTGGGGCTACCCACCCAGCACACCAACTTACACGGTGATAATCTCTGTTTATTTTTGATGAAGTATTTCCAAGATAACACACTAGATAGTACTAACAAACCACGAACATGCGGGAATGTTAATTCAATATGTTTACTCATCATGTTTCATCACCATCTCATTACCTTCGTCCAATCTCTTAAATTCTCAATGCAAACCAACCAAAATAAACCTTTTATTCATTGAACCATCACTTGTTCAACAATTTAGCAAAATCTTTGTTGCTCATGCCACCACTCGACGAATTTGAAGAGTCTCCGTTTTGAGTCTTTTTACTTGATGATTGGCTTATTGATCTCGGCAACAAACTCAACTGTGTTCGTCCACGTCCTCTGCTGAAATGTCCAAATGCATTCAATAATTTAGTAATATCTACTTTAGGTGTTATCATGGAAGCGTTTTTGTTTATCATCAATCGACCCCTTTTCATATAAAACAGATCTATGCAAAGCGTTAGATTTAAATCAGCATATTTTGAGTCAAATTTCCCAAAAACAATATAAATAACAGATTTTTTAAGCTAATTTGATGTGTAACTAACTATATTACAAGATAGGGATGTCTCACAGGAATAAGTAGCAAAAACTGGTTGAATTTAAACTTTTTTTTCTGATTGTTATAATAGTGACCCTTTTACCTTCCTTGAAATTGTCTTCCATCACCTCCACCCAACAACGATTTACTTTGATCACCACTTTGGGGATTCCTTTTCGGTGGATTACTTATTTCAACCTATAAAAAGAAGAGTAGTTTTCCTAATGTAACAATTGGTATTTTTTCACCCGGAAAACAATGGACGACAACTCTTTGCGAGGGTATTGTCAATTCATCTTAGTAAAAATTGTTCAAATCATTACGAACATCATATAAATCTGAAGCAATTAAAATGGCATTGCAAATTGCAGTGTTTTAACTTTGTATATACCAAGCCTTTTGAAGGGTATGATTGTCAAAATACTATGAGTAACAAACTCTTTGCTCTAATCTGTAACACATATCTCATATACCTTAACATTGAATCCATCAATCTCTTTTCCATCAACTTTTAATAAAGCCTGAGCTGCCTCAGATTCGTTTTCATATTCCAAGTATGCCAAACCCTGTTATAAGACAAAAATTAGTGAAAATGGACGTATGAGACGAGTAACTAACAGCAGATTTTACTATGAACAACCAAAGAATCAACCAAAATGGTATATTTGAGCAATATTCATACCAAAAAATAAGTATAGAAAAAGGAGATGTCAGAGAAGCTTGAATTATTGACTAGGCTAGAGTTAGACTCAAGTCACCATGAAGTGACTCAAGTAACAAGAAAATGAGACTTGGTGATTGACTCGACTTGGAATCAACATTACACCAGTCACACTCTTATTTACTATTAATGCTCTTATACTACTGTGTTTCCTCATTTCTATGACATTTGAAACATTTAATCAGTTCAAGAAATGATCATGACTGGATAAACACAAAATCAGTCACACACAAGACGGTCAGGATACCTGTGGCGACTGAACATTACCTTAGATTGTCCACTTCTATTTGTCACAATACGCAGCGCTTTCAACGTTCCATGTTTGCCAAATTCTTCTCTCAATGTTTCCTCTGTCGTTTTGAATGATAAATTGGAAATAAATAACTTGTGTTTTTCCAATCCTACTTCATATCTGAAGATCTAAATTCGAAAAAAAATCGTTGAGAACAATAGCAGATAAAGATTTTGAGATATGATGAACTGACTTTTCAATTTCTTCTTTATTCGAATGTGGAATCCAACTAGAGGATATTCAAATTATAACAAAGCAATATATTTATTATCCAAGTGAGAGCTCAGTATCAGAACTACAAAAAAAATGAACGTGAAATATTTCACTATATTTGCGTGCAATCACTTATATTCTTGCTGGTAAAAATGATTTACAGGGTGCACTGCTTGATATGCACCTTATTTGAAGAAACAACGGAAAAATTTCAAAGAATTAAAATTGATATAAGAAATTGATAATTTAGTTTTTCAGTATACTAAAATAAAGCATAGTATCAAGTGTGAAAAAGTATAGAGGCAATTTATTCAGATTCATATTAACAACTCAAGCTTGAAAAAAAAACAGAATTCGTGTGTCAAAAAAACATAAATTTACCTTGAAATTTGGATGTTTTTTCTTATCAACATTAGGAGATACAAACATTGGACGAGTGTTTATATGCTGAAAAACAAAAAAATTCGATATTGAACATAAATGCATCAGTTTTATCAGTTTAAATGCATCATCATTCAGTTTTATTTCACCTTAATTTGAAAAATGTACAAACCTGTCTGTCTAATTTTAAAGCTTCTTTTGCAGAATTTTCATTAGTAAATTGAATGAAAACAAATCCTCTGAAATTTCCATTGTGACTTCGGGCAACACGAATTTCATCAATCTTTCCACACTTACTGAAAATCTGTTCCAAAAATTGATTGAATTGATAAAACTTGATATATATATGTATATATATTGGCTGAGTGGCTGCTATTATCGCCTGGTACTTAGCATGTAAGTCTATATATGTATGACATTTTTAAACCTCATGCAACCATCCCAATCAGGGTATACCAAATTAAGTAGGCAATGCCAAATTGAAAAGATTCATGTCCTTAATAAAAATGTAACTCTTCATGCATTAGTGGAAACTTGTGAAGAACCTTCTTACGAGTGAAGATGTTAAAAGAAAACGCATAAAAAAGATTCGAAATATATTTTAAATAAATTATAAAATATATGACTGTTTGAATATCAACTTTATATGTTTTTATTCAACCCAAAAAAACATGCTATATCTTATTAATATAAGAAATGTGATATTTGACCTCCTGTAATTTCTCTTCTATATTTTCTAGTTTGAAGTCCAGATTGCTGACGAATATAGTTTTATTATCTGATTCAGGTTCAGCATCATGGGAAGATATATCTAAAAAACAAAATAACAAATACACAGTTATTTTACCACATACAGCACAACTCTATAAAAATGTACAAAGTATTGAATTTGAAAGAAATTCAAAATCAGATAATATTTAGTTGAAAGCAATTCTTCTGAAAAAAAGTCTGACAAAACTGAAAGTTTATCTTACATCATGACTTTGCCAAATAAAGTAATTTAAGAATAAAATTTCAATCTTTAAAAAATAATAATGCATTGAAATTGCTCGTCATTTACCGAATATATAAACAGCTAAACAGGGCAGTCGAGTCAGTCCGAGTTTAACATGTTTGTAATCGGGTCTGAGTCTTATTTTCGAAATCCTTAAACCAGAAAAAGGACTTGAAATTTGGAATTCTCCAGAGTCAGGATTTCAAATTCTCCATGAAAATAAAACGCTAATTGAAATTTTCTAAAGGAAGTCAAAAAGCATCAAGTTTACTAAACGCTCCTAACAGCCTAAATTTTCGTTTTTAGAATTTGATTTTTTCAACCCAATTCTAAGTCGTTTGTAACTTTTCCATGGATACACAGCCCTGATCCCAAGCAAGGCTTCCGTGTATACCATATTTTACCTCGAACTATAAAAAACATTTCAAATATCGTACATTACACTCTAAATCAGGGGTCACCAACGCGTTGCCCGCGGGCACCAAGTCGCCCGCGAAGACCATATGAGTCGCCCGCAGGTCTGTTCCAAACTAAGCTTAATAACGGCTCTTATAAGTAAGCTACATCAATTATATTTTGTCCTGCTATTTTAGTATAAATCACACTTATATGGAAACTAGAAATGACACTATATTAATTATTGTAACCATCAACCTTATTTTACTTTGACCTCAGTAATGTGACGGGTCAATTAACACTCTTTCAATTATGACATCACATTGAGGTCACTTTCCACGAACCCGCGCTTTTTCTTGTCCGTTGGTTAGCGGAGCAGTAATAATACAGATACTGATTCCAAAGAAAAACCCATCATTTTCACGATAAATGGGAGGTGGATATATTTATACCACCATGAAAACAGCCTGCGCGTGTCTCATTAGTGGGGCGATTTCAGCGACGGCAAAGCGGAGAGATATTTCACATCTTGTCACATAATCTTCTGCGCTAACTACCACTGGTCAGCACAGTACGGACAGAAAAAGCTCGCGATTCAAATCATACGGCAATCCTATTTTACGAGACCATCGTTTGTTTCAACCTATCCTTTCGAATCAACATTTTTGACATAAACTCAGGATAGGAGGAGATTTACATATTTATCCCCGGGAAGAAGATAGGACGGTTTAACCATATGACAAACCACGGCTTCTTGCCGGTTACCATTCGATGTCGGGTATGGGATTAGTTAGTTATTTGTTTCCGGAAGCCTGGACTTGATGGAGAAGGAAGCCTTAACCGACCAGCGGTTACGTGAACCACCCTACGGCGGCGAGGAGTCCAGCAATCTTTTCGCACATAACTATCCCCGGGTGGGATTCTAACATGTGAACCTAACGCTTGACACGATGGGCCATAGCGCCGCGACTCACTCCACCAGGAACAAACACGGAACACGCCTCACTGATGAAAATCTGCAAGACTCACTCAGAGTTACAGTGACAAGTTACACGTCGGAGTATAATACTCTGCAACATTTGATAGTACAACTGTTAATTACATTTTATCTTAGACTTGTGCAGAGTGTTGAAAATCAATTTGAAAACACTCAGTTTTGAAATACAAGTGTTATTGATAGAAATTTATTTGCAACGTTGTGATAATTGTTTGATTTCCTGAATAATTCTAAAGTTTATTAGTGTCTATACTTCACTAAATACCAGTAATTATATCAATAATTGAAGCTTAATCGAGCAACTGATTTTTTAGAAGTGTACATTGAACTGGTAGCCCGCAGCTTAATCTGTACCCAAAAAGTAGCCCTCGGCTTCGAAAAGGTTGGTGACCCCTGCTCTAAATCAAAATTGAAACTATTACAAAAATACACTCAAATTTCAATAACTAATAAAACTTTTATAATCACCTTGCGATTTGTTATTATTCCGATCAGAAGGCATAATCTGACCCTTGAACCCGGGAGGCGGCTTATTTTTGAATCCAGGAGGTGGAGGTGCTTTAAATCCAGGAGGTGGACCTTTGAAGCCTGGTGGAGGTTCTAAAAACAATAGTAAAGCAATAACGAGAATATCGGTCAGAGACCGAAGACTTATCGATCGAAAGTTAGGGGATCCCCTAAAACAGCGCTCTTACTCCATAGTGACACCTTGTGTCCCATCACTAATTAATTAATAACCCGCTAATTATACGACATAATTCGCCCTAAATCAATAGGCTTCTGGTCCGAGATATGATGAACGAACATGCAAAATCTGGAGCAGATTTAATCTCGCTTTCGTGAGATATCGCGTGCATCTAACAGACAGACAGAAAGACAGACAAATACCTATCAACATACTTACCGATTAAAATAGATAAGTAATAAGCTTTCTTTTATTAAAATATATCAGTTGACGAAAATAATATTCACTTACTTGAACCTGTTGAGGACACTGCTGTTGGTTTGGATGGAGATTTTGATTCATTACCGTATCGTACTGGAAGGCCTAAAAAATTAATACAGCACTGTCATTTTCCCATTTAACATATTCCTGAGCCCTTTACATATTTACAGAATAAATATAGATTTAACCTGAAAATAATTCAAAAAAAATTTTTCATATAAATTTCATATAAAAAACTTCCAAAATTGTGACACTCCAAAATTCTTATTCATCAAGTTATCAATGACACAATCTGCTACAAAAAAAAAACAACAAACCTGCTGGAGTCTTGAATCCACTACTCGACGTTGAGGGAGATTCTTCAGTTTTCATTCGTTTCTGTTCTTCATGATATCCACCATGATCTCCTGGGATATTAATAAACGTAAGTTTAAGAGAGAGATAAAATGCACCCAAAAGCTAACTCCGTCAAGAACTATACCAATAACAAGCTAATCACATGGCTATACTTGCTTAGAATTCCCTACTTTTAAATCAACAAAGGCTAAGCTATTTACCGTAGTATACCAAGCGCCATTTTTTATGAGAGATCAAATGATTCATATAGGAGTGAGTGAACTAAACTATATACAAGCCTTAATAATAATGGCATCCACCTTTTTTATCATGACTTTTGTCTTCTCCAGAACTTTTTCTTTTCATTGGTCCAGATTGTTTGTTTCCCTTCTGTTGTCTTGGTTGCCATTCCTTTTTTCTAGGACGCTGGATGTATGCAGAGGCAGAAGCAGCATCCTGTGAATATAAATAGTAGCCTACATAAAAAACTTTTCATACAAACTAATATCACAAAACACTCATTTGCACGCTATCACATCAACAATCATTTACTCAGCACGAAATTTCCAGGTTTGAATCTCATGATTCAATGATATGCACGAGGTTCTTAAAACTTTTTTCATCAGGACCCACATGACATAGCCAAATTTTTTCACGACCCTTAGGAACTAAAATAAAAATATGGTAAACTCACATACGTTTCAACTGCCATTAATAGAACAATTACTATTCCACTGCATTTTTTATCAACTCCAGTAACTACTAACTGCTCAGGTTTATTCAGATTCAACTTCCCTCAGTACCGTTAGCCTATAATTCGTCAGCATATTCTTTGAACATAGAGCAAAGTTGTTGCATAACAATATTTCCGTCAAGCATGATGACTCGTCTAATTTGGTTTTGTTCTGGCTGGGAGAGGCGTACTTCTTTATTTCTTTAAATAAAATTTTCTTGGCCGACTCGAGGGTTCAGCCAACTCAGGGTAATGTTCAGCTTCGTCACGTTCAGTCAGCATCGGTTTTTCTCAACTATTTAAGATGTTTCCTTGTCAATACTTTAATTGATACGTTCTCAAAACATAACGCTCCCACCGAGGGCGGGAACGCCAGTTCGGAGAGCCCTGCACTATGTTATAGGAAGGGCCGTTTCACAAAGCAGCTAGTTAGCAAAAGTTTCCTCTAACAACCCAAATCATGCAATTCTGTACATAGACTAGTAACTATAAATTCACACTTTCGAATTCAATATTTGATTAACCCTATGATTCTGTTTCTTTTTCCATCTCCATAATAAATATCCCACCTTTTCTCTCCTTTTTGTGACCTTTGACATTTTATTTGTGACACGCCTCCTCGATTCATCCATCTCTTCAATATTACCAAACTCTCTCTCGAAATCGAGTAGCATCTCACAAGCAACTTCTGCATCTGGTATTCCACCTCTTTCACTGTTAGGAAGTATTGCGCAATTCTGTACAGCTTGTCGTAATATAGATCTGCATTTATCAAGTTTGTCATCTCCGCCATACAACCTGGAATAGAATTAAAATATTGAAAAATACTATAATATGTGACTTTGAATTAAAACGACAATTAAAATACAGCTGGAGTCTTAATGGAGACACAATAGGAACAAATGGTATGTATATTATTGGCCGATTCCATTTGGAAAACTATATTAAGCAGTATATCCTTAGACTTTTATTTGTATTTTCTATGGTTTACTTTCAATATAGAATAAAAACTTTTTGAGTCTGGTTTGTTATGTTATGTCAAAAAAAAAAAAATGCAAGACACGAGTACGATTTGATCATACTACCGTATTTTCTCGAAATTACGCCTATCTCGCGAATAAGCCGACTCCCTAATACCAGCTTCAAAATAGTGAATTTATAAAAATTCGCATATACGCCGTTTCTACAAATCGTAACGGAAGACAGCACTTTGCGGCACAACTAAATTACTGTCAACATAAAAGGAATTAAATCAGCGCCGACTTGAAGTACCGAATGTATGACATGAGAACATTTTTGATTGAAAATATTTTACAATCCCTATTTTATATTAACGTAGTCGAGATATCCTGAGCGGCAACGGCAATAAATTTGGTTATTTTTCGCAAGTCTTCTCAAACATGATTTGTGTAAGCTTCATATATGGGCTGATATATTTTATAATGTATGCCAAAGTGTCTGCCGATTATTTAATTGACTTTGTATACCAGCTGTTATTTGTGTTAATCCTTTAAAAACAAAAACGTGGGAAGCACTTCCTGCCCGATATCGGCACTTCAGAAAGAAAACGCTACCACGAGATAACGTAATTGATTTATGACCCTTCCGTTTTGCTGATTCAGGAAAAAAACGGAAAACACAGCTGTTGCCTAACCCATGGACGTACAGCAATATTTATCACACCATATTCATATGTTATTTCAACTTTTCAGTTAAATGGTTGTTCAAAACAATTGAAATTACAGTTTTATTGTTAAGAATTAATGCTGTGACTGTGAGTATTATTCTACCTGATTCTTACTTGTAAATTTATGTTAATAACGTCTATATTGCTTTTCAATGCGCGGTGATTTGTATTAATGAAGGGATAAAACAGAAGGGATCAGCAAAAAACAATTTCTTTTAAATCGAATGTTGTATTAACACATTCTTATAAATCGCTGATTCGGAACTTGCTATTAAAAGGATTTTCAAACGTCGTAGAATGAATGTCGTTTTGTGACATATTTACAAGCTCCATTATTTCGATGTTGCTCCGTAATGCGATTTGAATAATTTTATTTAACATTTAATTTTAAATATTGTGTCATCACCTCAACAGCGTAAGCGATGTCATGCATATGTAACGGTAAATATTTCAATTATAACGGAGATAAGAGTCTTTATCAGCGCAACTGAAAAGGATAACATATCGTAAAGGTGATCAAAATGAGGGCGCCGTTACTTGCGTTGTACCGCGATAGTGCACTAAATGATAACGTTTCACCACGAAAGGCTGGCCGTAAATCGACGCCAATCAGACTGTACAAGCGTCACGTGTTTAACAACCAATCACAGACTGTACGAGCCATCAGCTGTATGATGAGACAATCACACCGGCACAAGCGATTGTGTGTGTGGTTCTTTATCGTGAGAACTTAGTGCGGTTTGAAGCTTTTGGAATTACCGGCAAGTTAGCTAAATGTCAATCTCGTTGTGTGATCAAAGTCATGCGCGAATGAGTCGATTTTTTTTATGAAAACTGAGTTATGCGAGTATAAGCCGCCCCCTTAGTTTGGCAACTTTTTTTTTGTGTTTTAAACTCGGCGTATGTGCGAAAATATACGGTAATTCTTAAATAATTTTGATAGAAATCAAGTAAATCTAAAACTATCGAAATTAAAAAACGTCAACGCAGGTAACCCTCATCAAACAAAATCTAACTGAACTATTAGAAATTCTTACCAAGCAAAATTGAGGAACTACAAGAAAATGTAATTGAAGAACCAAGCTATGCAAAATTAGTAACAATAACATATTTCCCCCCAAGTCCACGCATCTGAAACAAATAACCTGACTTAACCATGTTTCGCCACATGATTGAGCAGCATATCAATTTTTCTCTCCTCCAGATAAACATGCAAAATCCTATCCAGTTTTATATGCACTTAATATATCATACCTTTCAATATTATACCATTCCCTCCAAATACAAATTTTTCTTCTTGCATCTGCATTGTCTTGAGTTAGTGTTTGTAAAATATCAACAGCTTTATTATGATTTTTTAAGCATCCAGCTTCACATCTTGCCCAGAATGTCCACATTGAATAATTGTCATCTCCGGTGTCATCAAATGCTGGAAATAATAGCAATACCTGTCAGTATGCAACATTATGACAGAAGACATTTATGCAATAGAGGTAACAGTCAGAGATGCTTATTACACAAGGCCAAACATTATAGCCCTGTTGAACGTAGTCTGAAAAATGATGGAAAGTCATCAAAAGGCATTGACCATTAATAATGATGCTCTGGAGTAAATCAAGGAAGTTAATCACGTCATATAACCAGGGTGGTGGTGGACTCGGCACCTTTACGGCCTGCGGCCCAGAGAATAAAACCCGATAATCTTTGGGAGTTCCTTGTAGGTTCCACACTAGGCGGTGTGTAGTATGTGCAAAATCTAGCGTTATTTATGGAAGTACATACATGAATGTTCATTTACAGATGTCTGTAATACTGTAATCAGATACAGACAGCAGGTCCAAAATCTCGCATTTGTTGAGTTTCATGAAATTGCTCACTGTTTTAATATTTGTAAACCTGTTATGAACCACAGTGATATCGCCGTAGTCGAACATTATTCATTCAGGATTGGTGTTCAACTACCGATTTTATCAAGCACTAAACTTTTTGCCACTTTACCACTAAAAGTCTCTGATAAATGGTAACTCGTGTCCAACCTCATTTGAGTCAATGGCTGTGACTGAAAAACAACTTCTGACCCCAAAATTATGTAATCAATAGAAAGCAATGCTAAGTCCAACGCGAAATTAAAACCATGTTACCTGGATATAATTTATCATTGATGTAGTTAGTTGCTTTAACAAAGATTTCTCTCAACTCTTCCATTTCTTCTGGACCTGAATACAACATATAGCTTGACAACTTGAGGTGCATATTACCCAAACAGGACAGCAATGCATAAATATATGGACAAAAAGGTTAAAGGTCATATAAGTGTTTCAAGATGCCATAAAAAGCATTCACATGACTCAAAATATAACAACAAACTTTGGAGGAAAATATTTGGTCCTAACAAATTTAAAAAAAAACCTAATAGTAATAGCCTTCTAAAGACTTAACCAAACAATAACAAACTATACAACAACAATTCAGCCAAATGATCGGTGTCAAATAATGGACAATAAAGAATATAAGGCAAACTAATAAACAGATAAAGTAGAGTAAAAATATGTTGAAACAAGAATAAAATGTAGAACAAAACGGAAAATAATTTATATAAAAGAGCATACTACGAATCAACATACCATTAGAAATTCTTCTCCTCATTTGAGAGCATTTTGTCCGCCATAATTCAACATATTCACTAGCTGATGTAAATCCGGAAGATAGCGCTTCTTCGAAAACATCATTCAACTAAAATAATATTTCGAAGTTGAAATTCGACATAAAGCTTTTACTTCTACAAATTTAAAATTTTGAAAAGTAAAAACATTACCTTTTCTTTATTTGCATTATTTCTCTCCAGTGCTAATAAATATAAAACCCACAATTGACCGGTCCATGGACAATTTCTGACTGACCTGAGATGGACATCTACCAGTAATTTCGGCGAGTGAATCTGATAACTCTAGTAAACAAGAATAAAATTTGATATTACAAATATCAAAAAATGAGTAAAAATGAATTAAAAATATTGATATTCTAAAATTGAATAACTTTCTGTATGCTTGTAACTGTAAGTTGTTTGATGTCATTTGAATAATGAATCAGTGTTAGTCAATTACCATATTACAGTGAACTGATCTGGGTTAGAAGAGTTTTTTAAGCGGAACTATAGGAATCTTATCATCTATAACATCTTTCACACTGAACTAACTCACCATATATTTCAAATATTGTATCCAGAAATCAGAATTCAAACAATTTTCAACCAATGCTCTTTCATAAATACATTGCACTCTTTCCAGAGCTCCTAATTTGATCTCATGTTGAATGTAATTTTGATATTCCTCTAACTTGGGTGATGCAGCCTGTAGCTACAGTAGATAAGAAAAATGATGAAAGATAAAAATACAATGATAAGAGTTATAAAATGCAATGATTACCAGATTTAAAGAAAGCAAATGATAAGTCATTTGAGTTTGACATAGTTTTTAATATATTATGTAAAACCTTATATTAATATCCAAAAAAATGATCTAACATCTAAAACGAGAATATCGGTCGGAGACCGAAGACTTATCGATCGAAACTGCGGTTTCGATTCACGACTCTATAGTGACATAATTCATCCAAAATCAATAGGCTTCTGGTCCTAGATAAGATGAATGCACATGCAAATTTTGGAGCAGATTCAACCTCGCCTTTGTGAGATATCGCGTTCATCTAACAGACAATCAAACAGATAGACAGACAGACAAATACCTTACCAAACCGATCTTAAGATCGATAAGTAATAATGAGAAACATAAGATTATCATATAAAAATTATAATAATCCCAATTACTGTTTTATCAGTACATTAACCATGTTAGCACAGTGAAACCCCCGTGTAAAACTTCTGCAAACTTTCTGTCAATAGCAGTCATACTCAAAAGCACAAAAAAATTATTATGAATAAATCATACAATATTTTGAAAATCCAGATGTGTATTATCATCTCAGCTAAACACAAAAAATAGGAATTGCTATTTCTAATTCCATAGCTTAAAATACACAGTTAAGAAGTAATACACTATATTAATGGTATTACACTAAAATATTTGATTGATGAAATATTGGCTCTGATGTAAATATTCACCATTATTAGCATCAAGTCTATAACAATTTGTCCAAATATATCATAATGAAATTGAAAAAGTGGAATTAATTCTTACCAATGCATCTTCAAATGGTTTCAACTCTTCGAATTGTTTGAGTGATTTTTCATACATAACTTTAGTGTTTGAGTCAATTTCATCTTCACACCATTCAATATATTCTTGCATTGTGGTTTGCATATCTGAATAAAAAATATTTCAACCAAACAGTAAAAAATATTAGGAATCTAGGGTAGGATTTACATATTTATCCCCGGGTAGAGGAAAGCCAATGAGACACTTAATCGTATGGCAAACCACAGCCTCTCGTCCGGTTACCAGTCTATGTCGAGTATGAGATTAGTTAGGGTAATCCGAGGTGAGCGTATTCTTAACGATCAGCATGTTGCGCGACAACGTCGAAAAAACATAACACTTTATCTAAATAATATACTAGCCTCAACTATAACATAATCTACAACATTTTTATTACTAGGGTATTACTAGGGCAAAAAATATTAATAAAGTTGCTTGCATAGAGCATGGTTTATTAAAGCAAAATCTGTGAATAGGCCTCATACAAAAAAAACTAAGGCTGGACAAATGGACCTTTCCCCGAGCATCGACTTTCTTGTTTACTTCGTGACATTGGCCAATCAGCAAGATGAAAAAAGTGACGTAACAACTAACAATGCTCCCTTTTCGCCTCCGCTCAGACACTTTTTTCACTCAGACAGATTTTCAAGCGCGGTCTTAAACATTACCTTGTTTTCGCGTTTTTGAACTCTATTCATTAGTTTTCAGTTGTGTTTCGGTAACTTAAATATAAATCAGATAATTCAATGATTACTCTGTCTTCCTAGGAGTTTTAATTTAATTGCAGTAATAAAAAATTAATGTATAAATAGCTGTGATAGACTAGGCTAAAATTCTTTATCGGTAATTTTGAAAAACAGATTGTTGTATGCAATAAACCATAATGATGGTTTGAAACACTGGGAGAGCAACAAGTCATTGTTAGCCATAGTTTATCTTTCAAGTTACAATCTATGCTATTTAAATAAAATAAATTTGTTCAAGAACAGTATTACCATTGGTCCATTGTACTTACCTAGCAGGGGAATGGCGAGTTGTCGCTTGAAGAGAGTTTTTATTTTATTCGATTGTTTTTTGATTTTTTCTTGTTGTTCGGCTGTCGGTACACTTCCAGGAGCAGGCTGTTGATTTGAAAAATAGAGTTCAAAAAACTAGTTAGAGGAAAATTACACATTTCTCATATATACATGTAGGCTATATAAATAGTTTTTAAATTAAATTTGATACTGCAAGAAGACCCTGTAATTTGGACTCATTAGGTATGCAGGCAACTTTTACATACCTATTACTGGTTAGTAACATTTCGAAACATATTTGCCTTGATAGATTTTTTTACAATACAGAGTCAACCAAAAACTGGAATAAATAGGTTACATTCAAGAAAGCTATATGAATCAGCATAGTGCGCCAGCTAATTTTTGGAAAATATCAATTTTAAGTTTTAATCTCAATGCGTGCCATACTGGTAAGTAATAACTAACCTGTAAATTTTGTAACATTGCATTTTCAAATTCTCTGTACATTTCCCATAACGCAGCACCTTCTGTTACATGTAGGCCTACGGCTGTTATAGATCTTTCCATAACATCACGAATTCTATTCAAACCATCTTCTGAACCCAACCATCTTATAGAATATTGAGCATATTCGAGCCATACCTCTGGACCTAATAAAATGAAAATATAAAAAAATAATATTAACTGAAGTCAAAATTTCCAAATAAATTTCACCTTTATGCAGTAGGCTATGGTCAGGGATGGCCATTATCGTATTATTCAAGTGCATTTTGATGCATTGCCAATATCTCGGAAAGTAAAAAAATAAACCAGTTATGTCAAACCAAATGCCAACACAAGTATGTTGTATTCTAATTAATGAATAATCTTGAACATACCTAGCATATTGCCTATAATAACTCACATATGTAATCCTTGACAGCTTTCTCAAATAATTCAACAATTCTATTATGATCTTCTTCCGATTCCGCATATTTTTTCTCATCTTCAATCCACTCCAACCAGAGAGCCTAGGACAAGAAAAGAGAGAATTCATCGAAAAAGGTTGGGAACCACCGATATAAACTATGACAATTTACATAAATTAGTTCCACTGAGAAGAAATTTTGGTGCAGCTATAGCATGAGATCATCCACCTATGTGTATGTCGCCTACCGAGTTACAGTCTGGGGTTTAAGTTAGAGAAAAAGAGATTAATCTCCTAGTATACTGGCGCTGTAAATTTACAAATATTTCAGTCTCACCTGAGTTAGTGGAAATATCTTTGCCATAACATTACGAGCATCTCTTAATTTTTCAAGTTCTCCAGTTTTCCTCAGAAGTTTAATAAGTGTGATGTGAGAATGATAGTCAAATGGAGATCTGGACAACTAAAAACAATACAAGGTAAATAACCAAATAGAAATAAAAACTTTACAATGGGCCAATTCTAAATCTCACATTGCTTCGAATCATAAGTGGACAACAGCTTATTTTATTCTCGATACTACTGACACCTATTGTATGTTGATGTTTTTCTAATCTGCATTTATAACCATATTTATTACGAGTAGTATATTGGTAAAAAATTGAAGCACCTCACAAAATCAATGCTATACATGATTATTTACATTGGGTTGAAAGGCCAATACTTACAAACAAACCAAGAGTATCTATCCCATGGATGACAAACCACTGTCACAAAGTGGCCCATCACGGATTATTGCAAAATAACGTTTCAACATATTTAAAGCGAGGAAAAAATTTGATATGAGACCCGTCTTAATTAAATCTATCAATATGTGTAATAAAAAATGAAACGTCCTCATTAAAAGTTCCTCATCAAATGTACGGCTCACTTTTTCGTTTTCATGATAAAAATATAATGAGTAAGCCAATCAGTACAAAAGGCTTCGCCATCTCTGATCTATACTATAACATTTTGTTGAATAAAAATCAAATGAAATACTTTCTCATTCAATTCCTCAATTTCCTTCAAGGATTCTTCCTCAACATCCTCATCACTTGATAATTCATCTTCTTCTCTATCTTCCTCCTCCATTCTCTCCTCATCCTCCATTTTTAAGACTTTATAACAAAGAATATAGAAGACTAAAACAAAAAGGTGCAATTTTTAATAGTATATTGTAAGCAAAATAATAAAAATATTAACCATAGAATCCAATACCGACAAGTATGATTATTTTGTATATCAGAAAATATACCATATTGTACTCAAGATCAACAAAATAATGCTTTTATTGAATTATTTTTTACAGGCAGTTTAAATAATCCGAACTCATGAAAAACACAGTTCGCAAACAAAAATTATTTCCAATTTTGAACAAATTCAGTTACTCTGGCATTCCTAATTTAGTGCAGTAAATATAGTCTGCTATAAACCTCCTGTTACAAAATATTACATATTGTACATACCACATTGTAGTTTTTAAAAAAATATCTTCCTATCGAATACATAAATTTGAATATATATTCTCCCATAACAATTGTTTATCATTCCTGTCATAATACATCACAAATTTCAATGGCAAAAAAATGAATTAAAAATTACCGTCAACTTTACAAAAAAACAAATATGAGTAAAAATGATTATATCATTATATAGTATCATTGAGTACTGGTATAAGTTGAATGCTTTGATGTTTGAATGGATACATTTGCCTTAGTAAATATGCAAAATTACAAGAGGCTGCACTCCCAGGACCAAAGTCCCCTATACCAACAAAAGGAGGTATTAAGATGTGATTTTGGTCGAGTAGGTGGCAGATGATATGTGTTGGTTTATATTCATTTATTAGACAACATAGTGTAACATAAACTACAATAAATCAGGGTTTGGGTTTTTTAATATTCCCAACAGCAGGTATAACAGTTGTTTTATGAGTCAAAATTTTTTCTGTGGAACTTCTCGAACCTTGCTGATCCCATTTTGATTTTTTTACCGGATCCCCAGAACCACCTTGACTTGAGGTTGAAGATGGCTTTTTAACTGTTCCTGTAACAAACTCAACCTTAGTTTTACGCTCTTTCTCCCTCTTGGCCATATCTTCTCGTTGAGCTCTTGCAAGTTCGTCATATTTAGGAACTTTTCTCCATCGTTTTGGATTATAGTCCTGAGGTGGAAAATTAGTTCCTAATTCATCAATACCTAAATATAGAATCAGTTTATCATAAATACTAGGATTGCGAAAATCTTTTCGTGACTGAATCGCTTGATTTAAGTCCTCCCCATGTGTCACTTTCCGTTCCATAAATCTAGTAATTTTATCCTGTAAACTGCTTGAACATCTTCCTTCCGGCTCAGGTGGTATGCTTACTTCATCAACAGAAGCAGATCTGAGTTTTTTGGCCAGATTGGTGGCGCTCTCAGAACTTTTTCGTTTCGCTCTTCGCTTCGCTTTTGCCATTAATGTATCACCTAGATTGCTTACATCATCATTTTCCTCCCCTTCACTACTTTCTTTTCCGCCATCTTCTTCTGCCTCATCAACGTCGCTCCCATCATGAATCACCGAGAGATCCTCAACATCTTTTATAGCATTTTCGGGATCATTTGAGTCTTTATCTTCCTCCTCTTTTTCCTCATCATCATCATCATTGATATGTTCATCTGGATCTTGCCAAATATCTTCTTGATCTTCGATAGTCCCCTTAGGTGAAGGTGATTTCGGTTTATCGTTAGTCTTCTCTTGGGGCTCTAACGTACGAGTTTTCTCTTCTTTTTCTGTTTTTTCTTCTATTTTTTTTTCTTCATCTTCCTCATCAGATATATCATATGAAGCAAGAGCGTCTAAGCCTGACATTATTTTCATAAAATATATCTGTAATTGGAAGAAAAGTATTTCAACAATAATTAACAACAATAATAACTACTGGTAATCATAGTTTGAAGCAATTTCCACTATTCCTTTCAAAGAAGTTTGGAAAATATACGTTTCACTCAATGCCTTAACACAGCTTGTTCAAGTTTCGCCTTTTTGGTCAAAGCCATTGAGTGCATTCATATTAGCAGTGTTGTCATTATTACACTGCTGTCAGGCAAATTTTCATTTATTTTGGGGGCCAAGATAAGAACTAATTATACCTAATTAAATACAAATTAGTTAAAAATTATTATTATAGAGGTATTGATAAAATGGACAGTTTGTTCTGAGATATACTGGGAAAAAATACCAGGATGTAGTTCGGGTGTCACTACAAAATCCGCAATAAATGGCACCAAATGTTAGAGTAAAAATGATCACAGTTATTATCACTCATACCTTCTCAAAGAACCAATATAAGCATTGGTCACAGACAAATTTAATCTATACTTAAACAGATTAAAATCAAAACACATTTCCAGATTAAATTATTAATTTGACATAATATATGTTCCCCTAAACAAAATACATCCATATTATACAATTGATAAAATGAAAGCATGGATATATTTAGATTCATCTTACAAGTAAACCAGAAATAAAAAGCCAAAATGCAGTATAATACTTTAAATTGAAATTGCTATTTTAAATATCACTCGTACACATGAAATTCATTAAACGACTTTTTCCTTTTTCATTATCAAGAAAAATATTGTTATAACTATTTTAGACATTAGCACATTGTTAGGAAATCAAGATACCTGATACAACGATGCTTTTGTTAATATAAACATGAAAATTACACCGCTAATATATTGAAGTTCATGTCTTATAGTAAAAAGCATTTTTTTAAATTGAAAATGTGATGGATAATAGTTTAATTTATTAATTACTTTTATGGTGGCACAGCAGCTTAGGCATGCACAGCTTATGACTGTACGGACCGTATGTCAAACTTTTTTAATTCAATTCAAGGCAAAATTTAAAATCTGATTTGTAGACTAGATAATTTAGCATTATTCATTGCTTTCTCGTTGTTTACGGTCAGCTCTAATACCTTCAATGGCTATACCTGCGACGATAGCCATCACAGTGAAACCCTGCGCAAGTATACGCCCCCTCATCATATTTTGTGATACTTTGGCATTCCCCATGTTCAATATACCACGTGTCAAGAAAAATACTGTTCCGCCCAGTCCTAATGGTATAAAAGGATTTTCTTTAAACTTTCTCCACACCATCTGAGCAGTGGTTTCTTGATCAAATATATTAGCTGATGTATACTGGGGCATACTGGGATTTATAAATTGACGAGGTTGAATTCCATCAGGAAGCTGTGACAATATTTCAGCCTCTGTCATTTGTTTCTTTTCTCCAGACATTTTGAATTGGTACAGGTATGGTACCGGTACCAGGTACCGGTAGTCTAAGAAATCTGGTTCAACTTATCCTATGTGTCCGCACTTTGTAAACCCAAAACTTCTGGCTGAGTGTTATATTTCCAATTATCCTCTTTAATTTCTGTTAGAAGATGTTTTAGATCTGCCAATCGTTGCTGATGAAGTTCTTTTTCGGTCTCTGATCTTACTTCTTCTATTTCCACGCCGATGTCTATAAACTCTTTCAATAGTTCGGCGTTTTGTTGCTTGCTCTGACCGCTTTCAATAAACGAGGATTTTGCAGTCGACATTAACATACAACTAGCAAGTCACTGTGACATTGAATAAAACGAAAACGAACCTTGTGCGTGTTTGCAACAGCAACGTAGGTGTTCTCTGGACTCTGATACTTACGTCATGTATGGATGACGTCAGTTCAAAATGACACCATATTTCGTAAGACGGAAATTACGTTCAGGCACTTTGTAAAAACCTGTTTCGCAATGGTTGTGATTACTGAATGCCTGATTAGTTCAAAACAGAAAAATCAAATATTATAGGTTTCAATCTTTTTTACGCAGGTTTACTACACATTTATTTATACTAAAGCTTCGATCACGTTTTTACTTCACTTAGGCAACCAAGATTTTATTACTTTTCATCCTCGCGTGCCCAAAATTCCATAAAGTACCAGGCTTTGAGAATTTGGAATGATATTAACGCAAACCTGAATGAAATTTCCAGTTTTAAAATTTTTTCCAAGAAGTATTTCCAGTCTTTTCTGAATGAGTACTGATTCACAACTTTTCAACTGTACGTTTTTATTTTTATTTGTGTGATATAAAATTGAACGCTTTTTCTTGACGCTATCGTTTTAAATTTTGTCTTATATATATGTGTCGTATTACTCTTGTTACATGATTATTAGTTACAACAAATTAACATGATTTATAATTGGTATAATATAAAACAGGGTGGTCCAAAGTTGCGAGTTTGAAGGACTGCAAATACTTTTGAGGAGGTCTCGTCGTTCGCAGTCGGAGGAAACCTACTCACTTAAAATATATTTAAAAATAAGAGTTTATCGTTCTAATCATTTTTTTAGGAATCTATATAAAGCCTTCAGTTACTTTAAAATTGCTTCCCGAGAAATATCGTGGTATTTTCGGTATCTTTCCTCGTGTTTGGTTATGTAAAGTCGCTTAAAATTATATTTTTTCGTGACAGATATTACTTGAAAACGCACCATACACTGTGGTTCAACGTTGTTGTGGGTAAGAAATTACGTTTTCTCTCAGTTTACTTCGATCAACTTTTTCCTACAATCATTGTATAATATGATGAATTTATGACTTGTAGCGTGAGCAGTCCTAGTGCAGAGTGCTATCGTCAAATAACAACCAAGTCCGTCCAAGAACCTGTGACCCAAAAAAGAAATGAATCGCGCGGCGCTAAGTCAACTCTGCGGTACGTCACTGCTGTCACATAGCCAACGCTTGAAAAAAAAGAGTGCTTTGACTGAAAAAGAGGCAAAAAACTCTCTTGAAATGAGGAGTTACTTAACGCGAGCTCATCATCGCGAGCTTGGTCTTGTCTGCACAAGACAATTCATTCTCCTCTCAACGATCACTGGACGTCATTCTCATAGTCTTGTTGACGTTCATAGATACAACAATGAAATCCCGTGATTTCATCAAACATTAATCCCGATATCGGGATCAGGAAAAGGACTATAGTTCAAAAATAAAGCAAAATTGTTCTGCTAATAAATACAAATATCTGCCAATGGTTTAGTAGCGTACGCTGGAATTGTTCTGTGGGCCGCACAGAATGTGTTGGCGGGCTGCATGCGTCACGGGTGCCGCTGTTTGAACCACCCTGATATAAAATGTAGACTGTCAACCTCATTCATGCCAGGAGAGATGTTTTGATTTAGTGACCGTATGGTCCTCCCGACCTCCTATCAATTTCCGTGTTAGTCGATTATTTTCTTTTACTTATTGAGTGTTATTATATACTTTGCGTTTATAGTTTGATTTGTTGGATAATGACTGGATGATGAACAAACTTTCATTTATTTATGTCTAATGGACAGAGCCCAAAGTTTATTGTTACAAAACATCAATGAAATATTTCGCAGCGCGGATGGCGAAAATTCAGAATTCAAACGCACTTGTGATAAAAGTTAGGATATCATCAAATATAGAGGCCCTACAAGTTTTAACTTAGTAATTCCATCGTAAAATGAGTTCGGCATTCTCTTTTTTTAGGCCTTTACACCTCATGCGCCCAAAAATACCTGGCCTCGATGAGTTTTTGTCGTATCAGGAACCATTTGCAAAAAAGCAAAGAATATTGTGAATTAACTCACACAAAACTGAAATTTAGACGTGGTTCATCCGCTACTTTCGAACAGAACAAAAGCGAAATTATTTTTCAAATTATGTCTAATGAATGCGCTCGTGAGCAGACCGCCAGGCCCTCAACAAATCTTCTAAAACAATGTCATTCGATGATTCTGTGTAATTCCATGACATTGTTGTTTTCCTAATAATAACAATAAAGCTAATTAGACTATCACTACACCTGTTGGTCGATATGATATATATATATAGAGAGAGAGAGACTGAGAACACAAATATGTATTGTAGGCTTATGTTCATAGCAAACAAAAATAAAATCAGAGATAAAAATGCTAAAAATATTTTCAGCAAAGGACATTCAACAATGCAGTTTCAAACTTGATATATTTTAGGAACTCGTCTCATAACTTCTCCATAAGTTCATGGTTACATTTTAAAAATATAAGCAAACGGACCGTTTCAGCGTCGGCATTACCACTCATATTGGAACAATAGTTCTTTGCAATATTGAATATGCGACGAGAATAAGACAATGACGTGGAACAGGGAAGAATATCTCGAGCCATATTTTTTAAAGGTTGCAATGATTTAGGAGAATTTCTCCAGTAGTTAAGAAGGTCGTTGTGAAATGGTACAACGCTCTCCTTTACATATTCATCGACACATTTTGAAACAAAATCGTTTTCATCTTGCCCTCGCCTGGAGTTTGAAAACAAACATGAGAACAGACGTGGTCTTTTGGGTGATTGAATGGAGATTTCGTTCAAATGCTGCGTTTCATTTAATTTCATAATTTCGCTGGTGTTTTTCTGAACACCCAATTCTGTTCTTAGTGTACTGCGGAGGTTCGTTAATAACTGATCCCGAGTAAGGGGCGATTGGATCCACTCTAATTTAAATCGTGGGTCCAGAAACGATGCAAATTTAACATCATCACAGTCTAAAAACGGATCTAGGCGTGTTGTAACTGCGTCCAACAATACACCTGCGAGTTTAGCACAATGCTTCAAGCCAACGTCTAGTATACTCTGAAGAGATTGCTTCAGTCCACAAATGATCGGCCCGATTGCAGATATAGAAATTTGAGAATCACTGTCGCCAGACTCCAGGGCTTCCATGAAAGGTTCCATTATTAAAAGTAATTCTCTCAAAACCAAAATTTCGGAAGTATTGAGTTGGTTATCTCTACTTTTTGCATTCAACAAATTCACGGCAACATTAAACTCATTTGGATTCTCAACTATTGATGATAAGGTTTTGATTTGCGCCATCCATTTTACTTCATTTTTAACTTTCAAGTATATGCCTCTCTCCTGAATAAACGCGTGGCCAATTTGCGAGGCCGAAAGAGAATTTATAAGAGTGGAAACCTTCAACAGTGTAAATGTCATGGAAGATCCTTGCACTTCGGGATGCATCAGGCCATCTCTCACACACAACAGTTGGGCTTGTCTGAAGCTGTTGCCGTCTGGTAGCGCATTACCTGCATCACGAAATGCAATGTCACAATCGAAAATCCTACCAGTGGTATTTATTTGATTGATATTTTCAGAATGAAAACCTGGAAAAGATGTATCGAGTGCCATTTCCATTGATGCCGCGTTGTCCACAAACAACTTTCTTACTTTTCCCCTCAAATTATACCGATCAACAACATTTTCGTAAGCGCTGACTATAGCAGATACTTTAACTTCACCCTCAAAGAAGCTGCACCCAAGGGCACGCGATTTCAGCTCCCAATCGTCGTTTATGAAGTGCACCGTAACTCCCAAAAATGATACTACGTTGCTGGTGATTCTGGGCTTCGTCCACATATCGACAGTGAGATATAAACGACTGTAAGTCTCCAGCTCTTTACGCAGCGAAATTTCCATTCTAGAAGCATATTCGGGCAGTATGCAGTTTTTCATCGATTCGGCGGACGGCATAATATAATTTTGATCCATTTCATAAAACAAATCCCTGAAAAATGGACTTTCTACGATGTTTATGGGCAGACAATCATATGCAATGGTTGATACAAGTTTCTTGGTGATTCTTAGTTTTCGTATTTCCTCTGGATTTTGAGTTTCTTTTATTATTGTGAACGTAGATTGAATTTCAATGCTATTTGACTTCCTCAGTCGTCGACGTTGACCCACTTTAGTCGGTCTGTTTGCTTCGTACTCGGCGTGCTTATGGGGATGTCGATTTCTTAAATGAGTTACAAGATTTGATGTTACGTTTGGACTATATCGACATTTAGCAAAGCACGTTTTACACTCTGCTAGAAGTTTACCATCAGCTAGTTGACCATCCACAGTATAATAGTTCAATAGTGAATAGGGCAGTCGTTGATATTGCATCATATGTACTTGTGCTTCGAGTTTATCCACACTACTCTCTTCATATTCAGTCATACTTGTTACTATTTTCTAAGCTTGGATAGTTTCTGAAATATTGAACAAGTTAAGACATGTACACTTTGCTTTTACATGAATATCTACATCGATTTCTATTCAATAATATAAAACAAAAAAGTCCGTTTCCGTTGTAATTAAGTATCATTTTCGAATTGTGACCGTTGCTGAGGTACCGGTACTGGGGGTAAGATATATCAATTTGAGTATTCAGAATAAGTTCGGATCCATAACTCATAACAATCTCCGGTACTGACGGCTTGTTGCTGAATATGTACAATTGTCCCTTGAGACATTCTCTTCTAAACGTGACTGAAAGCTATGCGTTTATTGAGATTGGAAAGATCTGCACAATATAACAAATCTTTTCTGTCTGACTTCTATAATTGAATCGAGCAGAACGCAAGTTCAATAACGGACCAGACGAACCGACTTTTGGTCATATCTTCAACGAATTACTGACTGCATTCCTCAAAGCGAATTAAATTGACTGCGCTCTACAGTACAATTACCCCGTCGGCAACAACGACCAACAGAGCGTGAATAATTGAAGCGTGGGATCGATAACCTAATTTAATTAGAATACCGCGACTGGCTGACGTCATTCGATATGAATTGAATTAGTTTGACAAACATTAATGTACGCGCGTTAGGACTGTGTAAAAATTATAGGGACTATTTGGACAGTCGGCTAAATTTTCAGAAATAGTCTGGAAGTAAAAGCATTGTATCAGTAGGTTATTGTAATAAACTATTTGGACAGTCGGTAAATTGTCAGAAATAGTCTGGAAGTAATAACACCGTATGAGTAGTGTATTAATTAATAAACAGCATAATTGCACGCCATTAAAACACAATATTTCGCACACGGGATGTTTCTAACATAACTTTTATTTTAACATATCGAAGAGTGTATTACACGTTTTGAAGCAATACACCGTCACACCCCTCATATACCCCGTCTGAGCTAAGAAGCAAAGCCACTAGAGAATTTGATTTCATTCAGATATTTTATTTATATTACCCACAAAATGGGAAAAATATCTATTGACATAAAGATTATTATAGAATATATCCCGCAAGAAAAAAAAGAGCTGATAAAGAAGCTTACACCATACATACATTGAATGTTATCTACGATACCGCGTGCGAGCCGCCAATACACGTAGATGTGTGAGCGTGGTATCACAGGACTGTGGAAATAATTGTCTTCATATTTCATTAACCTTCTAATTATACTAATTACGGTATGTCAATCGGTAGACACTAATTCTATCTGTAAAACTACGAAGACTTTAAAAAAATATGGAACGTCGGACAATTTTAAATATAAAATACCTTTGCGTATTTGCTAGTTCATAACTTTGGTAGGAGTGCTGATGGCCTAATAAATATTACAAATTTTGGAATGATCATAAATTGAACCCTATGAAGAAAGCCTACTATGTTTATCACCTTAGGTGTAATAAATTGGGTTGGCAATACCAAACAGGAAAAAAGTCCGGATTTTCCAAACTATTTGATGATTTGTGCAGAGTCTTGCTCGGAGAGAAATGCGTATAAAATACTGATCGAATCCAATATAATATTTGCACTACGTATTTGAATGTTATGTAGATGGTCAATTCGTGTTTAATCTCATAATTAAGCAATGGTAGGGTGTACTGTGATATTGTGCATTGAACTGTTCGTCGGTTAATATACTTTTGAAGTGCTGAGTTTGGGATGAATGCAGACAGGCTGCCCATCCTTTTCTGTTTTATTTCCCATTTTCTGCCTTCAATCCCGGTCCCAGACATTCTAGGCATCGGTACGTTTTTTTTTAATTGATTAATGCTAATGTTCAATATCACCATATTTCTATTTAAAGCGGATCACAGAGGCGCTGAATTGCATGAAGTAATTTTATCACCCACGATCGTTCGCGTGCAGCTTCGCATATAAACTGTTGAGGGTGATCAAAATTATCAAAATATCTATTCACTTGAGTTTTTTGGGCCAGTCAACAAAAACCGTGCTTTTCCCACGAAAAAGAAACCAAGTTTTGATACGAACTCCCGTTGACATATACAACAATTTTTTAATTTACGATTCTCCAGCAGCAGGACGGATTTTATCTATTCAATTTATATCAAGCAGAATGGACGTTGTGGATATACCAATAACAGCTGACTTTTTTATCCTGGCCTATGTCAGCTTTTTCAATCACTGCAGCTAATTAATGAGACTGCATCTAGAGAAAAAAAGACCAGTGATTTGTTTGATTTACACCTAAATCTTGACTCAAACTGTTACGTACAAAACATAAATAAGTCCCTTCACAATCGTGCTTGATATCTGCCTGAGTGAAAAAGTATTTGAGCTTGTGGTAATTTTACAATCGTTACGTCACGGCTATGCTGCTTCGTTATTATTACAGAAATAAGAAAGAAGTTAATTAATACCCCCTATTATCGGTCAGGAATATGGATGATAACAAGAAGTTCCAATTATAAAGCAACGTATTTCCTTGACGATGAAAAAAAGTCTATGTCCTTAGTTTATAACTAAATTCTACTTCTTTATACAGCAATGGATACAATTTGATGATCATGTTCTGCGCAACACCTTTTATATATGACGATCTCTGTGTTCGCGGTCCCTTGGCTATAGCGCACTTTGCATTACTCAAACAATAGGACAAAAAAATCTATACACGCAGTACAAATAATATGAAACACGAAATGAAACATAAATTATATATTATATCATGGACAAAGTAAAACTAAATGGAAGATTATAATTTTTTTTTATTCCCGTAAATCAGTGCAAAAGCGGCAGTTCGCTATTCGGCGAAGCTTCAACAATCTCTATCAGCAAAATAATACAAACGCAATAAATTTTTACATTCAGAGAATACAATCCAAAATTTGAAACGAGCTGAACAGCTTGGCAACGAGTAGTAACGTGGGACGCGAGCAAAAGTAAATTAACCTACTTGGATATAAGTAAATAGAAGTGAACATTCTGGGTTCAGTTCAGTTTTGAAGTTGGTACATTCACTACTACAAAAGGATGAGAACATAGAAAATCGTCCTGACAATTACCCACTAAAAGCAAATCAGATTATAAAGATTAGGAAATAATTTTTAAACAAATCTAGTTCTATCTACTTATTTCTGAATCACTGGAATCAAGTTTCGGGTTTCCATGGAAACTTGAAGCATTTTGTCTGCTACAAATTATTCAAAATCTAACAACAATACAGCTCCATGTTCAATGGATATTACTATCACAGTACTAATATTTTAGGATTTCTAAATCACCGTACATTGTCCATAAATGCAACAAACAATTAAGTATGGACATGTAAAAACTACATACCTATGATGATATCAACGTTAGATGTTTGAATCAATTCTACATTTAGAGAACCAAGCATTTTATTTTGGTGGTATGAAAGGCATAATGGACACAAATAATATAAATATGCTTAAAAATCGAATTGCCACCGCAATTTCGGGAATGAAAGATGGTGTACTAAAATTCAAACATAATCGACAAGACATAGAAATAATTATTTTAGAATTCGTTGAATAATTTATGAGTTTTGATTCGAAAAAAGCAAATATTCAAGCTTCTAAAACCTGGGGATGTCATCTAGATTTTGATTGTCCATTCGGGCCTAACTGACAAAATATTAGTATCCTGGAAGCAAGTGAGAAGATGGAAAGAGAATCATTATCACCAAAAGTAGAAGAACAAGAATAGAATTAAAATTACAATATCTTCGTAATTAGGAGAAATTTGAAAAAGAAACGAGTTCTAGAGGATGTAGTTAGTGTAATAACAGTAAAAAAAGATTAGATTTACTTTCTTCTTTATTATAAATATGTGAAGAAATAAATATTCCAACATAGAAAAATATAAATAATCAATTTGACATGACAATGTTATACTTTCTATCGTTAATAATAATATTCAATTGAATGTTATTTATAATATATAGATATTTAATACTGGTACATTTGGCAAAAAGATCTACTATGCAGCATAATTTGAAGTATTAACACAAACAAAAGTTGAATTTTTTATCTTGTCGTTCCATCATAATTTGTAACTTTAGGAGGATAAGCCATGAAATCGAAACCATACTTTGATCTGAGACTTCTTTGTGTTGTTAGATCGATAAGGTCTCTGTTTGCTGTAGAAAGTTGTCTCTTGGACTCCTGATATGAATGTTAGTTTTTAGGTTTATAGTTGAATGTACATGAATCACTATACTACAACTGATTACTGATTGCTGACGTGGTTATGAAATCTTGGTAATTATGGAATGAGATGGCCCAGATGAAAAAAAATAACTTGGAATCACAAAATAAGTGATTTTGACTATTGATCTGAAAGGAAACCTGTTCTTAGTCCCAATCAGGGTCCTAACCAGCAATGGAATTCAGGGGGGAATAGGTTTATGTAATTCGTATCATGTTAATATAGCATATGTAGTGACATTCATACATTTCCTAAAATGATAGGACCTGTTGTTAGTGAGTTCAATACAAAAGAGAACCCAATCTTAAAATTTGGAATCCTAACCCCTCTTCAACGTTTCTCCAAATTAGTATTAGGGATACAAAACGCCGTTTAATGATAAAATACCCACTTCACGATAATTAAAATTTCAACTAAGGTACCTCCCTTTTCAATAATTACCAAGATTTCCTAATTTGATGGAACTACACATAGTTAGTGATAGCCGATTAACCTAATTGACTAAATGGCAATGACAAGACAACATTAATTACAACAATTATTGAACTACTACTTATCAACATGCAGCTCATGCTTGCAGAAATTAAAACACTGAGAACAAAAATTAATATAAAACAGTATCCATATTTATCAACAATATTCTTTGGTATAATTGGGTCAGGACATAAAAATTAAAAACCGCCTATTTTACAGCTTAAATATCGGTAATTAAATTGAAACAATTGAAATTAATTAAATTTAGGTAACTTGATAAAATCGATTAAATTATAATTATTTTTAATGGGGAGTTAGGGTAATCACTACATGCATGTGTAGAATTTTCTATAAATTAATTTTTGAGCAAAATTGAAAGGGAGTAAGTAATACAACGAATAATGCATGAGTTACTACTGTCTATAGCTTTTAATAACGCTAAACAGAGTAACCTGTTCAATAGTTTCAGTACTTTGTTCTTCCTGATTTTGTGGTGTGGTAATGTTCAGAGAACGAAAATATCTTACAAATTATAACATCAACTTGATGAAACACATTAAATAATAAGATTATAGATTGTACAATATGGTGATGGTGCAAATATAGTAGGCAGATTTAACATTGACAGATTGTGATACAAATATTGTGTGAAACGTGAATGTGTGAAGCATATTATCCAATTTACAAATTATGAAAGTGTTTGCAACATGTCTTTGAGTGACCGCTTAATAACAGTATGTTAGCTTGCTTACAAATCTTAAAAAAAACGTTAATTAGCACACATTGCAAGCACCACCCAATATTTCAATAAAAACTTAATTAGTACATTAATTAATTCAGTTTGCTCTTAGTACGACTTATTCAGTGTTCTGTATGTTGGCGTAACACAAGGGAATGCTTTAGGCATGGGTGGTAGAAAATCAATGTTATGTTGTGACCTCAACCACTCCATGCCTTTTTGGTGTTGTTCCGCAGGGGGCCAAAATGTGCCTGGAAGATGAATGCGGGCACTCTGCCCTGGGGATTTTCTAGGCACTTCATCGTAAGTCCCTCTTATTCCAGCAGGTGCAGACTGAAGCCTATCACAATCTTGTGTTATGTTATTAGTAGTACGATTCAAAGGGGCAGATTTAATTTCAGTATAATTAGTGTTATCATCTTCTTCCTGGCAGTAAAGTGACCAGGGAGGAATATACGAACTGTTGCCACTCACTTGTGTTGCAGATGTTCTTGGTTGATGTAGATACAATGGTGCACTGCCAGTACGTGAAGGCAACAGACCCATAGATGCAGATGTTCGTGATCCTGGTGATGACCTTGGTCTGTGATATGAAAAGAAATTATTTCTGTTGATATGTGATATGAAGGGACATGAACAAAAACTTGAAAATACGAAAAAACGTGACAATTGCAAATTATGAAAAACTGTGACCGTGTTGACATCTTGAGATCTTATAAGTATTGTCAAATCCCCACATAGATGTGATAGCCTAGCAGCTAATCGAATCTTCTGCATCACAGGTTACAAATCTCAGGTCCAGGGTGTGATAAATCAGGTAGACTATCACATTGAAGGTTTCATTCGCTCCAAATATGGTAGCTTGATATCAGTGAATGCTTTTACGTGGCCTTGTTCAGAGATAAAGATGCGAATAGGCCTAATCAATCCTAAAAATCTCACAGACTTGAGTAAGTCTGTACTGTTGTTAGCCTCTCTCTAAAAAAACATGACAAAAAAGTCCCGAACCAAAAGATTTTTCGTCTTTGCAGCGGAAATCAGAAAAAAATACCTTGATTGACGCAGATGTGACTGATAAATACACTATGGCTACTTTTTCATTGTGATGAGAAGGGGTGCCAATTCAACAGATGATTGCAGTGCACATCTAATACTTTTTCATTTTAGTCAAATATGCTAAGATGTAAGTCAAAAATATTGCTTACTTTCTTATGGTTGGATTTGGCCTAGGGTTATATCCAGTATCTCTATATAAAGTTGGTTTCGATGTGTACATTGATGGTAAAGTAACTGGATCAGGTTTCCATTCGTCTTCTGAATCTTCATCAAAATCATTTTGTTGATTCTATAAATGGAAGTAACAACAATGAAATTTAACACAGCAAATTTTAATAATTTATATTGTAAGAAAACCAAGTTTTTTAATTAAGTTATGTATTGGATAATGAACTCATTAGTTTAGAAGAAACACATTATCAAAAAAATTGCAATTCATGCATGTTGACATTCTGGGTCCTAGGCTGGACAATAGCATACCGAATTTGCCAAATGTTTCCAATTTGCATCCTTGCCACATTCTGTAATTACAACTTTTTTAGCCCATGTTTTGCATACTTCTGGATATTTGAAAAATGCATTCCATGGGAGAGAGTGCCTATTACACCATCTCTATTTTATAATTTTAGGATTGCAAATATTACCATACAATTATTAAAATAATAAAACAAAGATTCATTTTACCTTGACTCGGATATCTTCTAACAATTTTTGTGTTTCCTCAGTTTGCTGACTGACATTCGGAGCATATTTGTATCCTCTGTGAGCCTTCATTGTGCGCTAGTAAAAAAAAATAATATTATTTACTGTATTGCTTCCGTTCCACGAGAATACGAAAACGATTTGTTGCTTTATAATGTCTTTTTCCAGAATGGAATGAAGTTGATATATGAAACATCATGTCTTTATTCATGAAATTGTAGGCACTCTCGAAGTATGCGTACCAAAATGTCGCACAACCTGAACGCTAACCTGGTACACAACCTGAGTTCAGGTTCTGCGCCATCTTGGTGCGCATACTTCAGGAGGTCCAAATGGTATTTATTTAATGTTGCTGGCACTTGCTCCCTTGTACTCAGGTGTATCATATTTTGCTTTATTTTACTGCTAACAACATTTACATGACCGTGTATGATCTGCTATATCATAAGTAACAACACTCAGCTAACTAAAACTTTCACACGACTAAGAGTTATATGCCATCCTGAAATCTGTACTAATACTGATATGTTATACCGGTACCTGTTCATATCTCATCAACAATGATATTACTGTATCTCATTTTTAAAATAATATCAGTATACTTATACTTTTATCTATCAACTGCATTTTCTGGCTCACATGATCCAAGGTAGAGGAGATCCTGAAAGATTACTAAAAATTAAAAACAAGCCTCCATGATTCAAAACATCTATAAATATTACTACTTTTTGTAAACCTTTTGATATTATCCAACATCAGAAAAATGACATAAGTATTGTATCTTTGCAATTGTCAAAATCCTTCTGTGTCCATCATTCAAGCTACGTTTGTGCTAATTTCTAATGTTCTACTTTCAACCTAGAGCTCATTTTTCATCTACACAAAGTCTATCCAATTCATCACAATTTAAGACACATCACAATCCCCGAAAAAAGTTTTATGATGAATAAATTTATCTATGCATTCCTACTTATAACTTGAATATTATTAATACAAAATCTCGCTTTTGTATTTAAAAAAGAGCTGTACTTACTGTAGCAGATGTCACCCATGCAATTGCCTGACCATTTGGTTTACATAGAATTGTTGTACATTCTGGTCCTGTTCCCCATTTATCAAGCTGTGACCAAACATAATGGAATGGTGGATTGTGAACCCCATTCAATGCTCTTGCACTCCAAACCTGAAAAGTAGATGTGGAAATGATCAAGTTTGAGTTTTTTTTAGCTTGATCTGTATTAGAATACCAGTAAGACATGATCCAAATTTTTTTGTGGAGTATTTCACACCACTCACACTGAACGAGGCTCTATACAAAATGTAATCGATATACAAGAAAGCGCCATGCGTTTTTGGAAGGACTGGAATCCTTAAATATTGGCATCCTGGGTGAGGTGGTGGGCATGGGATTTGAACCAGTGATCTCTATCATGTGATGCTAACATGGTTGAATCCCACATTTTCACCACTATGCTATTATGGCTATATCAATGTTGAAGTGTTAACAAAGTCCAAATACAAGTTATTGATCCAGAAACATCTTATTTGTCTCTGTTAATTTCTGATAAGACAAGAGATATTCATGATTCACAAAAGCAAATTACTGTAGTAGTAGTTGATGGCTTCAGTCTGGTTTCTAGGAGGAAATCTAAACACAAGGCTACAGGATGCCCTCCAACAGATTGTTGCAACATAAAACCACCGATATTTTCTTCTTGTGTGGCAGATGTGTTGCTAACAACTACACACGATCCATCATCTGCAACTTGTAGAACTTTCACATTTCCTGTGGCACTGGATGAATGGAAAGGTTATTTTTATATTAACATATAGATCACAGTTAATTACAATGATTTTCAAATATAGTGTACTAATCAATTGAACAATTATAAAGTTGAATAATAAAATGAAAGCAAAACTAAGGATTGCAAATATAGATGTCCAATTTTAATAATTTACTATTGTAAAGTATGATGGATACCATGGTTTGAAATTTTGATTATAGGATATACCTCATCCTTCTTAGTTCAAGATTCACAAAGCAGTTTAGCAAATATTTCTAATATCATTTTTGAAAGGAAACAACAACATAATATTTGTTCTTGCCAGATACCAAGTACAATTTTATCAGTTATTGAGTGGTATCTAGGAGATCTTTAATCAGTTTCATAAATGTCAAATCTGTTGCTCAAAATGTGAAGTTCTAAAATATTCTAAAATGGTCGTAAAACTGTTTTCCTTATCAATTATTATCCCTTTCAAATGTCATATTAATCGTAATAAATATCTTTCAAGTAAATATGAAATTCTAGCACAAAAAATTACGAAAGCTGGGATGCTAAAAACACAGTCCTGGTTAATGCAAACTCTCAAGGTTTCACATTTCTCAATTCAATTACTTTGATACAAATTAAAAGCCACAAATGGTGGTGTAAACCAAAATTTGAATTTGAATTCTCCATCTTGGTGAAGTAGCTTTGATAATTATAATTTTAAATATGTTCCAAATCAAATCCGATGATAACATAAAAATTTAGCAACACAACAATTTCACACCCAATTTAGTCAACAGTCTCCTAATATACATAAATTATTAAAAGCAATCACAAATACTCGTCTATGACTAGTCGGCTTAAGACGTAGACAGAGACATCGTAAAACAAAACAATTCATTGCTTGAAGACATTATTCGAAGTTTGCGCAACCAAGTTATAAACAAAGCAAATCAGAAATACGGAAATATTTTTATTTAGAAATAAAGTTGATAATTGAGAAATACCCCAGTAATTTACCTCATTTTGATTGAAAATTGAAAAATGTGATACTCAAACAGATTTGTTTAAAAATTTTGTAATTAGAAAATTTTAATTTTTCATTATTGGTAAATTTGCTTCTGTGTGGTAAAATCAAAAGCTTCAGACAAATTATATTATTATTCATTGTACACCTAAAATAACATAAATAACATAATTTTGATGTATAATAGAATAATTTTCCATCACATAGAATTCAATTTTTTATAATATATTTATACGCGGAGTTTAGCGAAGGATTAATTATTAATTGCATAAGAGCAGTTTATTTTAATCAGCAATATACACACTGTTATTCAGCTCACAACGTATCACGGTAACCTATATAATACAATTTGTAACCTGGTTGTAGCTCCAGAATACCAAATTTTATTGCTGGAACCAGCTATAGGTTGGCTGAAGGTAAAAGTATAGATAAGCAATACAACACCAATGTTGATTCAGTGTACAATGAAGCACTGTCAACAATTATAACTGATAAAAGAATTCCATTTATTTTGTGTATTGTATCACAGCATGAAATAATATTAACAAAGAGTATTGAAGTATATTTTCAAGAACTCGATATCAAGTAGGTGTCTGATTATTTGAAAACATGGTGACTTAATTAATGTTTACCAAACATGGATCTAATAAATCTTAAAAGTGCCTACTCAACTTTTTCAAACATTTCAAATTTGAAGATAAGATCCTGAGAAGTGAAAGTTATATGAACACATCCTTCATAAACTATTTCTGACAGCAAGTTATATAAATTCAAAATGCAGCTCGAAATCTATCAATCTGATTGAAATTTGAATGGTTTGTTCACTGCAAATTTGTACATCATAAATGCATAAGTGTTATTGATTTGGTTTTTGCAGGACTAACTACTGTACTTATCCTTCTTCTATGTTTATGCGCCGGTGGATCCGGATACATATAATGCAAGGATGTTGTAGCAAGAGTAAGGATAACTACTCTTATGGATTTAGGAGTGTTGTTGTACACTAATACAAATATATTTTGCAACGGCTGAGGATATCTGACGTTGGCCAGATGAAATGTTACAGAAATATATTTGTGTTATTGTGCAGCAAGACCCTTGAATCACTATAAATATATTTGTCATTATATTATAAAATACTCCATAATAAAATTATACAAAGTACCTTCCAGTTGAGTTGATCATGTCCTGATGAACAGAAGAAATATGAGCAGTGGAAGGACCTGTGTCTTCTTCCGTTACTCTTGAATACAAAGTATCTTTTCTGATGTCACTGAACATGGCATCGAAGTAGTCTTTTCCTTGGCCTTAACAACAAATGGAAATAGTTGCATGGCATATTTGTAGATTCAAGCAATGAAATAAACTTTAATAGACAATTTGGATTCTTTTTCAACAAGTCTCCATTTATTCAAGAATTCTAATTTAAATCAATATTGTCAATATAATAACTAGTGAATACTAACTGGAGATAATGGTCGCAAAGTGTTATGGAGGACATCAGTACAAGGTAACAAAAGTAATACAATTGAACACTCATTGTGATCTTCGAACATCTCAAAACAGGTAGACAAGTACAACCTATGACAGAATTTTCTTGTTCACTGATTCATTACACTTTTATTTGTTGATATTACATTATACACGCTCTTCGAGTAAAAATACAGAAGAATGAATAACAAGAGGTTCACAAAACAAAACTAAACGGGAGAAAAGTATACAGAATCTTTTTTTATGAACTATGAAAACACCTTCCAAGCCTTATCATAGAACTTTTGCAAATTACCTACCTGCAGATGAAATATATCTTGAGTTAGATGCACTTAATGGACGTGAGGGTAATGGTGTTGGAGTTGGGTTATCTGGTCTGGGTGGTAACTCGTCCATTCCAACGAGTGGACCACGTTTGATGTTATTGTTGTCATCTCCTTGCCTCAAATCAAACAAATCACTACTTGCACTTTCAGACAATGGTGTAAGAACTTTGCTCTGTAATAGAACGATGGGATTTTGTAGAAGTTGCTCAAATGTATTTAAAATATCTGGATCCTTGATTAAAGTGGTAAAAATATTAATATACATTGATAGAATCTTATATAGCTCTTAGCGTATCAAAATTTGATTGTGAACCCTCTATCTGTAAGCTTCAAACCCTTAGTCGCAAGCTTTTGACATTCAGTAAATAAACTTACATTTAATAATATAGGTAATAATTTAAAATAGTGTTGACTTTGTTTTTTGGCAATAAATCTCTCTCTCTTTTCTCATGCAGAAATATAAAATCTCAGGTAGAAGTTGCATATTTATCCTGATGGAGAGGAAAGTTAATAAGATTGCCTAATCATTATGGAAAACCATGGATTCTCGTTCGATTACCAGTCATTGGTCGATGGGTATGGAATTATTTAGCTAGATATTTGTTTCTGTTGCATGGACTTGATGGTGGAGGAAGCCGTAACTAACCAGCGGTTATGTGAAACATTTTACGGCGGAAAGGAATCCAGCAATAACTCGCAGTATTTGAGCGTGCAAACTCAAACAGTGTAATCAGATGTGCAGTGACAAGTGTAATCCTGACAATCAGTATGATGCACCACATTTCTGAGCCTATTTTTATCTTAGATGATATAATAGATCTAAAATGATTTTTATATTATTTTTTTCAACCTGAAGTTGAAATTATCAAAACTATTTTAAATTATTTTCCAAAGATTTTTACCATATAGGATAAATATACGTAATATCTATCAAATTTGGCATACTATGTGACCAAACAGAAACGTTCAAAATAACATCTAAAAAAGTGCATTGTATATGATGATACAGCACATAAAATATACTGTTCATTATTTAAATATAGGCACTGCTTCAATGTAAAATTCATTACAAACCTCGAATTCGTTCGAATTTCCTCTTAATAATCTATCAGAAGTCGTTGGTATATATGTAGGAGCAGATCTAGGTATATTTAATATATCTTCCTGCTTAGAAGAGCTTGTTTTGCTTGGACCTGATGAAGGACGTTTGCTCAAAGGAAAAGAAGTTGAAGCATTTGTTTCTCTGTGATAACTACTGCTCGTTCCCAAGAGGTGATTCGGAGATAAGCCCCCTGGAGAGGTTGTTGCCCTTGATATGCTAGTGTAATCTGGACTTTTTTGTGGCAATCCACCCAATGTTTCCACAAATGCAGGAGAGGGTGACAGTTGTTGATTAGTGAGTGATGCCATAAACATATTTTCAGGCGATGAAACAAAACGTGTGTTCAGCCTAAAAAAAATAAAAACAAGATGCTACTTTCATATTAATAACGTTTTTGGGTAATCCTGGCGAAGCTAAATCTGTCGCGCTCAAAATTGTCCCAAAATAATTGGCGAACACAGTAATGATACATACTATACACATAGATGGTAATTGGTAACTATTTGAGCATACACTCAAAATTGGAATGAAGTTAGTAGTACGAGCATGGTGGAAACATAAACACAATTGTGTCGAAGAGTTGTTATCAGTAACATTGATGATTTTGAGATTTTGATACTTGAATGGTTAACTTGATTCCAATGTTAACGATATGCAAAGTATTACAATTAATGGAAAATATTTTATTATGTGAAATATGACATATTATGAAAATTATGATGATTTCCTGTGATAGACGTTACACTGTTAAGCAGTCTGGTCCTAACAATAAAAAAAAAAATTGTTAAGACTTATAACATATTGATGATCAATCCTCAGAACAGAGTAACTGTAAGCACTGGTTGTTTTCCAAATTATCTACATTAAAGATTAAATGTTCAAATTATTTGATTTCAATTGCTGATATTAATTGTTTGATTGATTTTTTATTAATTTATATAAACTACAAAAATAAGACACCTTCTTTCTTCTTCCTCAATCAAAGTTTTCAAAGCATTGATTTCCGCTTTTAATGGAATATTTGCCTCCTGAGCAATACCAAGTTCCTGAATTTTAACCAACAGGAGATCCTGGGTTTCCTGAAATTATTAAAACTTTTTCTATTAAATTATGATTCAACTAAAAAAAATATGAATTACCGGTAACAGTTATAAATTGGTCACAAGTTTTTTTATTATTCAATTTATACAAAGTAAACGCAAAACTTCATTCAGGATATAAATTAGTCACAAGTTTTTTTTCTTCAATGAATGAATATCTAATGTGAGTTCTTTATAAGACTATCATTAATTCTCAATAAAAGATCAATATGAGAGCCTTCGATCAATTCTGTATGAATGTTCAATGTATTTATATTTAAGTTGAAATTTAAGTTTATTCAATAAATTTAAATTTCTTTCATCCAGAATATAACGTAAAATATACCTGTAGCTTCCTTTCTAACTCTCGAACATGTGATTGAAATAAGGATTTTTCATTTTCCAATGCATTTTCAGCTGAAATTTTTTGATTTTCAAGCATTGACAACTAGAAAAAAAAGTCAGAATTAAATCAGAAGAAGCTCTGTATGGTAACTAAAAAAATCAACATATTATACATTTCATTAATATAAAGCAAACTTTTGGAATTTATTACCTTTGTTTCCATTGCTCGAACATCTGCTGCCTGTGTATCGATTTGTGCTCGTAGATTTCCATTTTCTTCAACAAGAGCAGTCAAATTAGAGACATTGGCATCCATCCGCATTTTAACTTCTTGTATCTAGATAGCAAAGTATTTTTTACAACTACTGTAATTGTGAAAACCAAATTTCACAAATTAGCACATATAACAACAAAATGATGATAAACTTTGAGTATTTTATATATTATGTTTCAATACAAATACTTGCTTACATTGAGACTATATTTTGCTTCAGTTTCTTCCATAAATCTTCTTAGTTCAGCTTCACTGGCTTCTCTCACTTTTCTCATCATATCAGCAAGACTTGAATCTGTTTGTCCTGCTTTCCTAACTTTATCTTCAAGTTGAAGAATGAGTTGATGAGATTTTTCTAATTTATTTCTCATTTCAGTTTGTTCCTACAAAGTAGAAGAGTTATCAATTACCGTTATATGATCTAAAAGTTTCAAATAATCGACAGTTACAATTCATGAATGTTTCTACTTGAAAGTGATATCCCTCTGCTGAAACGCTTTGTTTGAACTTGGAATCTAAGGAAATTGGTATCGCCTAGTCGCCTAGTATCATATATCATAATATTTACTAGAGCCTAGTCATTCAAATGTTCAGTAGTTCAATTAAACTAGAATTTTCTAATAAATCTAAACATATGCTGATGAATCACATTACGGCTGGTAAAAGGCTATCATCTTGTTTTGTCAGAATTCAAAAATTTTACTTAAACATGTATTGATTTAGCATTTATAAAAAAAATAATGATAAAGCTCTAGTTACTTGCTGATATAAAAGTACTTCTTGTTGCATTTTGTTCTGTATATTTGACAACCTTTGTTGTAAGTCAGACTTGGCATTTCCTTCCAAAAGTAATCTGAAAAGTACAAATTGTAGGGATACAAAATTTATTTTCATATAACAACTATTACCAAACAATGAGAGATGTCAATGATAACGAATAACAAACAAACCTTCTTTCTGATTCTTCAAGTCTTTTTCTGAGATCATCAGTCTCCATTCTTGCACCTTCTAACGCAAGTCTGGGCTGAGTTGCATCAGCTCTTGCTTCTTGAAGTTCAACATCTTTCGCAGCTAATGCACCATGTAACCTTTGAAGCTCATTTTGCTTCGCAAAAACAGTTTCATTCAATGAGACAATTCTATGAAAAAAGTCATAAATCAGTCATTCAACATCTCAATCTTCTTGTAATGTTAATTTTTGATGATAAAAAATTCAAACACAGTAGTTTTGATAGAATTATGCAGGGCGAAGCTTAAAACTAAGAGATCCGTGCCCATTGGTCACTTCCATAATAAAAATCATGTGTGACCTTCAAACCCAAATTGCACTGATTTTTATTTTAAAATATGTGATATGTTAGATAAAAAGAGCTCTAGTGCTGAAATCATACTCAACTAGTGAGACTTAGCTCAGTGACTCAACTTTAAACTCAAATTCAACTCAAGTAGATGACCCAATGACACGACTTGTAATTTGGGCATTTCTAAGCAACATTGTAAGTAGGTTAACATAATTTAATATTCAATCAAGCCTTCTTTTTTCAAGTTTGAGAATTGAGTTTTTTCTCATAAAAAAATAATACTGAAAAAATCATTTCAAAGATCAAAAATATATCTATTCACTTTTATGTGGAATTTATCAAGATTTTTAATCAAAAGCAAGAAACAAAGATAACTTGCCTATTTTCATACTCATCAGTTGTAGTTTCATATTTTACTCTGGACATTTCAAGCTCCTGTTTTTCTCGAGACATTTCTTCCAACTTTGCCTGAAGTTCCCTAATCTCTTGTTCATACTGTAGTCGAATTGAATCAGGGATATCAGCTTGTTTTCTGCTTTCAGCAAACAAATTTCGTTGCTGAAGCTGTTTAAAATCAGAATTCAATTTAATCAAACTTTTAACCACAAATGCTTCTCATTCTAAATTCAAGTATTCTTATAGGTATGAAATCTTCAAAAAAAATTGTTTGCATGCAACAGAAATTGTCTCTCAAACCCTAAATATTCGTATCTTTTCAAAAATATTTTTCTATTTCACTCCTGGATACAGAATAAAACCTGGTTTATCTCATCTAAATTTATTTTGTCTGGTGATTTGTATGTAGTTATATGTGTGCCGTTTTAATTAATTTTAGGGTGAGCGAACATGTACCACTTCTTTCAACAACACTTTTCCATCTAACATCTGTACTTTTCAAACTTTACTTAAGGTTTTGTTTGCTTTTGTGATTATGAAATCAGTTTTATTTTGTTTTTATCAGTTGTTTTCCCGCTGATTATAGAGTCAAAATAAACTTATATGATATGATATAGTTACATTCACCTTATCAAAACATTTTATCTTGTCAAATAGTCGAATTTTAATTATGCAAATTATTATCTAATTTACTTTGACTACAAATAATTCAAAACTTACCTCACGTTCTTGAGCATTTCGAACAGACTGAATGTACGATGCAAATCGATGGTTTAGGTTTTGCAAGTCCGCCTTCTCACTGACTCTGTTGGAAACCAAAGGAGTGTCTCCTGCGGCTCTAACTATATCCATTTTTATGCAGATTGTAGAAAAATAATGATTGTTTGATATGCTAAATTAGCAAAATATACATTCGACCAAGCCGTTATCGACGATAAACATGATATAAGCCAAAAAGACGCAACGAGAAAACTGAGAACGCCCGTTGCTACGCTAATGGCTTCCCGTTTCTATGATCACCTAATGTCATGCACTAGGTGTCACCATTGATATCACTTAGTCGCAGTATAAAAACACGGCTGATGTTATTTTCCAATTCGAAAAATACCGTAATAAATTAACAATTTTGAAGTGAAACAATAAAAAGCAAATGATATATAGTATCATATTTCAATTGTTCAATTTAGCAGGTATTCCGTGTACGTTTCAATCGATTTAGTTCAGCAAAACAGTTTCAGAACCGACCTTCCTTGGTTTCAAGGGCCCTCCAGAATAAATTCGCATCCCTCCATAATCGCTAAATAAATTAGCGACCATGCTGTTACTTCACAAGTGACTCGCCAACAAATATCGAAATTACACGCTAAAAATTGGTTTTGATGTCTTGTGTAATATATCACAAGGGATAAAAATATCATATACTGTATTATAATATCAATATTGTTCAACCGCAAATAAATACTAATACGTTGAACACGATATTGTGGTTTATATGAGTAACATTTAAAATATATTAGTTTGAAAATCACAGATTGGCGATTCAGTGATAGTCAAACAAATTGATATTGGCATTGCAGTAACCCTCTCGTCCGGCTAACAATCCATGTCGGGTTTGGGATAAGTTGTCCAATTTTTCACGTGATTCGAACCCACGCAGGGTAATCAGAGGGTGCGGCGGCGAGAGCGGTCCTAACGCTTAGCACGATGCGCCACACCGCCGAGTCGAATTCTCAAACATTTGGGGTTCTTTGCCTAAAGTATTAAAATATTATTACTGTATCACATGTAGTTTATTGGAATACATTCGTAAAAAATTCGCCACGACTGAAAACACGATCAGTAAGTGTTTATAAATATTTCGAAACAAAACCAATTATCGCGATTTTCGAAATGTAGATTTTCATCTGCTGTGGAATACGGTACCCGATCGTAGTCAAGAAAGATTTATTTAATACTGTATAGTTTTGGGAATTAAAGACCAATTGAAGACTTCAACAAATTCAGAAAAATATAAATAAATGAATAATTTTATTTCGCAGATAAAAAATAAACATAAAAATAAACATTAGGCAATATGGATAATAATTCGAAAATGTACGGAACAAAATGTCACTTGATACTCTTGCTTGGATCAAGTAAGAATCTGAGTCCTTTTATTTCATCAAATGTAAGGTCTGGGTGCCAAAGATCAACCATAAACACTGCTCGGGGCTGATCCGTGCAACTTGTTTTGCGATAAATTACGGAGTGCAAATAAGAGTCATCAAATAATATGCATTTACTCTCTTGCCACTGAACTTTCTGATGATTCACAAATAATTCACATCCTTGGGGAACTTCAATACCTTGACAAAAGAAAAAAAATGAACAATGTTTAGGGAATAATACAATCGGTATATGAATGGAATGTTGCAAGGAGCCTATCTACCCTCTGTGTTTCTACGCTTTTGGATCGGACGTTACAGAAATTGAGTTAGCATCCAGTTTGACTATTAAATAACTTATTCAGGAAAAATAAGTAATTTGCACAAAGAAGTTTTCAGTATAGAAAAATGCTAAAATATGGACAAACTCAAAAAGTTCTGATGATTTAAAAATTTGATTCGAAATTTAATTCACATGGAGTAATCAAATTCAAGCAAGAAAGATGATTGAATCGATAAAAATCCAGTATCAATTGGCAATCAGACTTCAATCACTAAAGATAATTTGATCGATAATACTAATTATAACTTACTTTATGATAATTGATTGCCTCAATTCTCATATACACAACTTAATATAACTCCGATTAAATGAGATTGTCTTCCGAGGACATAATTATCGTATCAAAAATGTATTTATAAGACTTTCATATTATGTGTGCTTGAACCAGTGGGAACAGTATTGAAAAACCGCACTCTGTGGTTAATCAGTTCAAAACCTTAAGCTTAAATTAATTAAATCAACATTGGCCGTTTTAGACACTTCCAAAAGTGATGTAATTTGACATACCCAGATGACATCTCACTCTGATGTTGCATGGTCCATAGTGTTCAGAGATGATGGTGCCAGGTTCAATCACTGAAAAACAGGCGTTTCCAAATATGCAACCAGTCATGAGTTTCTGGAGTTGCTTCAATACGTCATATGTGTCCGGGCAGAATTGAATATTGTCTTTTATCTAAATGATGCATTTATATAGTGATCTTGCATTTAATAATTTTACACTTATATTGCGCTTCAATATGAGTTTGGAATAGAGGTAACATTTTGTAAATAATTTTTTTTTCCGAGACAGTAATTGCGGCCTAACGCTAAAGAAAATTTGTGCTGCGATGGTAAAATACGGTCAAGCGAATCATAAGACTTAGGACTTTAGGAGTATGTGCATTTCAAAGATTGTGTTTCAATTCAAAAACGCCGATTTGGCTTTTGCATTCAGCAACTCTTTATTCCCATAGCATATACGCCATACGTACTTTTAGAAGCTAAAATTACAAAACATACGGCAATGCCATGCATCATCATACACATCCGTGTCGTATAAAGCTACTTTCCTGAAAGCTTCATAACGAGGTTTATCAAACAATACAACTGCATATGGCACTGAATTCAGTTTCAGTCTATTTAATGTATTCGTGGATTTATGCATCAATGCAAAGACCAGGATGTCCTACAAAATATTTATGAGTTCAAAAGTTAGCAGTGACCATGATTTGTATACTGTGGATAGGCCATAACTAGTCATCTATTTCATATTTTGCTGACAGTTTTAAAAATACGACGCCCCGACTTGACCTGCGTAACCAATGATATATGATATAAACCTGATCACATTGCAAGCGGAAGAATGATGTTTGAAATTGAAAACTGATAATCTGGTCCACAAACCAGGAAACAGTTAAATAACACTGTTACATACGCCATTCAACTCCACAACCAATCAGAAAAGGTTAACGTGATTAATTATTGTAAGCCCATGCATAGCATTATAAAACGAATATAATATTCATGAGTGTGCATTTGTTGGACCAGTAAAGCTTATCCATATACCATAGAAGCGATTCAATTGTGCGCGAGGTGGCTAACATAGCCGGATGACATCCCCCCCCCCCCCCCCCCATAGACTGGCTCACATTTCATCTCATAACTCGCACCCAACGTTTCGCTCAGCGTGAAAGTAACCGAATGCCATACCATGACATATGCAGTCATACGACCTACCTAATTCAAATACGATTGTGCCACAATTGGCGTTCAGGCCGCAAAATAGTTCCCGTCGACGAAGTCACCATTCCATGTTTATTTTACAGATAATATAACGGATTGTGTTTTTGTACTTGTCACAAAAAAGTTTTTAGTCGTTGTAATCGGTAGGACCGAATTGTGAGCTCTCATCCGTTTACTGACAGTGTTAGGTACAGTATCATGTCAATCGGTAACTACTCGCCCATAAATTAGCGAGTGTGCGTGAGGTTGATTTAAGGCTAATCAAATCGAAAGTATTTGGAGGCCACTTCTAGAATCGCGAACGCTTTCACTGAGCTGCGGTTGGACATTCTTGTGTGGAATAACTCAATCTCCGAGTCGCGTGGTTGCTCGCGATTCACAGAAATTAAGTTGAAACAAACCTCTTGTCCCTGGTTAATAAGATAGAAAGCACTCCATTTTCCCGATGGTGTCGAGTTCACTTTCCGAATGTTGCTAGATTCACGGAAATTAAAAATTTTCGAAAACTCGGTGTGAATCTTAGTGAAATTGTCTTCCAGTAATTTGACGTCGTTTTCAAAGAATTTACGGTCATAACATGGCTGTGTTGATAAATTTTGCAATTCAAATATTGTGTGCTCTTCCGCTGGTTGCGCTTCATAATGTCGCGTTGTCTCAGTTATTCTGTGAAATTTCATTCTCTCGCTCTTAGGCACATCCTTGATATAATTTGACCATTTGTTATGCAAAAATTTCATTGATCTTGAAGTGTATGTTCGACAGCGAACACAGCTAGGGCTGTCGCACTGTATGTGTAGCTTGCTTGGCTTCGCAGTGAATAATCCTAGTTTGTATAAAAGGACAAGTAGCCCAATCCCTAAAACACGGCTCCACTGTTGGCCGAACTGGGTCAAAATGTCTGACCATTCCCAAGATCCCATAACGATGTTATTCGACGGATAGCTTATTCAACCAGTGTTTTAGAAGTCTTACTAGTTTAATACGTAATATTTTTAGGGTCTTCCCAGACGAAAACACCAAAGCAAAATGCAAACAAAGTCGGACTTTCAAAACGTGAGAACTTAACAACTGCACCAATTTTATTCTGGTTCATCCTATCCAAACATCTCCGATGGCTAGTTGTTGTTTTTACTTTTAGAATGATCTGGTAATCCTGATTCCCGTCTTTGTTAGTTTATCCTAACAGTGATAACTGGTTATTTCCATAGCTAGTATTATACAAATTACAGTAGTCAAAAATCTGTGTCTGCAACACTAGACCGAAAACACAGGTCTTCTCAAAACTGATATTTGGAGAAGTACATAATATGTTCAGGAAAAATATATTCCAACGTTGTTTCAAAACTATTGGATATGCTTGAAGTCTACTCTTATCTAACTATCATGATCTAAATGCAAGCAAAAATAAGCAGAATTGTAATGGTGGCTATTTATTACATTAAACAAGAATTTAACATAGGGGCGTTTAGCACAAGAAGCTAAATATTGCACAGCAATGGAAGAACAATTCTAGTACTTCTTAAAGATATTCATTGTCTGTGGATAAAATTACAATGCAATCGATTGAACGGACATTTTCAAATAATATCAAAAAAATTAAAAATTGGCTTTTGTGTATATTCAAAAAACGTCAACTGCAAGTAAAATTAAATGGTTTAAACTTTAAACAACTGTTATTGTTTCAACTAACATGTAGATAATGAACAGAACTACAAAAGTACCTAAGCAATGCTTGGCTCATTGAAAAAGCTTCATAAGCGGCAAGATGCTGTCGAATAGCAACAGCATTATGCTTTTGAAAAAGTCAGAAATAACAAATCAAATGATCAAACTTTGAATATTTTCGGTCCCATGATAGCCTATGTTAAGAAGTATAAACATAAAATACAGTTACTCAAACATTATTTTGTATCCTTATCAGTTATCACCTATCTCAAATAAGACTTGTACAGTGAAAAAGAGAAAATTGAAAATTCTTATTATGCGGTCAATAGTTTCCAAATTAACACACAAACCTACACAGGATCCAGTTTATGCTTTAAAAACTTGGCTTCAATAACAGTAGTAAATACTGAAAACACAATTTCATATCATACCAATTCACAATTTACATATTATCTCAATATTCAAGATCATATGTTCAACTATAAGCATAGATTACAACAAATTGATATAATAGACAAAGATGACGATTTAGGCCATAAATTCAAGGAACATTGAGTCATATTATAATTCAAAATCGATCATTTATCAAAAGAAATCTTGTTTTTATGGTGGTCAAGCAATATTAGTAAAACAGGAAGTGAATAAATCTACAAACAAGAAATGAAACATTAGGTTTACTAAATCAATTATAACACCGCGCGAAACCGCTTTACAATATTATTCAGCATTAAGCCAAATAAACAAACTCAGAAAATAAAGGCATTTTTGTGTTTCGAGGCTACGAAGAAAGGTTACGATAATATAATGCTTAAAATAGGTTATAATAATATGTACAAAAATAGGCGAGATATGCTACTTTGGAACTATTGTACTGGAGGGACATCTGGGGGTGGGGGTCCACCATCTCCATTTGGCCTGGGCTTCCCATCTCCTTGCCCTCTGAGGCTTGCTGGTCGCACCATGAAAAGCATAAGTGCCATCACCATCCATCCCATCATAATCATGAACATGCCCCAGTCTTCATTTGGACGTTGCATATCCTGATTTGGCATTTCTCCAAAGCACTCATTTTCTGTGCAGTATTGCTGTGATGATCTCAAAATTGATAGAAGGCGTTGCATTGCCCATTGGTGGCTACATACACATTCACATGGGTCATAATCACCCATTGTTATTTCAAATAAATGATCTTGTAATAACAAATTTGTTTGATTGAAGTTCTAGATCTGAATCAAAAATAAGAGTTTAAAATATTTTTACATGGTTTTCAATCTGAGATGATGGCAAAATATTATCTAGTTTTTGATTTAGAATAATCAGCATCACTAAAATATTCATAACAGACAGTTGTTGTTCTAAATTGATATACAAGTTTTTGAAATATATGCAAGTACGACGCAGATTCTACAGTTTTCCAATGTCTAACTAAATAAATACTCAAACAACAAAAATATGAATGATGTCATAGTCATTGTTCCCTCAGATTTTTCAGCTATACGGTATATTGTGACTGAGTGAAATCTATATTCTATCAGTTTGACCGATGTTTGAATTTTCGAGGCACACTTGCCGTCAAGTTCACTTTGGAACAGCTGCCGTACACATTCAGACATTACAGTCTACTGGCAGACTGGTTTAATGAAATGATAAAAAAAGAAAGTCGAAGAATTCTGTTATCCTTTCAGTTTCTAATAAGGATAAGGATGAGGTTCACATATTTATCCCGAAGGAGAGGAACGTCGATAAGACGGCTTAACCATATGGCGAACCACGGTCGCTCGTCCGGTTGCCATTCCATGTCAGGTATGCTGGTATGGGATTAGTTAGTTCAGTAGTTACTTGTTTTCGGAAGCATTGACTTGATGGTGTAGGAAGCCGTAACCGACCAGCGGTTACATGAACCACCCTAGGGCGGTGCGGAGTCCAGCAATCCTCTCGCACATAACCATCCCGCATGGGATTCAAACCTGCGAACCCACGTTTGGTAATTCTGTACCTAATTAGAGGTGCGGGGGCGAGCGTATTTCTAGCCAATGCCAAACTCAAATATGCAACTACCAATGGTAGTGAGAGATCAATAGGTACCGTACTTAATCTGGGTCTGGTATAGTTCAGTACCGGTACCGTACCAGACCCCGGCTATATTTATGATTCTCGGGCTGTCCGACTAACTTTAGAACGCCCTTGAACTCTCTCATGACTGCTTCCGAATATTTTCATCAATCAATCAAATGCAACTCTTTATCATAAGAGTAGTAAAGAATAAGTATGCGCATATGATACACAAAGCTTGCAAAACAAATTAAAAGTCTGAAATATGAAGAAAAAATCGCCAGACAGCTAAACTAAGAGAAATGCGTGATGTAATTGTAAACAATGCCAATAAAAATAGAATTACAAGTCACGTGACATAAAGTGAAGAAGACGTGTCCGTAGCCATCTAGTGCTGATCAAAGTCATTTTGGTGCTGATATTCCACCCTACGCCCCTGTTTTGTTTGCGACTACGATCGTATCGGAAGTAGTTCGTTCAATGAGAATATGATTGGTTTTAGGGAAATATAGCACGCGTTATGAGTTTGAGATAACATACACATTAATACATATACAGTAACTTGAACCCTTTTCAGTCACGAATTAAACTCTATTGTTTTATTCTTTTTATGATATCGGCATATTCTTCGAAATATATGGCAAAGTATTTTTTATGTTAATGGGCATACGAGGTTGGTGTTACGCACTCATTTACTCCACGATTATAAATGACCAATCTACTAAAACGTTGACTATGGGCCTCCTACTGTTTTACCCTGAAACAATTTAACTATCACAATTTGGTAACAAAGGGCCATAACTAAATGACATATTACACTGAATTGCATAAGATGGCTTAACTGACAAATGTTTTGTCCCAACCTCTCGAATAGGTTGTAATCGTTTATCTGCAGTCACACGTAGGCTGTATGGAATAGGAATATTACTGCTTACTGATTTCACGCTTACCAATTTAATTTGAGGTATATTAAACAGAATAACTGGCGACTGATTGAAATAATCTCTTACTTATATATATTTTGCTATTATTCTATACTATAGCATTGGTATTCTGAATGTATTTTTATTTCGTGCCAGCGTATCATCCGCTCTTTGGTTTCAATTATTTTACGATAGAAAAAAGGCACTCATATTGAAAAAACACGAAAAATAAATATACAGCGACTAAAAACATCATATTACATTATAATATTATATCATTACAATACAGCTTCGATCGGCGTGTTAGTTGTTGCTTCGATCAACAAGCAAATTGAGCGACTATCAATTACTGCGCCTAGGGCAATGTGATTAGAAATCACCTTCAGCAAAAAATTATTTCAGGCTAATTCGTGTGATGATGGCCTTGGGCAGCGATTTTCATTATAATCGGACATGGTTCATATTAAACTCTTCCAAAACTTCGTCTTTCTACCAATTAAAACCATCCATATTCCAATGATAAAGTGTACGAGATGCGCGCAACATGTACTACAATAATGAAAATCTGAACAACGGCCACGAACAGCGCCGGCTGAATATTACCAGCGTGAGCGTCATAGAAAAGTCTATTAGACCTGGACATAACCTTAGGGTGACCATATTTCCAAACCCGAAAAGGAGGACACCTCGTTTGGTAGAACAAAATTTCACATGTGCCTGAGATAAACATTATATATCTATATTATTATATATCTAGATAATTTAGGATTAAAAATAGAAATAACAATGGACGAAGTAACGACAATGCAATAATGCATTCTCGCTTTGTCAACGAGAAACTGTAGCCGCAAGTACTACAGGGGTGTGACTCCTCTACGGCCCATGGGCCGTGGCCACGGCGGCATAACGCACTGGGTCTACTGACATAATTTACAGCTAAAATCGAAATTCACCAAATCGCTAGAAAAAAAAAAGGGGAAATGACCTGAAGATAATCGCAGAACAACACGATTTTTACGTGATAAACAAGTATGCATTTAACCTAGAGATATGCTTCTAAACTTTTGCGTGTCTGCCAAACCTCAAACGCCATTGTGCTAGCTCCAGTTGAGCCCCATTCAACGGTTGAAATTACTGGATTAGGAGCGCAATTAGAACTTCACAATAGAGAAGCTAGTTTTGTGAATGGTTGTAGAATATGATAATTGTAGATATCAATATGCAGCGTGGAAATAGTCATTGTTGTGTCACAATGATGCTGGTAGCAATAATCTTTTGTTGTATAAAAATTGCACTTTTAAGATCGGGAAGATGATACGACATCTCAAGAATGTTGTTAGCTCAGTCATTTCTCAAACTGCATTGGAATGTGGATTGAAAAGACTTTTTTATAGACTTTTGCAGGAATTGACATAGTCTACCTTATGACCTAGCGTTATTTTGAGGCCGTCCAGTACGGATGATAATTTAGCAACGCTCTAATGAAATATTTGTTGCCACAAATGTATTACTTAGTGAAACTAATAACGTCTTGAACCTATATCAATTTATATACACTTATTTCCTACATTCAACCTTTCGTAAAACTGAGCTATAATTTTTTAGTAGATTAGAAATGAGGTGTTGAGCACGAAATAACTGGTTTGTCATAACAACTTAAGCTAACTAAGGTATTTCCAACCTATTTTGTATTCGAGGTTTATTAAGGTTTTATTGACATATCAATGCATTGCTTACTTACTTTTACTTACTAAATTTTTTTAACCCATCAAAAAATGTTGAATATGTCGTGAATAAATTTTAAATATTTAATCCCTTGGAAAAAGGAGGACATTTTGACCTTTTAGAGCGTCCTCGGAGGACATAAAATTTTTAACGAAAAAAGAGGACAAATCCTCCAAAAGGAGGGCGTATGGTCACCCTACATAACCTTGCCCTATGTACAATTTATATATTAGAAGATACATTAAATTACTACGAAAATATCGACTTTTAAACGTCATGTTTTGAACAAAACAACATGATATAGACACGACAGGATAATATAAGGTCATCCTAACCCCTGATAGGGTGAGTTGTCACTGGTTCCATTATCTTTACACCCACCAATTCATTGCACCCACGTAGCCTACTTTTGTAACAGCATACTTTTTCACTCCTGAAAAATTGCACCATACATATCTACCCGCAAAGTAACCTACATACGAACAGATTGGGGCCATTTTTATATATAATGCTTACTCGCGAATTTCGCTCCGAACAAGGCTATGTACAGGCAGCCACTGATATCTAATGGTATCCAAGTCAAGAGCCTCAATGCCCTTTTCCGACAGAAAAGCTTTACAGTCTCTTGGATGATGGATTGCATATCCTACACACTTCGCAGTGACAGTGTTGTTGTAGTGATAAGAGTGCTTGCTACACGTGCGAATGATGTGACCAATCTAGAATAAGTGCGACCATAGAAGTAAACAATTTATTTCTCAACTTTGTTCCGCTGGTTTTCAGAACGAAATTGAATAAAATAAAATTGTTGGCTTATTATACAAGTTAACTATTAATTATAAAGTGTGCAGAGCAAGTTAACACGGAGATTGATGGATATGAGTTAGTTTTGTCTCGTTTCGAGAAAGGATTTATAACTTTTCTACCTATAAAACGGAGTCAAGTTTGTCTCCAAGGATGTTACAGGATTCAAATCCGTGCTATAATAAAATTGACAAATGTGTATTTTTTGTTCTATCGATTTCTTCGCTACACCAACGGTTCCCGTAGCGTAGGGTGTGCCGCGGCGCACTAGTGCACTCACTACGCTGTGCGTCGCGAAAACTAACAGAATTGTGAATTGTCTTCTGGCAAAAAAATCAATCTTCAACCACTGAAAATTTCAAAGCAATCGGTCCAGTATTTGGAGAAAAAAGCGATTTTATAATGATGAAAAAAACAGATAAATACAACAACAACAAGAGAGCAATGCTCAAATATATGGATACGTTATCTAGAGCGAAGTTTGGAGCGCGAAGCAGTCCTTACCTTTGACGCTACCGGTATCCTAAAATAAAATTCCGAGTTCCTGCGTAGCAGGAATTTACAGAATCAAACCGGACAGCCAGTGTTTCCATGGATAAAATAAAACAGCGAAATTTTGAACAAAATATCAGATTTCATACGAAATTTAGAAATAAATAAAAGTAATAGCATTCTGTTAAAAAATTCCAACTTCAACCACTGAGAATTTCAAAGCAATTGGTCCAGTAATCAAAGAGAAAAGCGACCTCTTAATAAATATGTCAAAAAACAAGCATAGGAACAACAACAACAACAAGAGAGCTATGCCCAAATATATGGACACGTAGTGCCACATAATTTTGATGACGTCATAGCAAAAAATAAAAGTAATAGCCTTCTGGAGAAGAATTTCATTTTTGACCACTGAAAATTTCAAAGCAGTCGGTCCAGTAATCAAAGAGTAAAGCGATTTCCTCAAAACGTGTCCAAAAACGTGTCAAACGTGTCCAAAACAGTATCAACTGCGACCAATGACATTAAACAACATGATAGGCAACTCTGACGTCACTCCATAAGACTACAGGCAAAACATTGTATTTCATGATACGCTCCAATGCACATATTTCTCGTCGCCTTCCGCGTCCGTTTTCCGCTCGCTTTTGCTACTCGGCGTCTTTTTTACGTGTAGTACCTGCCTTTTTGCGCCTGTAACGAAACAAAATAATCTCTATATCTAAGAAGTTTTGCTTACTTGGAAAGCTGGAATAACAGGCAAGCTGTAAAGAGCAATTCTGGACATCATGGACGTTTTTTTTTATCAGAGAAGATTACAAACGCGATAGCGGAAAGATTTATGTGGAACATTTTGCAGATAATGACAAAGTTCAAAGTTAGTTTTTTTAATGCTTGCGCTTAATCATTGAAATTTCATTTAAAGAGGGTGTCATACAAAACTGTGCTGCGATACAATTCCATAACACAAAGTTTGCACCTATCGAACTTGCTTTTGTAGGTGAATTTATTAGACATATTACATATTCAGTTAATCGTAGGTAACATTGCTGGTACATAAAGCATCGTAGATAGGTTTGTTTAAATTTAGGAATTTAGCTCATAGCCCACTAATTAATATTATCTTCTATGCAGGAGGTTGCAGGGCTGAATTCAACTTGCAGCCTAACCGATCACCTGACGATGCTCATTTAGTTTGGCTCGAGCAAGTCTTCTTGAAATGCTTGTGTGGATGGAAACTACCTATATTTTTTGCCTTCCTCCGATTTTAGACAAATTTATTCTGAGGAATTTCGCATATAATTCTCACTGATTGTTGGCTGTTTATAATTCCTATTGATTGTGAATTCTGATTATAACAATGAGTTGAAAATTTTTTTACCCAATTTACTGGCACCTTTTTCTTGTCAATACTCCAAGCTGAGGTAATAAACATGACAATACATTTATGTCATCTGGAAGCAAAATATGCACACTAATTAATAGTTTGGCACATTGAGATAATACATCATGACAGAAAATACAAGTTAAAGATATGTATGACCATCACATGGTAATTAAAATTAAAAAAATTAATAGGGGCTGTGGAGTATGGAAAGTTCAAGACAAAGAAAAGAACAAATGTTCATAGCTCATGAACTCTCAATTTTGCCTCCATTGCTTTGTGAAGGCCAATATATTTCGAGTGGCTGAATTGGTTTACCTTTATGATAGCAACGATTTTGTATTTAATATAGCGAGATTATTTCAATTTAATTGAAGTGATATAATTTCCCAAAGCAATGCTTGAATCGTCTAGAATAGATCAGTGGTGTCAAACTCATGGGTTTTCGAGAGCCGCATTGCATTTTGAAAATTGTAAAAAGAGCCGCAAACAGTTTTTGATAATGTATACTTAAAAGATATTTTTAAGATAGTTTTAGTTTGTGACATATATTGTGATGCAACTAAACAGTTGGATTAAGTTTTATTATTTTCTTCAATTTCAAATGCAATTACATATTAATATTTGCATTCCACTAATATTGCAACATTTGCAAGTTACAGTATTTATTATAAAAAATCGTAAAATTCTATGTACAACCATCAAAATCATTTTTGAACAAGCTTTGAATAAGAAAAGAATAATACATACACTAAAAATAACTTAATCTAAATATTTGAACCTAAAATTAACAAAAATACTACAGTATAAACTCAATGTTTTAATAATTACATTTGTCCTGGCGTTTGGCATCTTTTTTGTGTCACCAGCATACTAAGGCCAGTCTGAAATGATTTTATAGTACCAACTCTAACTAACGAGGCCACATGATCATGGGTTTATCTGGATCTTTACGAATGTTTAATTAATTCCAGTAATGCAAAAAAGTTACTTTTATCATTTCATGTATAGATCAGTAAAAAAACAAATGACAGATTTTTTCGACAAGACATTTCGCACTACATTGCGTGGCATAGGATTGCTTGAATTATTATTGATATTGATTTTTAGTAACTAAGTCGTTGTATAATTATATTAATATACAAACACATGGAAATTTTCTGTTTGAAGTTGGTCTTCGAATATGTCATATTGACTGCTGAGCTTATTGTGTTTTTTGATTGTATTGATGGAAATATGACAAATTAAACAATGTGCTTCAGAATTTTGTGAAGAGCAGAAATGTTACAACTCCCATTTTCTTCGAAAATGCCACCTTCTTCATGTACTTTGCGTTTAATTCAATTACTCAAGTGTTTTATTCAAGTATTCTTTTGCTAGCTTGATGTGTATTCTTAATTGGGTCAAAATGTGGACAAAAAAATTAATATTCCAAAACTACTTTCAGTAAATTGTTTTCTGTGTGAATAATCAATTTCACTTTAGAAGGTTTGAAAAATCTATTACATTTAGATAATAAAAAAAAACTTCCAAAATACTATTACAATTATTGTTAAGCGTTCGAGGGCCGCACTGGAAGTTCTCTGGGGCTGCGAGTTTGAGATCCCTGGTCTAGATTGAAGTTGTTCAAAAAATATATGATAGTATTTTATCATGAATGATGATTATACCCCTTCCGGAATTTCTTCTATAGTACTACCAAAAGTTGATGAACCAAATATAACACAGGTGCAGTGAGGTACCCGTAATCCTCATTTCCAAAGCTGTTTTAAGTATGTCTGGCGTGTTTTGTGCCTTTTTACAAATAAGACCGCTTATGCAATCTTACGCTTTGGAATTTTTAGTTGTTTTCCTCAAGCCCTGCAGGATGTGGGGGCCATACACAACTCTACCGGAGGGTCAAATGTCTTTGCATGCCTCCATAGGTTGTTTTTCTATTGCAAATTTCTATTTTCAATTGCATTATATTTCTTGGAATCACACTGTCACTGATATGTCGCCAGACTTCTGATATCTCCCCGTCTGCTATAGTTGTCCTGTGAATAAATAATAGGAAATTGAGATTAGACGAATAGTTGAAAGTTTTGCTTTATGTCGGCTTAATTTCTTGATTGATATACTTACTATTTCTGCTATTGCCTCTTGTGCTGCAAGAGTCTCACAATGCTTAGACAGGTTTGTCCACAACTTTCACATCTGAAGAAAGAGAGGAGATTTATTAATTTTCGTTAAGAATAAATAAAGCAGTCTATATGATTCAGAATGGAAAAGCTAATAAATCCAGTATCTCATGTTTTATTTAAAAATATTTTACTGAATTTGGTATATAAACCAACTAAGAAAAGGGTTTAGTCAAAAAATTACAAGCATTCGTGGCTCCAAATACTTGAGAAATCAGACAAGATAGACCGGTATGAGTGAAATGTTAGGTGAACTTGTTAACACTTTGATTCAATACGCAAATAAAAGTGAATGCGTAATAGTATGTTACAATGAGCAGCAATCAACAATGAGTATATATCCTCACTGATTAAAAAAATCTAACTGGAGGTGCATGAACTATTTGAAACCATAAGGGGTAAGTAAATATGTAATTTCGGCAAATGGGCAACTACGTACCGTACTGAATTAATACCTTCGTAGTATTTGACAAAGGCTGGCTTTCCCACATGTACTTAACAGTGCGATACCCGGGTGTGATATACAACAATAGTATTCACCTTACCTTTTACCGATTTCTTTTTACCCCAACTTTCAAAAATATCATTAAAATCGACAACAACTGTCAAAGCAGGCACGAACACCATTCGTGCTACGCCTTGAAAGCAGCACACATCCGCTCGTTTTCGTCTCTCAAGTATGTGCATTGGAGCGTGCTATCGAATACGATCTTCGGACAAAAATGCCGGAGTTGCGCATCATGTTGTTTAATGTCATTGCTGCGACCAAGAGCTTCTAGTAGAAGTTCTAGCTTTATCAGTTCCGTACGATGTGATCCGAGTGTACTATCAGAGAGTATTTTGAACACGACCAGAAATAATATTAATCCAAAGCGTTTCTCACTAACGATCATTTTCATTAATACAAATCACGACGCATTGAAAAGAAAATTGACTTTATATTCAATTATTTTTTCACATTTTTCGGTGTATACCAATGCAGTTTGTGATATTCTTTTGAATTAAACGCCACGGGAGATAAATTTGCAATAAACTAATCATTTTTGAAGAAATTGTATAGTATAAAGGTGATTTATATCTGATATGTCAGTCAACAGTTAATATAAATCGTAACCGTCAACCAACGAGCCGTCAACCATACAAAATCAATTGACCGGTTAAATATTCCCTGCCCCACTGGTTAGCTGTCGGCGCGGAACAAACAACGAAGCAGGGGAAGTCCCTACCTTACTGTGAAAGTCCGGAATGCAGCAGCTTCACTAGCTTGAGGTAACGCACATTTTCGATTTCAGATCATTTGCTTGTGTCATCTGTACATCAACCTGGTATAGCTAGCTCAGTACGGTAGATTTTGCCTTCAAAAGATGGATAAAATACTTTGTGTGGAACGTTTTGGATCAAACAAGCAGCAGCAACACACAGTTTACACTCATGACGGTCTGTCTCGAAAAATGAAACCCAGCGGTGGAGCAATAGTTTCTAAATCAGTAACTCAAGTCTTAAAGGTGGATGCTTGCTTAATTGTAGAATATTGGGTATCAAAAAAAGGATTTCACTGTTAATTTTGTATGAGAATTTAGAAATTGCACCCAAATCAAAAAAAGGGATCTTACCACTTACTGAAGACACCATTTTAATATAATGGAATTTCTAAAATTTAAAAAAAAATGTGTATTACATTGTCAAATTGGTCTTGGTCATTCCACTTTTATATACATACATATGCTTGAAATTGAAAAATTATCATATAATTTGACGGTTTTATCATACTGATTAGTGTATGTTTAGTCGTATTGGATGTTTTTTAGAGCATTTTCTTGCCACAAGGATACCCTGACAGTGTCAGCGATGACTATCTTGAGTATCAGGTAAGAACTAACTCAGTTGCTGTGTCAGAATATTAAATCTGACATTAGAAAACATTCGATTTCAATAAAAGAGTGAAAAATGACAAAGATCTTTATAAATATGTTGCTTTGGGCATAAGCATAATCATAGAACTACTAAAAGAATGTCAAACACGATTGAGACACAAAAATTCTCTTTTCAATCTGATAATGTCTTTTTCAGTGTTTTCAAAAATTCGTCAATTTAACTGTTCATCTTTTTTGTCTGATCAATTTTTTAGTGCTAAGACTGTAAAGCCAAGCTTTAACCAGTTTTTTTACCAAGACATGTGATAGCACTAGGATTGAAAACAGCTCGTGGCATCGGCCTATTGCATTATAACTTATTTTTAGGTATGGGATACAATTCAAGCATTTTGTAGCAGCATCACTGGAGCTCTTGCAACTCAAGCAGTACTGAAAGGATCTGGTGTGGGTGACGAAACGGCCAATGTTGCAAGTGCAACTGTGACATGGCTTCTTAAAGGTTATGAACTAAACCTGATTTGGACAAATTTTGGTCAATGCTTGTAGCGCCTTTTGCTCCAGACTAAGCTTTGTACTAGAAGCCACTAATATCTAACAATATGTAAGGGTATACTATTTTGGGAAGGATTGATTTCTGCATCGCCTATCAAATGGGATTTGAACCTGAGATGTGAAATATCAACATAATTAAGTCTATTGCTCTAACTACTAGGCCATCACACTCACCAAATATCATATTAAAACTTCTGAGTTCAAATTGATATGTCTGCAAGGGTGCACCAAATCAACTAACTATTCATCTTTTTAGATGGTACAGGAATGGTGGGAAGAATTGCATTTGCATATTACCAAGGGTGAGGAAAACAGTTGATTGTGAATTTTCATCTACCAATTCAAGCAAGCCTAAATTTTATTTTGCAAATTCAGGGCAAATCTGGATCGTGATGCAAAAAGATGGAGACTCTTTGCAGATGTTTTGAATGATTGTGCAATATTTGTAACACTCGTTGCACCATTGTTTCCCAAATCATTCTTCACACCGATAACATGTGTAGCAGGTGAGATGAAAAAGCTTAAACAAATCTATTGTAAATCGAATTAGACTTACTATTGAATTTATAATTATGACAGTTCTGTCTTATCCCTCCATAATTCTCATTCAAATATCTACCAGTGCCAGTGACTATATAACCTTAAAGACATGGATTTCAAAATTTAATAATTTGTCAATCAATGTTTAGGTCTTGCCTTTTCTCTGGTCGGCGTCGCGGGTGGTTGTACAAGAGCAGCTCTTACAGTTCACCAAGCTAGGCGAAATAACATGGCAGATGTTTCGGCAAAAGATGGCTCACAAGTATGAAAATGTTTAAATGAATATCATGCTTAAGGTTTTAAAAAATATGGGAGTAATGAAGTTTTAAGCAAAATGGCTTGCCTTTTGACTTGACATATCAAAACATGTTGAATTTGTTTATACCATTCAATGAAACTCCTACTGCTATGGATCAGAGGGGAGCTTCGGAGCTGTATTTTCAAGCCTCCAGTGGTGATTATAATAAGTCTTAAAAGCATTAAGTATACACAGTGTTCTGAACTATTTATTGAAGGTTTACATAACCCAAACTTTTTTTTGTCTAGGTCTAAATTTTTCACAGCCGGGGCTGGATTTCAAATATCGATGGCATTAGTAACCTAACTAGTTATTTTGATTTTCAGGAAACCATGGTAAACCTTGCAGCACTCATTATAAATCTGTTCCTGACGCCTATTGTTTCTGGAAATATTCAACTCACCTGGATCCTATTTGCAATATTCACATTCTTCCATATCTACTCAAATTACAAAGCTGTATCATGTGTTATTATGAATACATTCAACTATTCACGACTGAAGATAGTTATTGATCACTGTTTTTTAAGTCCTGGATATGGTGAAATTCTAGATCCGGTTGCAGCAAACTTGAAAGAACCAGTCGTTTTAGGTTAGCAGCATTAAATCTAGAACAGGGTCTTGACTTGCCTGTGAATAGCGCATTTTATGTGACATCTGGATATTTATTTCTATCCTTCCCCTGTCAGTAATTGCTTACTCACCAAATGAGTAATAATAACAAATCAGTCGGCCTTTTCAGAACTACTCGATCCTTCCTACTAAAAAATGCTTTCAACCCCACATATAGAGCAGCCTTCATCCAATGTGACTTTTCAACCATGCGAAAAAAAATCTCATTTTATGACAGCCCATAGTTTTTTCTATGTAGCAATTTCACCTCTTTTATATACTTCAGGTATTACCTCTGATATTTTCTAGGATTTCCAGACCCAAATATTAGGGCAGGCTGCATGTTGAGGGAGATTGATATTGGCAGCGAACAATTTATACATATATTGAAGACCAATCCCAATACAAAATTCATATCCAGTTCGAAACAAGGTGAGTATCAGTTTAAATGAGTAAGCAATTGGTTTTCTACCACTAATCCCAAGGATGTCATATTTGAGATGTCTTGATACTTGAAGCTCCATCACATTTCCCAACAAACTGTGCCGCCTTTTTTTTAGGGATTTATTGTGTGGCATTTAGAGACATAGCAATACCCGAAGATGTTATAAAAGCATATTTTGAAGCACATATTGGGAAAATCTCAAACCATATGAAGCCAGAGAATGCAATAAACTGGACAGAATTCAGTAAGGAATTGCAACAAAAGGGATGGGATATTAACAGACACCAGTTATCTGTTGATGAATGGAGGTGGTCAACAGAAGAATTTGATAAGATAAAATGATTGATTCTCGAAGAAATTTCTGTTCAGTACCAGGCTCATGTGGTATGCTCTTCATCCAATTTTTGCTTTTTGGCCGGCTGCGGTGAATCACTACCATTGTCAATATTAGATGAGTTTTTGTCATCCGATAAAATTGTATTATCAGCTGCTGTGACTGGTGATTTATTACCATTAAGGTGCTTCTCTTTCTTCTAAATACGAAATATAAATGGATGTTATGAAGTTAAATATTGCTGTTTCTCTATTGATGTGAAATAAGTCTATTGCAAGATCGTAGCTTCACACTATTGTTGTATGCAGATGGTCAAAATAAAGTGTTGCTTCAGCCCGTTTACTTCTTCCTTGTATTGATAGTATCATATAAAAAAATATGCCAAATGTTACAGCTTCACTCAAAAACATGAGCAGTGATTTTTGTAGTTTAGCCACTCAGATTTCAAATTCATTAAAGATTAATCAAATGAATAACATATGAAGAAAACTGGCATCATCTTACCTGCTTTTGTGATATAAATTCATTCCACTGTTCTTTTGCTTTTTCTCCGGTGAAGTCATGATTTGACAAACTTTCAATCCATTTCAACATCGACTGATTTTCTAGTTCTTCTCTGAAAATTAATTAAACGTTTGTAAAATAGAACTTTGAGCCCATAAAAACAGAAATATAAAAACTTGTGACAAATTACTTGAAAATAATTGGAAGTATATGTGTTTTCATGAATTCTTTTTGCTCATCTTCTGAACTCCAATTCAACATATTATCATGTTTTTTATTATAGGAATCGTAATGAACTTGCTCCAGTAGTAAACCTGCAAATAATATAGAGATTAGTCAACCTGTCTTTCACAATTAACAGTTTGGCTAGATAATAAAAACTTGACATCATCTACTACTGAAACATGATTGTTGTAAACAATAGTAAAGTAGTAGTAATAGCAAAGTAGGAAGTAAAGCTGTTCAATGCTTGTTTATTGTGTATGATTAATAATAAATACAGAAATCTTTCCTTAGCATCATATTCTGCTCGCTTTTTGAATAGCCATATACGAGTCTGCTATGCATTCCAAGATGTAAAACTTTATTACTAAAAAGAATATACAGAACTATTTCAACTTAATCACTAAAAATACATCCTAGTCACCTAAATATAACACATGTGGGAATAAATAAATCACTGTATTACTTACCAATTCCAGGAGCTTTGGGTATATCTTCCAAAGGCTCTGAAAATGCTCGTACATAATGCTGTTCAGGGGCACGGCCACTGACCAGGACAATAACAAGACCGATCATTTTCCTAATTTGATGAATCATGAAGCTTTGACCCTAGAACGAAAATTGCAATTTTCCGAAAGTGAGCGTTCAAAAAAAGGATAGATGATAAATTATTTTAATTAGCATAACAGAAATTTGGAATAGTAGAAAGGAATAAAATTCCAACTATTAAATTTATAATTTTGTTTTTAACAATTACTGAACCAATGGGGTGCAAATCTAGCTCATACACCATGAATAATGATCAATGTATGTAACACTAACACACCTTAACTTTAAGTGTAATAAATTCCACGGATTCATGTACAAAGGGTGTTTCTGCCCAAAAATCGAGTATGTATCTCTTCGCGCTTGATTCTCCCATTCTTTTACCAGAGGTGAAATTATGAAATGAATGTGTTCCTTTATAGCGATATAAATATGATCTGACACTTTTCAATTTTTCTAAAATAAATCATAAAATATATAAAACTTATATTTTGTACAATATAATGTTGGATATACTAGATTTAAACTAACGACTCATGTAATGAAAAACAATGTATTAGTTGAATATATACTGTACCTTCATCGATTCGGTATGTTGAAATATCATCCGTTGAAACATTGGTATCAAAAGCGAATGTAGGCATTGTGTACGAATATGTCCTTTGATCAACATAGCTTTTTGCATGAAAACTTCTGGTAGCTTTTCTCAAATCTTGACAAAAAATATAGATCAAAATAACATTGCATAGGCTAGTATTCCATCTTAAATAGTTATTTACATTCAATACTACATAATCTACATTTGTAAGAAGCTTATGGCGAATGCAGAAAGAATTTGTAATCCGCCTTGAGATGTCATAGTACATAATTAGGTACTCCCGTAGTATGTGTTCCAGGTTAGGGTTAGGCCATAATTTTATTCTGATTTTCCCTATTTTAGTTCTATTACAAGTCGGGGTGATCCGGTTAGCCAAGTGGATATAGGTTCCAGTTCCTTTACACAACTTGATGTAAAGTAGGCAAACAAAATTAGTTCCTCCATATTGGTACACATACTTCTGGAGCACCCATTATTAAGTTTTGTTTATTTGAAACAAATGATAGAGAAAACTGTGAAATTATATGTTTATGGCACATATATATATATAAGTATTAACTTTTGAAGTTCTGTAACTATTTTACCTAATACTCTTATATCAGGTGGAAGATGTTGATTTATTAGGTCCTTTGCATTGTCGCACATGCGTAACTTGAGAGATACAACCAGTCCACATGTTGAAACACCCTATTCAATGAAAATCGCTGAAAATTATTGGCAATAGTTAGCTTAATGAGGTACCGTTCTTTGTTTTGAGGTAAGACACAATGTTTGATATTATTTTTTTAAACTAAGATTAGGACTTTAATTCCAACCAAGTAGTTTCTTTAGTAATTTTTTGTTCAGAATATTATTTTTAATTTTGTTTCATGACTACCAACTTCTATGAGTGGTACATTTGGAAATGAGCCTCATATCATATTATCAAAATGTCAAATAATGTCCTAAAGAAAGTGACAAAATACAAATACTTACTTTATCAGTGCGAGATGATGACGAATATTTCATTTGTTGTGATTTTTCCATGCATATTTCAGGAACAAGTTTGGCATTAACTAATGCTTGAAATAATGCACCTTCTATTGTGGGTAGAGATGTATCACCACGGTTGAGCTGAAGACCATAGTAATTTTTTCCACAAAAAGCAAGAAGTAGCGCAACCTGATAAAATATGTGGGATGTTAGATCATAAAGCAATCTGTTCCTGAACTTTGAGGCCAAAAAATATTTTAACAGTTGCAAATTTAAATTGGAATATGTCACTTGACATAGGGTGGTGTAGCCAGTCTGCGGACGATTTCATTCAAACCGCTATAAAATAAAAACCAATATTTCTAACCCGTTAATTTTTTCACCGTAGGTGCATTGGCATTTCTCAAATTAACTACGACTACGACCAGGGGTTGAAGCTATACTAACCACCAAAGTATGACACTCTGAAGACGTATTTGCAACCGAACGACCAGTGTGCGACCACGTATTTCAAGCCTTGAACATCGTTTCTGCTGCGCCGAGACTAGGGCATGCGTGAAAAAATGGGCTTCCAATTGCATTTCTGACCGTCATATATTTTAAGAACATGGTTATTTCGAACAAAACTTGTCAAATTATAAACAAAGCACCGCATCACATCAATCGAACAGACAAAAACAGGGTGGTTGCAAATTGGTCGACGAAAATATTATCGACGTATTGGAAATGCACACCCCCTATTCCCACTCCTTTAAATGTGTAAATGCGAAACTTTAAAGATGGTTAAAAGAAACACGACTCTACACACCTGCCAAGATTTTCAAGCTTTTTAAAGGGACAATGAGTAGTTCGCGACATGGGAAAATGGTTCGTTTTTTTTCTTAGATCGGGTTTTCGGTCGTAACTTTTTTGTTTGTGGCCGAATTTTAGTGTACTTTCGCAGAGCTACGGGGGATAAGTGGACGATAACACGTGATAAATATCGTCGCGGTTCGTTAATTTCTTCAGCATTATTGAAATCGATGAAGTTGATGGTCGCAAATAGGTCGTGGCCGCAAAGTGGGTAAGCCACCCTATATGATTAAAAAAATCACGCAAAAATGAAAATTTAATACAGCACCTGTATGCTACTGCCCTATCAATGAATTTTTATCACATAATAATAACTTGGCTGTGTCATCATTAAAAGTGATAACGCTATAGTAATATCATTAATTGATTTTCCGGCACTATCAACTTGCAATGCAATGTTAAAATTTACTGTAACAGATTTAGAAAATGAGCAAAAACGTTCGTGCCACAAACCTTTCTTTTTGGAGCATCTACAAGTTTGCTGACTTTGACTTTTCTTCACTATCAATATTTACTACCGGTACCTGGTTTTGGTTGTTGAGTTCAACAGATGTCATTCTTATCAACTAAAATAAAAGGAACAATTAAGTCTGTAAGTTTCATGAATTTAAAGGCAGACTGATTTTAACCTAAAATTAAGAACTGGTACGATACCTTCTGGACTACAGGGCCAAGTTTTTTCTCTTGAAACCACTGCAATATGACTCGCAACAGCATAGAAGTAAAAGTTTCAGAGCTCGTTCACTTAGCGGCACGTTACCTACACTGATGGGCATACGAGAAGCACACGAGTTATAAGGCAAATATATAGTGACCTTTGACCCCAAAAACCATGCCTTGACTTTCAATTGCAGTTTCAAGTATTCTATGGCGTATGCAGCTGCCGCAAAACCATGGCGGTATTTCCATACCATGGCCGCTACGGCCAAACCTATGGCGACTGACTTTTTAGCTGCCACAAACCAATGTCGAGCTGCCGTTACCGCGGCAGCAAATTGAAAACCAATGGCAGGTAAAATTTTGCTGCCGTAACCGCGGCAGGTGGGCCGTAAGGACAGGGCTGTCCCTTATGGTGACAAATATTGGGTAAGTTGGAACGTTTTTCTTATGGATACAGTCTTGATGGATTTGGGGTTAGGGATAGGGTTTAAGTAGATATAATTCCGCATGATCAATTAGAATTTGGTACATTAGTTTGTGAATATACCGTTAATACTGATTACTGAATACAGAATAGCGCTATAAAACCATGGCAAGAGCTGCTGTGGTTCGTTCGTGGCAGGAGCTGCCATGAAGTGGTAAGAACTGCGCCTCTTGACTTTTGTATGAAATTAATTTTACTGTACCGGAATAGTTTCCTGCTATCATTTTCGTGCCAGGGGTTATTGGTCATATATACCAGTAGCGACTTCGAGTTGAGTTAATTAAAAAAGTACGGTACCGTATCGTAACGCTGAAAGTGATAAGACAGGAACTGTGGTAAAACGCTAATTTGTTCGGAAATTTTGATCATAAATTAGTTGGAAGCAGTCCCCATTTAATTTCTGAACTTGCTGGGTTGCGACTATCAGACTATGGTTAAAAAGTTAGTGGGATAGGATAGTGTAGCAACCACTGATTATCTTGCCTTTAATTATAGACAACTTACATTAATGAACTGATTACCAGGCGGGAGACGCATGCACAAAATATTATAATCGAAAATGGGGAAATCAAAGCAATCTGAAAATCTCAGGCCGTCTATTCCTACCAAAGACGAGGTTATGGCTGATATTGCAAGAGCTTCGAATGATGACCCAGTTTTCACATCGGCTACAGTCATCCGAAGTAAGATATCAGAGCGTTACCGTACACACTGTTTTATATTTTTTATTAGTCTTCTAATTCTTGTACGCCAAGATCATGTCATCGTACCTCTACAAGGACGCAGTTGAAGTACCTTTCTTATAACCAATCCTGGAGAAATTGCCAATCATTGGGCACCAGTATTCATTATTTGTAGCATGTGCCTTTATCCTGTTATTGGAGAATAAGCGAGTTAGCTTTAATTACTCTCTTAACTGACTCCTCTTATAAATAATGGAAATTAGGTAGGATAACAGCGTCTTTGTATAAATCTTAGGGGAATTTACCGGTATTTCTTAGGAAAAAATAACTAGGTGGTATTTTTATTTCTAGGTGATTCAGATTCTTACATATCGAACGGAAATAATACATCAGAGACTGTTACAAATTCCGATGAAGTTGGAAACAATTTTACCAAGGTATAATGAAGCTTCTTTCTGCTCAATCCTTGGCAGATGAAGGCTGAGATACATCACAGGATTTGTGACAGAATTCAGTGTCTAGTTAACTTTAGCAAATTTTACCTTAATGAAGTAGGAACCTTAAAATGAAACTTGATGCTGTGAAACACTGTCTGCCATTTACATCAATTTGATCTGATTTGATTTTTCAATCTTATCCCTAGGTCTGCGAGCTGTTAGATATGCTGTCATCTATGCGTGATGGGAAAGATCAACTAGAAAACATTTGTCATCAGTTGCTCAATTCAAAAGAGGATGTTTCTGCTGTTGCATTGCAATTAAAAACAAGACTTGATAAACAAAGATTAGTAGCTGGTAGAACATTGGAAAAGTGAATGCCAATTAATGTTGAAGTCAACTGTTATTAATTGGCTTTGTAAAAATATGAGAGAAGATCAGTTTATTGCTTCAGAATTCGAACAAATGAACTTGAGCTCCACTCCACATATTTTTTTTCATACTTTTCGCGAGTGGTACACTGTGGTATGTGCAATAGAAAAATAAAATCATTTTTGAGAAGATAATCTTCTGCATGTCTGTCTGAAGCTGGTTACAATTTCCTCCAATGTCTAACTGAACATTCTAGGCAACTTACACTTTGATGATAGCTACTAACATTCTATCAATAGCCTGCCACAATCAAAATCCTCAAGTATGTGATGCAATCATATATTTACAATAACATATATACATTAGCCATGCAGAATTACCGTATTATCATTTTAGTACAAAAATAGGGCAGTGTATGGTACATAACACAAAATAGGGTAAAAAATTACTGAACATTAGTTTAAAATCATATGCTGGTCGTATTATTATATTTGAAATTTGTTTATAAATTGGAGAGAAGAACCTTCAATTAGACATGATCATTTTTACTCTCAGTCTTTTGCACTTGTACAGTTTAGGATAAATCATATACCAATGTTGTGAGACAAAACTCAGGGTTCAGGGTATTGTACCATTTCATCCAAACAGTGTTACAGATTGCAATGATAGCACCAGAACATCTGAACTTAGTACCTCAATATAAAAGCATACCTTTGTATATGAACAGAGGAAATAAAAAAGTTGAGCCATCAAAATAAAACACCTCGTACCAGCATATATATATACAAGCGTGATGTGGCAAATTATATGACAATATGATCTTTGTTATTATATAAAAACTGTACAATGGTTTACAGCGCATGCAGCGGAGTTTGAATACATACAAAAATATATTTCATCAGAATTTTAAAAACAATACAGATATTCAAGTAAATGATGGTGGTGAATGAAATTTTTGAATCACAATTCTTGAGATGATAGGCACTAATGTTTTATATTCAATTGGAATGCCACCAGTGATGGCATTTCATTGAGTTAATAAAAGGTATAATATTACTTCACTACTTTTGCTAACAATTTGCATATTGCTGATGTCAGTAGGACCAGTCGCTTTAATGTCAGGAATGAATTATATGAACAAGTAGATAAATTATAGTTGTCATTGGATCTATTATTTAAAAAATGGTAGTAAAATAGTTTGTGCACCATATATGTATAAAAAAAAAAGTCATTATGGTCACTATGAAATATGGTTTATATGAAATCACTAAAATACATGATAGATATTTACTTCATTATATAAAATCAATTGATAATTAAAAGATCACAATGAGTATGGACCAATATTTTGTACCATCGTAACAAGATTACATTAAAAAAGGCTTTCAAACAGAGTCATGATTAGCTAAAATCAGATATTATACATTTGAATTTTCGGTGGAATTTTCAACCAATTGCTGATAGAAAAGGATGATCTTGTCTTCACATTATTTGTGTCTGAAAAAAAAAAGATTGTCACATCATTTATAGATCATAATTTAAACATACAGTCAGTTATAAACCTCATACGCGAATGCCATTGTATTGCGGAATAATAATAGTTCTGAGGTAAAATAAATGTTGGATGCAAGATAAAATAATAAATCCCATTTTAGATGCTTTTCTATTTTTACCCTAGCTATCAATACTACATACCTAAAAAATAATCAAATTATGTTAGTCATCAAACAGCACACATGGCATCAACTTAGGCAAATAAACACAGCATAATAAAATGACAAAAAAGCGCTCATGCATATATATAATATCCAGTGTGTGTTGAAAGATACCAAATTTTAATTTTTTCAACAAATATCAATGCTTATTGAAATGATTTGGAGTATTGAAGCAACTTCAATGTGTTACCTTCACTTTAGCTGTGTTCGCATTGTTCACCAGTGCTTTGCAGTTCAATAACGAGACACATTACCATATCTGTCACCAGTCCAAGTGAGCAAAAATAAAAAAGAAAGAAAAAGATGTACGGTCAAGTACATACTTGTGAAAAACACCAAAATAAAACTAGGCAGAGCGCAATAGATGAGTACGCCAGCGTGAAGATATTCATGTACGAGATTCATAATCTAGAAAGAATTTGCCGCTGCTGAAATCATGCAAATAAAGTGCCATGCAATTGTGCTTTCCCGAAATAATCGTTTACATATATATATGAAACGGAACTATAGCACGCGGCACTAGAATTAGGCCATGGACATGCAAGGATTGGTGAAGCATGCAAAACGAATGATCGCAAGAATAAAATACAATAAACATCAATAAAATAACCCTAATGGTGTGTTACCGGCATATGAAATAATTACTGAATAATTAATTACCATCTGAACACCTATCATGCTGTATGATGCTACAGCATGAAAAATGTAGGTGCCATCATTATTATAGGTATCTAATGACTAGTAATAGGAGATGCCTGATAAGATCAGAAGACTAACATAGAAAAGTTTCAAGGCATCCCGGGTATAAAATTTGTATCCTGTCATAGAGATATTGAATACCTATATCATCATATGACCGAACTTTTTATTACCGTAGTACTGGAGTACTACGAAAAACTGGAAGAAAATATCTTTTCTCAATTGACTCCTTAATCTTACATATGCAAATCTGGTAGAATTCAGATTTGATTTTAGTTACTGTATCCACTATCCATGACACAAGTACAATTTTATTTGAATGGGTAATTAACAACATTATATAGCCAAGTCTCTAACTATGTGAGGACACATCTCAAAACTACTTATTTGTCAACACATGGATGGCATTACAGATCTGATGACGAAGATGCTCTTATACCTCACAGCTGTGATTTGCTGTGGTTCATGTTCAATTGTGTATAACTTACTATTTTGTCAGTGTGTCCTATTCCTACAACATCCCATTTCCAGCAATATAGAATTATGTCAATAATTGCCTCAATTAATTTCACTCATATGTTTGAATTATTATTGAAAATATTTTGTGAATTTTACTGACTTTGGTCGAGATTTGTAATAATACTTCAGATCTTCAGGTGGTGGACGATTAGAGGGTGGATGACGTGAAGGACTTGAAAATAGTAATGCGATATATATGCAAAAAATTATTATAAAAATATATTCCTAAACAATATTAACCAATATATATTTCGGATAGTGAAACTCTCTCTTTTTTGAACTTTGAGACAGGGAGAGAAAAATCTGAGCATCTTAAAAAATCTATATCTATACATATACCCACTATGCAAAGCCTGATTTTGGACTAAAATTATGCTTGCTCTATTTTAAGCCTTACTATCCATATGTAAAAATCAACGCACCTTTTCCATAAGTACTTTTTGAAAATTACTAGAACCAATGCATGCATGACATGAGTTGCATTGCCCGTAACTAAAAGATTAGTTTTTAGAATATTCAACAGAATAGCAAAAGCATTTGTCATATGCACACCCAACAATGTACATGTCATTATATACGATAATTTGTATAGACTGATAACGCAAAAGCATAAAAATAACCAGCGTACAGCATATGACACCAAGGGCATACTAACAATTCAGGAATTAACATAAGTAACGTGCCCCCATGTAGAAGAAGACTTGAAAGATACTCTGAAATAAATTTAACATCCTCAGATATAACAGGAAACAAAGTCAGAAACAGAAATGAACAACACCAATAAAATTTAAATAAACGAACAATATGTGGGGATGGTCTAGTGGTTAGAATGCTGGGTTTTTTAATTTTGGCATCACAGCTCACACGACCCTGGATCAAATTCTGTCTCATCTACCCCGATTACAATACTTCAGGTCATTCTGATAAACATTAGCTTCAAACATCAGCGTCATATATATACATATAAAAAATCCAATCAGTTTTTGACATTGATCGTGACCGCTTAGGAATAAATTAGTGGAATAAAATCTTCCAAATTGACAATCCACTATGCAGAAACAGAATAGTGATTGTATATTCTACTGCAGATAAAATTATCCGAATCATCAAATCTTGTTCTTATATAGCATGAAGATTCAACAATCACATGACTAACCGTGCTTTGGCAGCGCTTTTATTTTTTTCTTTCAATGCATTCATCCAATCACCAGGTGGTGGATGTCTCTTGGCTTGATGTGATCTCGCTGATAATTTCGATGGAATCATTTGTCTGCGTGGTTCAGGCTGTTTCATAGATGTATGCTATTATATATACTATACAGTTCGTTTTATAGCACTAAGTTTTAAACAAGAGAGCTATGCTTGAATATATGGACATGAAGTGGTACGAGTATGCAATCTATCACAGTGGCCCATCGGTACCATATCGCAGCTGAGCAGAACCACGACAAAAAGTGCAATTTTCAGTTTTGCATTTTCCATCTCCACTGGACGTCACTTATTTCTATGCGTTTAAATTAACACTTCTGCAACCATTTGCTCCCAATCTATTTTAACTAGTTCAGGCCGAAATCTCAACTGGGTAGCTGGGCAACATATGGTAGTAGATCTCACGCTATAGAAGCACTTTACAATTAGAATGTTCTCAAATTGAAAAAGAAAATGAATTTAAAAAAAAAAAAATACGCTTACCTGCTCAAAATCGCTATTATACGAGGTTGCTTTCCTCACGTCTCTTTCAAAAGCATCCATATCCAATTCCCTATATATTTATCAGATATTATTTATGATGATGAAGTTGTGATGTGAATAAAATATGAATTCAAACCGTAGCAGATTAGCAATTGACATGCAGCAAATTGAATGATTGTTTGTCTGAGAGCAATCATGTTGAAAAATTGGGTTTTTGATTTTTGAGCCGGCATTATCAATTTAGTCATTGATACAAGTAGATTCAAGTTGGGATTGTGAATTAGTTTGCACAGTGTTCATTGTTAGTATTGTAAAATATCACATCACACTCTACTAAAATGTGCTAAGCATGCAAAAACAAACCAATGTAGCTAGTCATATAAAACTTTAGAAAACCATGCATAATCTATAAAATAATCACATTAAAGAACGATCTTAGCAATTAAGCCATATTATTGCAATTACATTTCGGCAGCAGTCAAAAATTAACAAAAGAAAGGCTGGGAAAGTTTTATATTAGTTCATAGGCCCTTATGAGAATACAATCTCATTTCTCCATAACATATTTTCTAAACTCAAAACATTTGTGCTTTTTTCTGAATCAAGTGGCATTTCTTAAAATTGATTACATATGTACATTTTAGGTCTTCAATTGAAATATACCAAACATGGAGTTTTATTACGTTATTAAGTTGGGACACGTATTTTTGCATTTTTGGTCTGATATTCGAATGATTTAACTTGAAAACTTGGGCATTAAACTTTACAGGGTCCTAGATCTCTGATATTAATTAAGCGTTTGCTGCCATAGATTTGATATACCGAGCGCTGTTGAAGTTTTTTCAAACAAGCAAGTAGACAAACCTTCGTCGACCTCCAGGAGTCACTTCCACCCTCCTTGGGTCATTGACCCATGCTCTACGGGTAGGATGGCTAGATCTCTCTCTACCACGTCTGAATTGTTCCACCCAGTCAGGTTCCCTGGTTGTCGGATTTCGGTCATATGGAGGGTATTGATGGTGAGGTGGTGACCTGCGACCTGGCCTCTCTCCTGGATATCGATAACGATCAGGACTGGGTGGCCTTCTGTGATAGGGTGGATCAGCATGCCTCCTCCTTAACAGGGGAAAGGATAGTTTCATGCAACGCATATGTTGTTAGATTTATTGAGTTATTGTTGCTTCAAATGACAAAATGGAAGAAGCTTTAATGATTTATTCACTCTAAGCTTGATGTCTAATCACGAAATTTGAAGCAAAGCGAGCCATGCTGATATACAACACATAACATTTCGAACAACACACAACACTATTATCAATTATAATTATAATAATTAAAACTACGGTGAGGTTTCATGTTACTTTGCATAAAAAATCACTTTAGCATACGATACATGAAATGTCAAAAAAAAATTGTAAAATGTTTAGTATAAAAATCGGATATTCTTTCAGAGCGAATTACCCAGGCTGATTTTAATCTCATTCGAACATTTTAATATCACACCTGTCATCATAATCTCTGTGAGATCTATGGCGATCGTTTGGACTCAGGACCCGTTCTCTAGAAGTGGATCGATGTCTCGATCTAGCATTTCTATCATCAGGACTAATCTCTCGTCCCCTGGATGATGACCGTCCTCTGGATTTTCCTCTCCCGTTGTCACGATTACGATCTCTACCCCTGCCTCTCCTATCCCGATCATACCTGAAACAGGTAAATGAAAGAATATTTCTTGCTTGTTTCACCGATAGAAGTTGAACACATAATACACAAGCATGTTTCTCATATAACTATTAGTTGGGATAGCCCGTGTCCAAGTACCCTTCCTCAACACATTCTTGCTTATGGATTAATAGTTGTATAATGCAAGGATGCTGTAGCAGAAAGAAATATTAATATTCTACATGATTTGAGTCTTGAAACAGGCTACACACTCTTGGATTACATAGAAGCTACCCATACTTGCAATCAGTGGCGCAACCAGCGGGGGGGTTACGGGGGTCGTGTCCACCCTGCTTGAAATTCGTTTTTTTTTTTATTATCGTTCTACGTTCAAACAACGTCGTTCCACGGTCATAACAATCTGGTGAAAACTACTTTTTTCCAGTGCTTTATCACCTCGACGTAATTTAACACCGCCCGACTTCAATCATACCTTTTTGCTGTTAGTTACGTAATAATCGCTATCCCCGCGTATATGTTTGTATTCGAAAATGAGATATGTTACCTCAAAAAGGTAGAAATCGCGCACTGTCGATGCGCATTGAAAGCGACAATAGCATAATGCTATCTCTCTCTCTCTTGTGACGAATACTCTCGTGCTTCATCATCTTGACGCAATGTAACGCCGCCCGCTTCATGTTATAATAATGCAGTAGTAACTCTCAAAATCTGGATACGAAAATTATTTTCGGAAAAATATTGCTTCGATTAACCTAAGATTTTCTACATATGAAAGACCGAAAACCGAAAACGCCATACACATCCTACCGCCCCAGTCCACGTTCTGATTTAAAAACATTTCACAAATATTTCATTTTTTATCGCAATCGAAAGCAGCCATGTGTGGCACGGCAATAACTAACAGTCGTCAAGAAAGGTTTTCAATAAACTCCGACTTGAGGTGCTTATAAGACGTCGAGGACGTTTTTTGGTTGAAAATTTTTTACATTTGTTATCGTATATTTCAATTTAGTCAAGATATGTTGTGCGCCTCGGCAATAAACTTAAAAGCAAATCCTGCCCTAATTAATTGTTTTCATCCTCAGTTTTGATAGTTATCGAACTTACCGGGAAATTTTTTAATTACTTGCACTCTATAAAATAGCTTCTAAATATTATTTGGTTTCTATCGGAGATTTTATCGTTATCCCGACGTCGTTATTAACAATATCGTCTATTTTAAGTTGGAGGTATTGGTTTATAATCAAAAAATTATAACACATAACATGAAAAATTTAAATCAACGCCGACTCAAAAAGTAAAACACGTTTTTCCATCTTTATTCTCCATTATTGGCGGACGGAAATTTGGGAATCAGGTTTAACTAATTTGATTATGATGACGATGGTAAACAAAAGTACACAAACATAGCATACCATTCTTAGTTTTAGTCGTTATTTCTCTGTCCTTTCTTCTTTCCAAGTGCATATTAAGACCATAAAACGTGTTTTATTTTTGAACTCTGCGCTGATTTGAATATTTCATGTCGGCTGTTATGTATTTTTGTTTGTAAATGAATACCGCTAACTTAAACTGAACGATGTTGTCATCAACGCCGGATGCCGTCGAAATCCGCGATAGATATTAAATACTATTTAAGAGCTATTTTATACGCGCTAAATTACAAGAAATGAAAAAATTTCCTGTTATGTTCGGTCACTATCGAAACTGAGGATGAAAACAACTAATTAAGACACAATTTGCCGAGGACGCCTGAACCATCTCGACTAAGTTAAAATACACGATAAGAAAATATTTTCAATCAAAAACGTCCTCGAAGTCTTATAAGTTCTTCATGTCGGCGTTTATCGAAATTCTTTCATGTCAGCTGTAATATATTGCCGAACCATACATGGACGACGACGCTAGGATATGTGCGCCATATTCGGGACACAAAAAACGGTATTTGAAGTTTGCGATATTTGAATTTAAATTCGATTTGGACATCCCTGCATTAAATTAGTCAGTTTTTAGTTGTGTTTCCAAAAGTTAGTTGTAAATCAACTATTTTAATTGTCATTATGTCTTCCGGTGAGCTTCAGTTTAGTTTAGAATTTTTCTGGGGTTAGGGTCGGGAAAAGGTCCATTCGCAAGAAGTGCATTTTGTTTTTGGTCTTGACGAATTCACCCAACGAGCAAGGCGCGGCACTAGGAAAACACTGGAATTTATTCAAGCTGTGTTTCACTATCCACGAGGCGCAAAGCGAAGGGAAACGTTGAAAATAATTAACAGCTTTTCGTTAGCAATTCGCTGGAATGTAATGAACGGCGTTTTGCTACCCACGAAGTGCAAGACATAGCGAAGCGCCGTTAATGAACGAGTACAAGGTAAGCGAAAGGCTGGGATTTAATCGATGGCGTTTCCCTTTTAACCACGAGCAATTTATCGCGTTTCAGCGGGGCGACACCTAGTGGCATTGCGACTTACGTCGTGGTTGCACTGTGTAAATTCCGGTCGGACCCCCGTTGAAAACGGTCTGGTTGCGCCACTGCTTGCAATGTATGTCTGATATATCAGCTTTAACTGAGACACTGTGAATACTACGTATTACTCCAATTTGATTTTAGTATTGCATTATTAAAGTGCAATTGTTTCGTTGTGAAGGTATCAAAACAAAATTATTATTCAGCAATAGGGCTGTAAAAATCGGTTGACCATTCAAAAATGGTGCGAAAAGGAAGAAAGGTTAGGGACCACGGTTTTAGTACTTCGATGAGTGCATATTTGTAATATGTCTAAAGATTTTGAAATAGAACTCTATAATGGCATTTCAATTAGAGAAGTCTGCTTTAATAAGAACATTCTTACTTAGATCCATTAGTAGTATCATCATCTCCATCATATTTTTCTCCTTTCAATGTTGAACTTGACCGAACCGAACTTCTGGTATCATCATGCTTATGCGGTGAATGTCTAGATTAATTAACAAGATTTTACCATTGATCAAAATAATCTAAATTTGAAATACGCTGTAGATTGTACTACACTGTACGTAGATGATAATGTCCTGGACCTCTGGTATGCAAAAATACTCAAGAACACATTTCCTAAAATTCCTAATCCTCATTTTTATATTAAAAAAAGTTCTAATTCTGATAGTAAGCGAAAGAAATAGCAAAATATGCTATTATTAGTCATCTGATTCAGAATGATGGGAATTACTGGATTATTGCCAGATCGAAGCAACATATTGGTATTCAAGCATATTTTCTTAAGATTGAATAACTTATATAGCATTTTCGCATTTGTGTACCATATTAATCACAGACCGTAATACCTAATAATCTGCATCATTTCATGAAAAAATAAATTGAACAATATTAAATATCAATATAAATCACATTTGTTGTTACCTGCTATGATGTTCCTCTGTTTCACGTGGCTTGACTTCAACATGCATTTTACCAAGAAGTTTTGCATTTTTTTCTGCAGATGTCAATTTCGGTTTTGGAGGTGCCTTTGGCTGATAAAATATAATATTTTGGATTGAAATGCCATTTCACTGCAAAAATGTTTGCATAAACCTAGCCTACAAAAGATAATGACTCAAAATATATCTATATCATATTATAATCAGGGATCGCCAAAACTTGATGTTTCACTATCCCGAATATATTCTGAGAAAATAGCAAGGAAAGTTTACATGAAAAATTACATAAATCCTTATATTTTCATGTTGATTGTATCTAAAACGACATAAATATGAAGGTCATTGTTGGATCTCCAGAAGTATGTGCACCAAGATGGCGTACAACCTGGACATAGTATGTGTACCAGATTATGGTTCAGGTTGTGTGCCATCTGGGTACACATACTTCGGGAGCGCTCATTGTTTTCTCTGTGATGTTTGTTACCAGTTGAGATATCGTATGTTTAGATGAAGGCTCAAACCTCAAAGTCCCTTTTAATAAGAATGTTCAAAATCAGGGGTGTCAAACTCGTGGCCGGGGGGCCAATTGCGGCCCGCAGGACGATAGTTTGTGGCCCCCACCTTAGTATGAAAGTTTAATGTTAATGTGGCCTGCAAGTCACTTAGCTCAGTTTGCATGATTAATGATTATTACATTTAATATAAGTTCTTGGATATTTGACGCCACAATCACTATCAATTAGTTTTTATTGATACATTGTAACCACGTTTTCCATATGGTGAAGCATCACTGTCCATCGGCAAAATACTTGATTGAAATAAATAAAAAGAAAAGATTTGAATTTTTTAAACTAAGCTTTTATTGTGGAAAAACTGATGCGACCCAGACCCACCCAGACTCCGCCTTCAGTGGACCATAGGTAAATTGAGTTTAAGACCCCTTTTCTAAATTATTCCTAAATTCAAAATTTACTATATGGACTAGCCTAATTTTAAAAAGTATTAGACCAGTAACTAATCTACCTAATATATGAATCTGGTGTTTAGAATGATTGTCATATTACTGATTTGACATCCTCTACCAATATATCACACAAGCATGGATAGACATCTGTAACATTATACTAGCCATATATATTTGGCTACATTTATAAATATGAAAATGTTCAGAATATTCAATAATGATTTCTAGCTATTTTAGATATTAATTTACCTCCTTTTTTCCATGTGAGAACTTGACTAATGCAGAAACACCTTTCAGAGCTCTGTCTTGTTTTTCAGAAGCCGTTTTCATTGCAGAATCACGAGCATGCTTGAATTGACTCAATAGATCTGGAAGTAGTGACATTAGTCAGGTATATTCATAACATAACATAATGAGGTTTTTTTTCCTATTGCTATTAGGTTCAATCAAAATAAAAATATGAAAGTACAGTAAAACCAATGACTTTGATAACTTTTTAGAATAGAACAAATAAAATAAAAATGCATGCAATTAGGTGATAGAACACAGCCTTTTCATTATTCATCATGGTAAGTACTGTAGTAATACAAGCTTAAACTAAAGGCCAATACTATAAGCCTAACTCAAGTGTACTACGAAAGAATTGTCAGAGAGTAAAATATGCTTTTCAAACACTAAGCCGGGCTCCCATTTCAAATGTTCAGCTGAGCACCATTAATATACATATTTAATATTAAATGTGATTTTGAATATGGATATCATATAGGACATACAACAAAGCATTAATGTAAATCTACTACATAAAAAACAGTTAAACTTGTAATTTCCAAAACATGAAAAATGAAACATATTTCTAGTCAAAATATTAGACTAAACAATACTCAATCTGCTCATTCGTCAGGTATCGGTATTGATACTGACAGCTACTGAAATGTGTTATTTTGTTTTGACAGCTCATCAATCGCAGGTTCGCTTTTGTTAAGTACTATTTATAATTATATTATTAGAAAGTAGTAAAAAAGCAAACACACACCTGTTTTAGGTTTTTCGGGAGAGTTGCCAAAACCTTAAAAAAAAAGCAAATAGATGTCAGTATCATGCCGACAACACGAGTTAAAATGAAGCAACAGGAAGTAATTTGAATGCATACAGAATAACTTGCATCTACCAATTAATGAAATAAGAACATTTAGGCTGTAGTATTTCTATCGAAGTTAGGATTCATACTTAACTCGACTATGATACTAGTCCAACCACTGGGGAAAAACCCATATTAAATCCATATACAGTTTAAAAGACATTCCATGTGTATGCACAATGGTGGTTATGAAAGCAATAAAATATTGAAGAATATTGGACTATTCTGTGATCTGATGATAATTTTTGGCCAAGAAAATAGACCAGGTATCAGTATTGGTAGAGAGTTGTTCTCTTTCCCTAAATATCTACTTCTCATAATCATTCCATGATTATGAGGGAATTTATAATAATGGTGATATTAAAATTTGTTAATTTTCAAATGCAAATTCCATGCACTCTAATTATCCATTTACTGCTTATATAGGCAAAAACAAAGACAAAAAAACGCAAAAAAATTTCAGGATTTTCCAGGTAAAAAATCCTATTTTGAATGAAGCACAATAGAGAAGAATGATCACATTTACTTCTACATACACAACAGAAACATGAAAACATTATTTCCAAACCAATGACAAGCTTGATTATGACTATGATTAAACATGAAATGTTTTACAAACCATGCGTTATACCACAATAAAATTTAAGATTTTATGATTACCATATATAGTGTAACTTCATGCCAGCGAATTTTTTAGTTCCTACTCAATAGATCATTTGCTGTTTGAATGAAGAATGGATGAATGTTGGGTCAAAATTCTTATTCTGCAACTGGACAAATTCGTGAGTTAGCCCCAGAAGGCTATTTTTATGTTTAGTCGGTGATCCCTGGATGTATTTCATAATCTTCACTACACTAACTACAATGAAACTCCCATAACACCACATAAAACAGTCTTTGCATTCAAATTCAGCCCAATAATGCAAAGCTATGCAAAAGATCTTACCCAAATAGGTGGGAGGCCTTCTTCCGGCCTGCTCTGCAGGTTCTGTAATCTGTGGCATAGGAATAGTCTTCGCTGCTTCAGCTGATGGAAGTTTATAAACCAATTTTGAATCCTTCTTAGGTTCTGATGTCAATTTTGCAGGACTATGGTTGCCTAAAACATATTTGTGGTAATTGTTTTCATCATAACAGAAATGAATAATAGAGGTCTACTCTCTCATTGTTATTATACAGCAAACCATTTCCTTTTTCCGGTAAAGCCATTTTCACTGAAAACATAATAGTTTTGGATCACAATTCATGAATATGGTGAATTGCTGAATTATTAGCTAACTATCCTATCACAATTCAGTATGGTATAGCATAGGCCACCGTCCTTCACATAATAAAGTATTTTCATGTTTTGGTTACATGTCATTTTTTGCATCCTCAAGGTTATAGAGGATTTCATTATAGTATTAGAGCATTATAAAAAAAATACACTCTGAAAATTAGACTATAAACAAACATGAATAATGTAAAAAAACAACAACAATGATAATGCATTATAAACATCAATACGAATTTATTTAAATATGTAAATATTGGATGGGTTAACTTACTTGCAGGCGGTGGCACGACTCTTTGTGATGCTCTCTGTTTTGCTGTTCTTTCTTGTATAGATGATGCAGTGTCTGAACTGCTGTCCTGATAAAATATATAAATATATCAAGCTAACATACCGTAGTTTGAAGTTGTCATTGATGCAATTTACCACAGCAAAATTCAATAATTTTGAAAGCCTGCTTTTTCCAAATAAATACAAATTTGTATATTATTAATATTGTGAATTTCTTCAACTTAATGGGATATGTTTGCAGAGTTACTGTTCATGGTGAAATTCCAATTTCAATTTAGTTATATATGATTGCCAAAATCAAATAAATTACTTAAGTTTTTACAAATATGATATATGCTTTTTAAATTCAGCTACATTCAAGGGCAAAAACAGACACTTCGTAAACATTTGATGAGACTGAATCAGAGTGGTAGACTCTTTGCATTGGCTGAATGCTATTTTCTGGTTCGAAATGATTAACTTCAGATTTATATACTCTGAAAATCTAATCAAGAATTGGCTGTATATTGAATTTTGATTATTCAAATTGGTTGTTTGAACATTTTTGCTTATAGAATCTCGATTGTTGCTAAATCATTCTCTGTTATTATGACTCTCATCAAAATATGTGAACAGCGAATTCCTTACTTTCTTAGCTCTTAATATTCGCATCGATTCTTCACGATGAACTTCAATTTTTCCCTTCTGCTGGGATAATTCACTGTCAGTCACTTCAATTTGAAATTCATCAGTACCCACTGCTGAAAAAAGTAGAATTTTAACAAAAATAAACCTTAAATCTAAGAAAAGGAATTCAAATTGGTACCATCGAGTAACGATCCAAAATAAAACTTGAAAAGGGATAAATTTTAGCTGAAAATGATGGTTATCTCAGTTGATGATGATGAACCTTCATTGTACATCAGCTAGTAGAGCCACCGCTATTATGCAAAAGCATTATTACATACTTTACATCATAGGAAAGAAAATTGGTTCAGTAATTCATCAAAATATAGATGGAATACATTTCCAAAACAAACAAATTGTGTTATTTTCATTGGTACAAATAATGTATATAATAAAAATTTGGAGGTATTGCAAGTTTAAACAAATTCGTTCAGATAATTACCTTCAGGCAATGCCTGGTGGTAAAGTGTCTTCAAATAACCTCCGTTATAACATGTAATATTATTGTGTGTACTGCAATGAATCATTTAAGGGAAAAAACTGATCTGGTAATTACAGAAAGAATCTGCCTCAAAATAATCAATAACTCAAGTGAGTTCATTCCTAATCAATAATAGACACTATTAAAGAAGATTACCATCTCAATAAGTGAATATATCAAATTGTTGTGCAGAATGGTTGTGCAAGTTATAGTTTAAAAATGGGGAAAATGGCAAATTATAAATTCCATATAACTATAAACATACCTAATAGGCCTATATATTATTAGCCAAAAAAAAAAAGCCAAAAGAATTGCCTGATATAATTACAGTAACAACTCCGAGAAAACATCTCAGAATGCGTAAGAGTATTCTACATTTCTACAGCAGGAAATTTCTTCAGGTTGCAAAGCATAAGTCTACATCTTTGGATGCAAAGATTACTTTACTGAAAATAAATCTAAATAAGCATCGAGTGTTTTTGCTTATATTTTGTGGATACTAGATACAGAAGTATTAATTTTTCAAATTTTTGATTAAGAATAAAGCATTATATCCAAATTAATATTGAGTATGGTTGGCACTGATTATGACACCTACGAGTTTTAAAACTTTTAAAACATGAGAACGTTTCTCTTCAATTGTGTTTATAATAATTTACTAGGTGATCACATTTTGTTTATAAAGATTCACAATGTCCAATTTCACAAAGTACAAACTTATTCTTCATTCAAAGCATAGATTAACAATTTCACGGATGGGTAATTTTACCCTTTGTTTCAAGGTTATTGAGCGGCATTCAATGACTCTTGAGTAGATAATACTTGAGCTGCCAATGAACAGCAGTAGTTTTTATCAACAGATTAATTTATCATAAATTCTCTCAAATTAAACTCTCCCCTATTTTACCAAAAAAAAGGAAAAAGTTTCATCATTTAGTGCAGTGATGTTCACATGGCAATGACTCAATTCTGTAGGAGAAAGAGATTCCTTTTCACAAACATTCTTTAGTAAATATGTATGCCATGTGTCAATAGAGTTGAATGATAATAGTGGGTGTTCCACCTACATGTTACTAAGCATGATGATGTACACTAACTTTGACCCAAAAACATTGTAGGTGTATGAGTAATGTATACTACTATATACTAATTTTTGAAATAAAAAATTATTATTTTATACAATTACATAATTGACAAACAAAATGTATATTTATATTTTCAAATGGCTTTGTTGAACAAAATTAATAAAAAAATTTAGTTTCCAATCACATTAAGATTGATAATAAAATGCAGTCAGATTTTAATAATATCTAAGCATGTTTAATAGATTGAATGCTTGAGTTTTTAATCCAATGATAGCGTATCTAATACATAATAGCAAAAGGCGCAGCCTTTCTAATATAATATTTGCTTTAACGTCACCACTATTCCAATATGAGTTTGAGAATCTGTTCAAATATGGCTGAAGTCTTTCTTAGTCATTCATAAGTCAAACTTGAAAAGCACAAAGTATAAACGGATCATATAAGATCGAGAAAATTTCATTTGATGAAGCTTTTTTTTAGTATTACACAATATTATTCTTCATGAATAACAAATAAACCCTACAATTTGTACAGTGTTCATTATTTCAAACTTGTTTTGAAATCAGTTTTCACTTATTCTTAATCGGGTTGGTTTTATTTCAATCAGTGTTTATTTTTCTTCATTTCACATAACACACCTTTACATGACTGTCATTGGTTGTACGAAACATATCCAAGATACTTCATTTAATTTAAAGCTATCAGTAAAGCTGAAACAGACCCAAAGTAGACAAAGGCTTCGTGACATAAGCCTGGTTGATTCAAACAATGGCTACTTACATCTCTTTATGAATTTAATTTCCAAGTAATTATATAATAACCATACAGTAAATCTGTAATACATTCTATACATTCATTTGTTATCATTTTGTCAAATTCATTTTCGTTTAATAATTTAGATTTATCAAAACAATATATAGTTAATATCATTTTGTGCGTCATGCCATGCAAAATATGTGAATGAAATTGGAAACTTCACAATTTCATCATATTGATAATCACAAATGAATATTTGGTCATATTTACCAAATATAAATAAAGTGACATATATTTTTTTACAGATAACATTGACCATTTTTCCCCAATTTTAAAATTTAAATAGCAAAATATAATACTACCTTTTTAAATTAAGATTTTTCAAAATAGGTAGCAGTACTTAAATGGATTTCACTAATGACCAACTTATGGCATATGAAAGGTAACTAATAAGCCACAATATTCTAGAAAATGAAAAATTAAAACCATAACATGTCACAGTGCTTACATATATAGGCCTATATATATATTGAAGTGAAATCAAATTAATAACATAGCAAGAAGCTACCACGATACATGCCTTCCACCAAGTTACTTGTGCTTCCTGTTCTGCTTGGAGGTTTTCTGTTTGCCAATGCTCCTGATTTTCCTAATCTTAATCTCTCTCTTGACAAATCATGTGTGAGTGGTTGTGCACTTCTTACATCAAAATTAAATTCATTTTGTTCATCTGTGGGTGATTGATCAATAGCCTGGAAAAATAAAGAACATATTCAGGTAATTAGCACTCATTAAAAAAAAAAGTTCATTGGTGAAAAACAACTACGTCAATAACATTAACTCCTATAAAAAATTTTCGGTGCTCCCGAAGTATGCGAACCAAGATGGCGGATATCGAAACGTAACATGGGTAACAGGTTAGGGTTAGGCCATAATTTTTTTCCAATTTTCCTTATTTTAGTCTTATTATCAGTTCGAAGACTAGCCAAGAGCCTCCCGTAGTATTTATACCTAAAATTATGGCCTAAACCTAACCTAGTACACATATTACATTCCGATGTCCGCCATCTTGGTTCGCATACTCCGGGAGCCCCAAATTTTCAGTCATCGAATTCAGTTGGCTGCAAGCTCTGATTCGATTTTCCAAGAACTTCAGTTATATTGAGTTACAAACTAGAGTAGAGACTACAAAATATATAATATTTATATAATATTTTCCTGGACTGCTTCAAGTGTTGCGTCAATCAGTAAAAACATTTGAAAAGCACCTCTATAAATCTACTATTGTTTCAGCAGTTCTTGGCACAACAGTTTTTTTACCTTTGAGTGAACGTCACCTTGCTTTGAGCAAATTTTATTGAAAACAAAAAAGATCTATCAAATGCAAATGTATCTAGATTAGTTGCAATTTTTCCAGATTAGTCAACAGTAAAACAAAATGGATAAAGCTGTTCTATTCATACAGAGAAATTGTTACCTGGGGAGACAAAACTGCAGAATTTCTTTGCGGCTTTTTTGGTTGTGGTTTGCTTCCTGGCGATCGAATATTTTTTATTTGATGTGGCTGAAAAAAGTAATACTACGATTAACCACTCCAACCTAACATTAACCACTAACATCCAACATAACAACATTAACCACTAACATCCAACATAACAACATTAATCCACTAACAACCTAACAGAAGTGACAAAACACAAGATCTTCAATTTCCAGCTTTGTCAATATAATATATTGCTGTATAACTTGACCTGCCCGAGTATCCCAAAATTGTGGGCTAAAGATCTAAGAACTACTATGCGAATATGTCAAAAAGAGTCCTTTAATAATGAGGGGTACCAACCAAGAAAAGTATTTGAAAAATGACAGAGCAGGTCATAGGACAATTTTTTTATGGCGCTTCTTAACCCCTTTCGCTCCGAAAAAATATCTGTGTATGCCATCACTGGTATCTAACGATATGTAAAAAGTTATTTGCTTTTCTGGAAAAAGTGGAATCTTTTACCAAATTCATCACATCCTAGGTGAGGTGGCGGGCATGGAATTTGATTTGATGTGTTATATGAGATGCAAACACAGTCAAAAACAATGCTATATTATCTAAATGTTTTCTAACCTTATGGTAAGGTTGAGGTAAACCAGTCATGAGAACAGGATCTTGTCGATGTTGTCGCTCAAAACTAGGACTTGATGGTTGATCATATTGATTCCCAGAACTTGTAGCTTGATATGGTTGTCGTTTTAATGAGTCTGGATCTCTACCTCCAATCGGTATAGGTTTATTCCTTTCGTATGCTGATGATGCACCTCGCTGGTTATTGGGAAATTGAGGCCTTATGTGTTTATTAGCAGGTGGGGGAGTTGGTGCATCTACGTCCACTTCAGAACTGTCAGAATCACCCGTATAGGGGCGTTGGGGAGGCGAGGCCCTATTTGCCTCAAAAGGATATTCTTGAGTTTGAGATTGGAATCTCACAGTATGTTCTTGACGCACTGAATTGGTATTTTCAGTATGTTGATATTGAGGTGGCCCTGATTGCGGTGGTGGTGGCCCAGGCCTTCTCCAATCATCACTGTATTCATTTCTTCCTTGGTGTGGTTCAGGAAACTTAGGTGAAGATGAAAATTGTCGATCATCAATGATAGGTGGAGGGGGGGTAGGCCATCTATCCTCTGTATTTAGATTTTCTGTCACTTTTGGGAAATTTTGAACAGAGGTCGGAGGTCTGTTATTGTAAGGTTGATTGCGTTGTGGGGCTTCCGATGAATGACCCATGTATAATTGAGTGTTTTGTTGGTTGGAAATAGGTTCATTAGCTGCCTTATTTGCTAGTTCGTAACTCCTTGCCACTACATCAGGTACATAGTCGTCCTTTTCATTTGACGTTATCGGTCTGATATAATTTGATTGTTCGTTTCGAGCAGCATTTCTGAAAATATACAAATGAAAATATCACATTTGATATAGGATGATAAAACGATATATCAAATTACGAGGCTGTTAAAAAACTCACCGATTGTTATATGATTCATTATGATTGTTCATGGATTGCTCATTAGACCAACTTCTTCTGTCATTATAAGGCCTTGTTGGTGAAAGTTGAGTTGGAGGTTCATGATCTGTTCTAAAACGATTTACTTCTGGCTGTGGTCGTTCCCATGATGCTTGTGGCTCTGCATACACAAAATGTATGTAATGTAAACAAAGTTAATCAGATCATTTGAGTATAACCAAAATGTATTCAATGCAATTGAAATATGGTAGATAAAAAGGTATATGAATAGAACCTTGAACAATTGAAATTTGATACTATTTTTCTGAAATCCATGACATTGCTATTAAAATGAATCAAACATTGGGATAGTGTTCAGCGAATAAATGTAATAATCACAAAAATTTATTGTTCAAATGATAAGAAATTGCACAATACATCAAGTATCATATAATGTGATACACAATATATTTGGATAGTGTTCAGCGAATAAATGTAATAATCACAAAAATTAATTGTTCAAATAATGAGAAATTGCACAATATAGCAAGTATAATATAAACAATACTTAGGATAATGTGATACACAATATATTTGGTTTTAAGGAGTCAAGATAAAATTTCAAAAAAAACACAAAATCATATTTTTTGAAGTCTGCAACTAGAGAGTAAAAAATTCTGTAACCTATGCCAAATTTCAGTTTTCACAAATGGAGTATGTCGAAAAGACTGCTGGTATAGAAATTCACCATTATACATTCTAGAACAAAAGTTTTACATATCACAAAATACATACTTTGTGCATTCTGATTGGTCTGAATGGTTGGACCAGTATCTTGATTATATTTCACACCAAGAACCATAGGTCTTTCTTCAACATTTCCTGAATAACTATTCCTATAACCTCTATCTTGTTGTGGATCATCAGCATACGCCTGAGGTCTACTTTCTTCGGGATATCTTGACCTGAAAGAAAAAATACACACTCAAATAGAGCAAAATCTACAGAGAAGAAATCATCTTCAAAATTGACCAAAAATAGAAAATATGGCAAATTACAGCAACCACATGTAGTGCATAACAAGCTTATGCATTATTATTACCCTTTATATTGTATACCAAATATTTCAAATATACCTTTCATCTAAATTGTGCATACTTTTCGCATGCTGAGGGGGCCGTTGTACTCCATGATTCGGTGACTGATATCTTGATCTGTAGTACAATGATAATAATCAATAACGAGAAAGCAATGCTCAAATACATGAGCATGAAGGTTTAACAGCTAAGTGCAGTATGTACCGGTAGCCCATGTCAGGGCTACCCAACCATTTTTTACTAAGGTTTGCATACAATACTTTAAAATTTGCGAGATCCAGTCTTTTCAGAAAATATATTTTACAGTGAGCCCAAATAGTGCCTCTAACTTTTAGGTTAGAGAGTTAACAGAAATACAGATCATGTTAAATTTAGGGATGGCAAAATAAAAAAACAAAACCTTGAAGATTATTGTGGTTCCCCGACTGGTGATTATTCGGTACAGAGTCAGTTTATTATAGCATCACAGTTCTTTTCATATATAGTTATATGAGAAAACGATGAAACTAACTCAAAACTACAAATAAAAGTTATTCAATAAAAGGGAACTTTCACATATCCAAATATGATTGCGCCAATGCTTCAAAAAAAAGAATGTGCGGTCACAAATTGAATACTCAAAACAGTGTTTTCGTAAATTAAAATAAAACTGCAATGTTTTGGGTGAAACATCAGATCTCATATGTGTCACAGAAAATTAAAAATATAAAAATCAAAGCAACATCAATCTCGCGACTACTTTCATCTTAAAGCATTAAAAATTTAAAAACGTTTTTTTTGGTCCTCTAGCCAGAGAAAAGTGATTTTCTCTTGTAAATAAAAGTCGCCTCAGCTAAAACAACGATTTAGCAAAATCATTTATATAGCCATTTCATGTAGAATAGTCGTAATGGGGTTTTGAAAAAAAAAAACAGTATAGTTAGTTACCTTTCATCAAGAGAGAGATTGTCCATACTTTGACTATGTAAAGGTTGTGTGCGAGGCTGAAATTGCTGAGATTCGCCATTATACTGCGGTCTCTGATATGGTGGAGATCTTGGTCCTGGAGGATGCTGAGAACGAGGAGAAATTGGATCCCTTCTCTCAGGATCCCATCCACTTTCAGAAATATTCCGAGGACGTGGAGGAACTGGTCTGGCATTGACAATATTGGGTTTTGCAGGTACAATAGGTTTTGGTGCAGGGGGCGGATGCCTCGGATCTAATTGTTTTTCAAACAAACTTTTTGTGGCAAGTACACTCTTAACATGAGGTCGTTCCACCCCTGATTCACGAATTGAATTTCTTTGTTGAGATTTACTCCTAATATCGCCATGTTGATCATAACCCTGTATCTGATGTGTTGGTTCTCTCCCTTGTTCGTGATTTCTTTGTGCGTATTGTGGATCAATATTTCGATCTTGATTCTCTTCAAATCGTCTTTGCGGCATGTTATTTCTTGTAATTGGTGGCCCATATTGATCTGGAGGACCTATATTTCGGTCTTGGTTGGGTGGGTGATTCTGGCGATTTTGATATATGTCATCTTCCCTTGGTTTATCCGGCATAATCCTATCATCCCTATATCGGTTTTCAAAATTATCATTTTGGGACCTCGAGGGAGGCGAACGGCTGTAATGATCTCCAGGTGACCTTGGTCCATTAATATATTGTTGGGGAGCGGGTTGTTGTGGCTTCGATTCGAACTGCCCCCTTTCTGTGAATCGCTGATTTTGATCATTGTGAGATCTTTCTGTATAATGAGTAGATTCTGAGCCGTAACCACTACTTTCTGTATAGTCGTGTTCCCTATAACCAGGCCTAGAAGCCTGATATGGTGGTCTGTTGTCAGGAGGTCTGGTATCCGGATATGGGGGACGAAAATCGTTGTAGACTGGCGTATCCTTTTCATTGTATATTTCTTTTGGCCTATTGTTAACACGATTATCTGAATATGAATCTGTTTCATTCCGCGATTGCCTGAATAAATAGGATAATGCTGATATAATGGAAAATATGCTTTTTGTCACATCAGAAAGAATTTGTTGTACCTAGATTATTCTAGAATGTACGGAAAATAGACTTCAGCAAATACACAATGTGAAAACAAGTTGCAAATAAAGAAAATTCATCCAAATAACGAACAGCTGCTATCACAGACAACAAACATTGAATAAGTGTAAGACAAAGAGCATGTCTAAAAATAAAACATAAAAAGTAACCAAATTAATAGGTATTTCGAAAACTTCATATTTGAATGGTTTGGTCATGTTCAACTTCGAAATTTTCTAGAGTAATATGTTGTATGTCAAATTTATTATTATAATAAAACTTGAACATGGAATTTATTAACTTTGAAACTTTTTTCACTAGTAAGTTGACATTGGAATTTCGAAACCTTCAAAAATCAATATGACAATAAACTGCTACCTCGTAATGACAAAATATTTAGTATAATCAATAATGAATTTGATTTACCAAGATTGATTCGTATCTGGAGAATTCCTGTATTGATTTGGAGGTTCATTTCTTGATTGCCAATTACGTTCTTGAGATTGAAGTCTTGACCTCGGTGATAGTGGAGGAGATGGCTGTTCCAAAATAGGAGTTAAAGCATGATGCTGGAAAATATTTACCAACTATCAAAGAAAAAAAAATCACAGGAAAAAGGAAAATGAAAAAGTTGAACATACATGGTGATGGGTCAAAGGTTGCGATTCCTGGAGTAGTTCTTTTCTAGGTGGATCTCTTGCTTCATGAGGAGAAAATTGTGAAGGATAAGTTCTTGTTGGAGATGAAAGAGGCGGAGCATCATTTCGATTTTGAGTTACAACAGGTTCAATCCGTCTTGAAGGAGATGTATCAACTCTCGCTACAATGCCGAAAACTGCAGTTGAACCACTCTGTAAGATTTTGTAATTTTAATTTGTGTTGTTTCGAAAGAATGGAACGAAAATAATGAAATTAACTTACAGTTTTGGCTAGAACTTGAGGAGGCTGTGGTTCTTTTCTGGTATCCCTTTGCTGCAAGTTTTCACTATAGCTGTTTCTGAAATGAGAATCAAACAGTTGTGCTAGGGATTTTGTACCGGAGTTTCAAACCCTTTTCCCTCAAAGGAAATAAAATAACCAATCAGCTTCTATATAAATAGAATTGTTGATTCCTACAAAGGCTAGTATACAAAAGCGAATATGTTATAATAAAAGTTATTGCAGGATGATGAACGTGAAATTAGCAATTACCAATTGGAATAAATATGACAGTAAACGCAATATTCGGAGCATTTTCAAAATTAGGTAAAAAGTATTTTTGTTTTTTGAAACATCCTTTAATTCTCGCCAAAATGTACAATGTTGTTAAACTAACAAAATACACAAAAGTGGATAAAACTTTCAACAATATGTTCTATCTATTAAATATTGACATTGCAGAAAAAAAACATTTGTCGGTGCTCCAGAAGTATGCACACCAAGATGTTGCACAACCTGAATCCTAACCGGTACACACATACTATGTTCAGGTTGTGCGCCATCTTGGTGCGCATACTTCTGGAGGTCCCATTTGTCTATAAAAGGTTTGATGTGGTCGTCTGTGCAATTTGAATATGAAAAAATTAAACAATATATAATAACAGGGAATTGTATTTCTTGAGGAAGTTAGGTTCAAGCATCTCATTGTCATGCATTGAAAATATTTTATTGGCAGGATGTGTGGAATTTCCATTTGGTTTTTACCTTAGTAAAAATGGAAAAACTCATTTAATTGAGAACATTCAATACAATAAATAATCAGATACATTTTATTTAACGTAATTCACCGATGGGTCTCATAATAATAATATATTATTATACATGAACAATAAGCAGTCTTTCTATTCATTTTTTCCACTAACAAATCTAATGGCATTTTTAAAATACTAACCTATAATAGTCTTGTGGTGGTCTTTGACCAGGCAGGTTTCCCTGCAATAGAAAATTAAAACTTTATAACTATGTTTTATTAATTAATCCTATTGTGGGTATACATTAATTTAAACTAGAAATCTCCATGTGAATTTTTTAAGAAAAGAGAAAACTATCTTTATGCTCATTAAATAGTAAATAAACAAACTACCTCAGAATAAGATGTATGATCCTCTCTTTCAGACTGATATGATTTAAAATTGTTAGAAGGTGCTGGTTGTACGTATTGAGTGCTTGATGAACCAATATCTCTGTTGGGTTGTTGGGGAAAACTTCTTTCATCATTTTGTTTTCGATAGAGTTGATTTGTTTTATTATAAGCATTAGCACGATTAGAATCGTTGCTTTCCACCCAACTAGAAGATCTTAATTGGCCAGAAGGTGGATTTTCATTTCTATACCTATCATCCCAATTCCTATTTTCACCCTGGCGTTGTGATCTCATATCGCTATACTGTCTTTGATCATCGAAACCAGTTTGATTCTGTCTCAATGGAGGATGAGAGCTGGCTTGCCTGTTGTCTTGCTCCTCATTTCGATAGGCATTTTGAGCTGTACCACCATAATTTGTAGCAATGTGAGAAGGTCCATCTCTCCAATTGCTATTTGTTTGTGGGTATGAACGGACATCTGGATTATTTGACCATGATTCTGGAGGAGTTGGAAGCTGACTGGTTTGTTGAAATGTTTGGGGATAACGATGTACTGCCGGAGGTGCTTCATTCCTTCTATCATACTCGTTTATCCGCTCTGGCTGAGGTGGTGGTAGATCACGTACATCCCTTCTGTAATTCCCACCTCTCATATCATAATCATTATTAGTTTGCTGTTGCTGATAATTCCTTACATCGGTTTGTGCAGGCCTCCCGTCATAACCCCGATTTTCATCGTTATTTCTGAAGCCATTATTATTGTGTCTACTTCCATCGTAGAAATAATTGTCTTGGCCTCTCTGCTGTTGGTAAGCAACGTTCCCTCTGTAACTCATATCAAATTATAGGTACATACATACGCTTACATAATGCATTACAACTTAAACCTGCATTAAAAATTAATTATACAGACAGTATTTAATATCACTACAAGTACGATTCAAATAATTGAGAATGCGGATGCACAGATAAATAGGACAATAGTGTATAGTTAAAACAAAAATATTTCTAAATATACCACCATCGAATTTACATACATTTGCACAATATCAGAATGGAAAGTGTACAATCAATATTACAATCTGATAATTATACAAATCAGACCAGCCTAATTGATAAATACACATATATGCATGAAATGAATTAACAACACTAGAAAACGAGTTGTCAAAGATTCAATTATCCAGGAGTTCCCAAATTTATGCGAATATGCCACAAATTTAATCACATTTACACTGCTGATTTCTTTCTTCGAAATTTGTGCGTGCTATTCATTTCAATCGAATGGGACTTTAGCAAAATGTAAATCAAGCAACCTATGTTTTTGTTTATATCATAGGCCTACTAACTATCCATTTGATATCAAGTCTATGTGATAGATATTTCACCAAGCTGAAATAGCCTGAGAAGTATCCGTTGGATTTCATGTTATCCATTTGGGAACACAATGTTAATTTTATATAATTTTTATATCGAATTAGTCACAACCTTCTAATGATAACATGTTGAAGTATCACTATAGATTAATGAGTCATTGCATTTAAGCAAGAATGAATTTTCTAGTCAAAATGCTGCCTGTATTTTTGGCACACATTAAATTAACAAGGGCTACTGTCGGATTCATATTCTAATCAATGAATGAGAGCACATACAGTAATATCATTACAACAGGTAATTATATAGCAGTCTGGTAAATAATGCAAAATAAGGGAATCACAATTGTATTATCATTACAAGCCTGGACCACATGCTGAACAAATTGGCTTGTAAATTAGTAATATCTCAATAATTTATTAGCCTAGTATTTCGCATACAACAAGAATTATAAAATTACGAGAAAAAAAGGTGCTACTATAGCATGGTGTCTATCGTCATATGTAGCCCACCCAGGTCTTAGGTCTACCATGTGTCAAGTCAAGAGGCATGCATGAAGAATACATGTATGGAAGATAACTTTTTTGTCTTTCGTTAAAGTGTAATTAGAATGTTTAATTACCTATTCCATGGTAGTCCCCATGCTATAGTATTAGCTTGGGGTAGATCTCACGCTATAGCAGCACTAAAAAAAGAGCTTCTACAGTACTATATGAGTCACTTATAATTTAGTGAAGAAGCAACCACACATTTTATAACACAAACAATAAATAAACGAAGGATTGATATAATTGGAGTAGAATATAAATCAACCTTGGCTAATCGATGCTATGAATATAACACAAGAAATAAGAAGAAAAATAATTTGTTGCAACCAGAGACTTCCCTATCCACATAAGTTGAAATCCTTTTTTTCTATTCAACGTTTGAAAGATTCTAATTTCTAATTGTGAAGGGGTATTGCTTAATTCAATCTCTTAAATACCATTATTTTTTCCCCATTAAATACTCTGCATTTATCTTGTTAAAAATGTCTTATAAACCATAGATAATAATTTAACAAATTTCAAGTCACATTTAATATACGGGGTAAGTATTTTCTTTGAGTTCATCAATGACAAACGGATACAACAGAACAATATGCAATATCAATCACATAATAATCCTATCAAATATTCATTTTTATCATCACACACAGGTACTTGTTATTAAATGGCACCATGTTATTACTGTATATACCTTCGAAGCAAAAGAGCATCTCTTATAGTAAGAGAAATCTCCAAAAGTAAATTAGAAGTGCAAAAAAAAAAATGATATCTGAGAAGAATGATATCTGATTGAAGTTATGTACGACAATTAAATAGCCAAAAGCTCTAAGGAATTATAACATAGAATTGCGTAGTAATTGATAAATATATCTAGTTCTGGAACTTTTCAAAATGTTAAATAGTTATCAATACTGTAGGCCATGCATAAGGTTAAACATCACCCAAATTTAGCTAATTTTTTATGCTTTCTTCATAGACAGAAAGGGTAATACTACGAATCCATGATCAAGAATGTTTGTCTTGACAGGTAAGATAAAAAAAACTATGATCCAGCAATATTCTGATAATTCTAGTAATTCAGCGAGAAAATGATATAAGCCAGCTGTAAATGTTACAAAGTAAACCAAAAATATAATTTTTGAATCCTATTTTTTGGACATCTCTAGTTTCAATTAGTATACACCCACGGTAGCTTTATTAATGAAACACCATTATGGAGCAACATCAATTAATGATGAGAAGCATACATAAGCTAACAACCCTGCATAAATGACGCAAAAAACCTAGGTTATTATGATGCAGTTTGCTCTATAGGAAAGATCAATTTTCATAAATGATGAATAGCAAGCTAATTTTTTTGCCAAAAAGCAAGAGGTGAATATTGATGTGAAGAAATCAGGCAAATAAAATGAACGATAGTTATGCATTCATCTGCCTCACAAAAAATCTATATTGATTTAAGCTTCAATAATTGCCTAATATATTTATATATACATACAAAGCCTAATAAGTATCAATAAAAAATAATCTAAAAACAAAACGCAGAAAATTTCTAGAAATTAGAGAAATCAAACCATAAATGGGTCCTAAATTTCAGTTTAAGATTATTTTAGTTTGATTGATATGATCAAATAAAACACTGCAGCTAAATATATAATGAAAGCTAACCATTAGGAACCACACAGAATATAGGAGTGCAGGAATGGTTTCTATAGAGATATTTGAAATCAAGACAATCATAGTAAAAATTTTGCAGCACATAATTGCACTGAATAGCATACAACATTTTCTGCCAATGTTGGTAGAATCTATTCTACAGATGCATTAATTAAAAGTTTCACAATAAGCATATATTGCTCACAGTACTCAATTATTGAGTGATTTCGTGCTCATGTCACTGTTGTATGAGATTCCTAACTATAGACAGTTCCCAATGGAATGGAATCAGAATAAAAAAAATTAAAATAAACCAAATTTATGAGGATGTAACCATCATGTAACAAATTTAGGGAGTTATAAAATTATAATTATAAGGAGTTCACAAATAATTTTGTCAGGTGCAATTGAGGCTTATGTTCCCTGTACCCAAACACCTATGAAATCTTTGGGCTATTATAGAATTTGTAGGAAGAAGAATTCCTTAGAAGTACGTAACGTAATCATGGAAAAAAGATCAGTAAAGACAGCCTAGATTTCATGTCGGTAGTTGATATTTGGAATAATGCATAAGCTGTTGATTCAAAAGTCAAATTGAAAGATGAAAACCAACGATAACACCATTTTTCACTTTGACAATAGTGCAATATTTCAAAGTTCATCAAACCCAAAAGAATTCCTTGGGGTTACTTGTTGTATAAATATTTATACATAAAGAAGAGTTTGGGGCCGAATGCTTCCTGAATTCTGAAAATATTGAGTTATGGAGCCATCAAGGCTCATGGATTACAGGCTTGATTCACCAGAAATAACAACAGCCACATGAACATGAGTAGACAAACAATAATAATACAAAGTATATGTATGCTAATGAGAAAGCATTATTCATTTAAATTAGCGACGATGTGATAGATAATTTTTTGAGATTAATTTTTTCTAGGATAGTCTGCTTGTAAACGAAATATCACAATGACTTAATAAGTCATCACTCATTAACTTTTGTGCCTTTGATACTTCCTTTACTTCGCATTTCTTTCAAATCTTTCTGAGTTTCATCTTCTATCCTGCGAATATCTTCCATGGTGAGAGTGAGCCAATTATTCATCCAACAGTAAACTTGGCGATGAAAATTTGTGAACACTCTTCTCTCTTGCCTGTGAACAAATTTCTCCACCATATTTTGTAAGCCAAACCATTTAAAATTGCATCTTACAAGTTTATACGCACACATATGAGGCATTTTGCAACTGCTGCTATCCATTCGCTGTTGACCATTTTCTTGAGATTTTAAACGTTGAATCCAATCACTAGTAAGAGGTCCTCGGCCATCGGCAGAAGGTTTGAATAATTTGGGATCTTGGTCTTCTTTATAATCAGAGCTATTCACTTCATCATTCGCAATATCAATTCTTATGACTTCTCTCTTAGCAAGCAAATTTGGTGGTAATCCATGAACATTTTCTTCATCACCAAAATCTGGCTTATGCCAAGACTCAATTGACAACTCAAAATCCTTTTTCATGTAGTCAGGATTCGTTATAACAGTTTTGCAGTAAGGATATGCGTTCCATGCTTTTTCATGAAATTCGAGTGAACCTTTTGGCGCTATATGCCTTAAAAAGGAAGGGACTCTCGATGCCAGATGAAAGACTTTATGAGTAAACTGTCCACTTGTATCACCTTCTGTGTAAGGTCTATTTTCTAGTACATCTACTCCCTCGCCACCCCCAGTTTCATTTTTACTCGCTTCGGCAACAGACCAGAGTTGACCAACTTGATATTCCTCAACTGTCATAGGAAGTATGATACGAAACTCCTTGATGATCATATTTGTTGTACGGCTTAAGATTCCTTCTACCTATAGTTATTGAACAGTTGAATATATACACTGGGTTAAATCAAATCTGCAAATGAGAACAATAAATAATCAATAGAAATTGTGTTTACAATCAATAAAGTCAGCTTTGGCATTGTCAACTGAAAAATACATGTGAACAAAGATATTGATCCATCAGAATAACTCATAACTATTGGTAAATCGAAAGCAGATAGCAGTCTAAAGAAATTATTTACACAAGATGTAGTCACAAAAAATCAATGCTAATGTTTACAGGTTATTTTAAGCATTCCATGTGAAAATGACTTCAAAAATGCACAATATCAGATAAAATTAGTCTTATCACTTTTTCCCTGAACAAATAGTAATGTTCTGGGTTTTGAAAAAAATACAGCAATATCATCAATAAAAGGTAAAATTGATTCGAATAGCAGGCGATGAGAAGCACTTGACAGAACAAAATGTCATATGGCAGGAAAACTCAAAAATTAAGCACATTTTCTTCCTATTAAAATCTGTATTTCTAGCTAGATTGGAATAGAATATTTGAGACTTCTATAAATTTATGAGGCAAATACAAATAAATATTTTGTAAGGTAAAGCAATACTAAGTTCAGTAACATTTCAGATGAATTTGACTACAATTAATAGCCTTAATAATAATGATGATTATACATGATTCTCAAAATTTGAAGAACTAAACTCCCAGATCAAAAAATGATCCCAATACAAGGCATAAAATATTATCTACATTCCAGACATATTAGCACATTTGTACAGCAATGTACTGTTTAAAAAATACCAGGTGGCACGAGTGAATCAAGATTAATGAAATCATAAAAAGAGTAGGCCTTTTCATAATATTCAATTGCATAATGACAAAATGTAACAACATACTATCGCAATGACCAAGAAAAAACATCCAATATCTAGTGAGATCAAGCTGCAATAACATCAATAAAACAAAGCGATCTTAGATATTAAATAATGATTGAAAATATAACAACATATTGATGAGTTGGATTAGCCTAGCTAATGTGCTGATTAATCGTTTGGATTATGATTCTTAACACAGCTAGTCTGACAATATTAAACATCTTATATTTAACAGCTTACTGATGGAATAATTAAGATTGTAATTTGTAATAACTGAATGCTACTTAAACCTCAAACATATCTAACCGCACTATATTATCGGGTCATCCAAAAAAACGGAACCCAGTCCATTCAGAACAATATTATTGTATGAGTTCCGTTTTTTAGTCACCCTGTGAACTTGACATAATAATCAATGATCAATTGGAGTTGATGTCTGAATTTTTTTGACCATTAGCTTTAAAAAATTTCGATGATAGATCAAACAATTGTCTAAATTTACAGGATATGTAATTTGAAGAAAATAGGCTGGTAAGGAATGAAATAAGAATACGTCAATAATTGACTAAATTGCATTCATACCAACTATAGACACGTGCATTAGATTGCTGTAATACAAAAGTATTCCAAAAGTGAGATGTGCTATCAGTATGCTGTGTTAAAATTAATCATTACCTAGGTTACAATATATATAATGCATAGAATCTTCCAAGATAAAAGTCATTACAGAAAAAGGAATGAAGGTACAATAGCGTCCCACCAATTACTTACAATACATTCAGACATAAATTTCCCATCAAAACAGTGGAAATTAAATGTGCCACTCACTTTTATACAAGAGAAGAGAAGTTTAAATAGCAACAAACTCCTATTTTAATGAAGTCTAGTACAGATAGTACTTACTAGTACTATTTAGTAATATCTGTCTAGTACTATCCAGGAGTAAGCTTCATTATTCTGGAACAAAAAATTAAATTTGTTTCAAGTAAACTAGCTACAAAAAGTGGATGAAATATGCCCACACCAGAAATAAAAGTGTCTTGATTAAAAGGCAAAAAAAAAAGGTAGATAACTAAGATTACCTATTTTGGTATTGATTTCAATCTTTTAAAACTACATTTTAGCAAATATTTAACATTATTATTTGTTATTAGTCAGTAAAATTAAAGGTCTGATATGTTCAATGAGACATTATGTTTACTTTGCATGCTTTGAGTGTAATTTAAAATAAGCTAACCAACATATCTCTTTTTCAGAAATATGATGTGTTAACTAGGGTGCCCGCCACATGTTTACCCGGATCCGAAAACCCAGTTTTTTTGGGGGGTTTTCTTGAAACCCGAGACCGCAGTTTTAAGTACAATATAAGGTTATACTACCTGCTTGACTTCAAATCCCATCAAACATTCGAAAATTTGTTTGTGAAGGTTCGGCACCAAGAACCAATGTATGTTGTCGTAACTAGAGGGCGCATATTTTAGATAAAGAATAATATTGGATTGGGCTGGTGCTGAAACTCTACAAGTTGGGAAGGATTTAAACAGGAATAACATGTTTGGTGCTTTGTATTTATGTGTTCATTCAAAATTTTCTAAAGCATTTCAAATTATTTTTGAACGATAAAATAAGGTCCAAAATGCACTCGTTGAGGGTAATAATGCATTTTCTTTTTTTTTCAATATATAATAAGAAACCAAACGCCTCACTTTAAAAGAAAATGAATTCAGCAAAAACCTGAGTTTACAATTTTGAAAACAATTCAAAATAGCAGACCCAAATCAGACACCCTAGTGTCAACCTAGTTCCCAACATGCCATAACCAGATATTTTGAAGTACAGAAATTTGATAGTGTCAATATACATAGGAATAGTAGTTAAATATTAAGTTTTGAAAAATGATTACTCGACTATATTAATATTAGAGCATTAGTATTTAACTAAACAAAGACAAGACAGCGTAAGATGGTAAATATATCAAATGTTGAAAATACTGATAAACGTTCAGATTTCGTTGAACAATATAAAAATTTTGAAATGCTTTTTATGCTGAAAAACTTATTTACAACACTCTTTACTCATCACTCATTGTGCCCCGAATGCATCCTTCAGCACGCATTTCTTTCAAATCTTTTTGCGTTTGCTCTTCTATTCTCCGAATATCTTCCATAGTAAGACCAAGCCAGTTATCCATCCAACAATAGACTTGTCTATTGAAATTTGTAAAGATTCTTCTTTCCTGTTTGTGAACAAAATTTTCAACTATATTCTGCAAGCCAAACCACTTGAAATTACATCTCACAAGCTTATATGCACACATATGTGGCATTTTACACCTCCCATCCGCTTTCTGCTGTCCATGTTCTTGTGATTTCAGTTGCTTAATCCAATCCTTTGTAAGGGGACCTCTACCTTCAACATTAGGCTTGAATAAAGTAGGATCCTGATCCTCTTTATAGTCTGCCCTTTTAATAAGATCATCCGCAATATCAATTTTTATAACATCCCTATTTTTAAGAAGATCAGGTGGCAAATTATGAACATTTTCTTCTTCACCAAAATCTGGTTTGTGCCATGATTCAATTGATAATTCAAAACCTTCTTTCATATACCCAGGGTTAGTAACAACAGTCTTGCAGTAAGGATATGCATTCCATGCATTTTCATGAATCTCTAGTGATCCTTTTGGCAATACTTTGCTTAAAAAAGAAGGAAGTCTTGATGCCAAATGATATACTTTATGTGTATATTGCCCAGATACTCCATTTTCCTCATAAGCTTCATTTTTTAAAACTTCTATACCCTCGCCGCCTCCCGTTTCATTTTTACTGGCCTCGGCAACGGACCAGAGTTGACCAACTTGATATTCTTCAACACTGATTGGAAGTAAGATACGAAACTCCTTGATGATCATGCTAGTTGGGAACGTTGACAAACAAACAATATCAGATAACAAAAATTATTTACAACTAATTCAAATGACTAAATATGGAAAATATTAAAGTTTAAATTACCAGAAAAATAACATCCCAATGGATAGGGGGTGGAGTTTTTTATTTTTATTACCATTTTGTTTACTTTTTTCACTCATTTTGTTAGTTTTTCAAGATGTCAAAGATACAAACAGGTGCATATACAGATATACGGAAAGTACGAATGAATGACTAAAATCTTAGGGGTAAGCAAAGACTGAAGAGTAGTTACATTATACAAGTGAGATGGTATGTTTTACTGACCATCTAACAAAACTTATTCAATTTTATGATCTATAAATCAAATTTAAATTGTTATATATGTGTATATGTATATACAATACCCATACAAAGATTACATCATACAGTCAGTCATACCGTATTTCACATTAGCCTATTCCATACCAGCAATCAGTTGATCGTTGTCCCGAATGTCATCATAGTGAAAATAATTAGATATATTTTATATTAGCATGGAACATTTTTTTTTATAAAGATTAGACAGAAAATTTGAATATCTATCATGCCAATAGGATTTTCCTATTTCCTGTCTATGTAAAACGTATTACCGGTATCGGAACGAACTAGAATAAATCAGACGAGAGTGCGAGACGCCCAAAGAAACATTTTTCGGTACGGGAGAACCTCACCAGCGCCTCTTCTGGAAATATAAAAATAAGAGCGATGAAAACGCGTCAGAGACTTTTTTTTATGTCATTATTTATACATATCAATGGTCAACGTCAATGGTTGCATGTGATCAATGATATTAAACAATGTTTCAATGTCATTGATGTGATTTAATCTTTTTTTCATTTTCTTTGCCAAATGAATTCCAATACCAAACGGAATTAATCATACCTCAATGGATCCGATCACACTGTGCAGATTTTTTTCTGAATACCGACTTCTTTATTTATTCATAGCCATTATATAACATAATGGCTTTGGTTTATTTATGTACCATTGTCCAATAAGCAAAATTCCAACAGTGACGTGATAATTGAGAGTTTTGCAGCCCCCCTTTTCACTTAGACATAAGGAGCCACATTTTTCAAGTCGATTGGGTTTCTACCAGACTGACTTCTTCTCCGTCTTCCATGCTTTTGAGCCGGTGGATCCGTATGTATATAATACAAAAATGATGTATCAAGAGTGAAGATAACTATTCTAGGGGGTTCCATAGTCTTGCTGCACACTAAAACACAAAAATATATTTCTGTAACGTTTCGTCTGACCGGTCTGACCAGGTATGTTAGTCGTTGGTCTGGCCGTGAGGTAAGTATATAATGACCAAGGTCAGCCTTCCTCAGACATACCAATGAGCATATGTATATATGATCATTGAACATACATAGTTAAACCTTTAACTCAACGACTAACGTTAGTTTGGCACATTTGTTTAAATATTTCTTCTCTTTATGAAATTGTCAAATGTGACTGACGAATTACGTTTGACAGCATCAAAGTTTCCAGTCGATAATAAAAGGATGAAAATGGCATTCAAAATCAGGTTTCACTACAGCTGGATAAATAAACTTTTATGCTGGTTATATCTTATTACTGCTTGAAACCACTCGCTCGCGGCAAAACTGGAATATATTTTGCGGCCCCATAACTGACCAGAAGACATTCGGGTTTGACATGGCTGCTCTAGTCTAAGTTGTCTAAAAACGCAATAGTATTTGAAACTGATTCTTTTCTAGACGGTACATATAGCTCGTAACTATAGCCGACCAATAACTTTTACTGGGATAGCCGATCGGGGGCTTTTTGGTAGCGTATAATTTTACACTACTTTATCAAATATATTCATTTGCTTCATTCATAATATAATGGGTTTTACATATACAGTAACCATATCGAGAATGTCAATTTGTTTCGACTAAGACAGTAGCGTTTTGTGTTCGTTACAAGATTGCAGATACGATACAGAAGTGCTTCTATGGTCGAGATGAAGTTCGGAATATTTTATTTTTGAATCACAATGTTTCGACTCGAATATTTGATTCTATTTAGTATAACATCATATTATCGTTAAATTTTGAATAACTACAGAATAAATTGTGAATAAATACCATTATGTATTGAACTAAAGAATGAATATATTTAGTAGAATGTATATGGAGAGAGAGATGCTGATGATGTTGGGGATAAAGACTATCGCCCTATATATTTAAGTTCGATTCCCGCGTTATTGTTTTGACACGCATTATGGATTGTGACTCCAATCTGGACTCCTTCAGACGGTAATAAGCACACAGTGTTGATGCTAATCGTTGTTGTATATTATAGGAACATGCACAATCCAAAATTCCAAAACAGATAAAATTGAAACACACTTAACTTTTAACACAGCAAATCAGGAGTAAACCAAAACACATCACACTTAACGCAAAAACAGAAGTGAATCTAAACACAATATTATGCAGCCCTCTCGGCAAGCCGGGACGATACGTCATCAATTTGGTCGATACGAGAAAGGCAGTACATGTAATCAGTAATCAGTGTTGCGACAATAAAATGACCTATTGTGTGAAATGGAACACTCTATTAAAATGAAAGGGTTAAATACATTATAATCCATAGTTACACAATGCACATTCGCTACACAATTCCCCCTCGACAGTAAAAAAAATTAACTTGGTAATTTTTTTAATTTTGGAGTCCGGCCGCCGAGAGATAAAGTGAAAGAAAACAAAATAACACGAATTAATAAAAGATATTGGTACGATATGATGAGTAATGGCTAAAGTATACGAGAGAATATACGCCGTTTACGAGAGAAAACAAAATACGAGAAAAAAATTCAAAGGGTCTCTCTCTATGTTGCTTAGAAATACTTATCATTTTAAAATGGAATTATAACGCAATAGTAAACAAAATGTCGACAATACTTGAAGGGACCTAAAAGAATGTAAAACGGCTTTGATGTTTAAAGGAAGGGCCTGAGAAGAAACAAATGGCTGATTTAGTACTTGAGAACTCCACCGAAATTGGTTTGGTGTTCAAGATTGTAAAATAGGCGTTAACAAAATAACAAGAAAAAAATTCTGTAAATTGAATAATGAGTAATTTGACAGATTATTGAACCATTGAATCCCCGAAATTGAACCTAAATCAAATTCTGTATGAAGTGAAAGAACTCATGATATCTAAAAAACAAGAATTATAAGTAAATACACAGAAAAGAAAACTGACACTACACAATTTTTTTATTTGTATGGTTTTTGTTGTTGTTATATTTAAATTCTTATAGTAAAGTGTTTTAATGTTTTATAATGGATAATAATAAGAGAAAAAGTAATAAAATACAAGACTAATAAAGTGATAGAATACAAGAAGATTAATAACTAGGGGATACATTGCGAGATACACCGCTACGGGTTGTCGTGGTATGCTGAGAAGTCGTTGTATTGGTTGCAGCAATCCATTTGTTAATGCACGGCGAACGGACATTCGGCAGTTTGGCAAGCTTCGATAAAACAGGGGTACAGCAAATAAAGCGTAAATGAGGCCAAATAGCGGCCACGCCTTTATGACGTAATCTGACAATGTCTTCGCAGTTGTATGGTGGCCCATCGTTGTCACGCTTAAAATTGAAAAAAAAAATAAAATAAAAAACTTAAAATAAAAGTAAAATAAAAAAATAGTTGTGAAAAAACATTAAAAAAAAAAATGAAAAAAAAAAAAAAAATTAAATAAATTGCAAAAAAAAAATTAAAAACGAAAATAAAATAAAATCGAAATTATAAAAAAAAAATTAAGAAAAAAAAAAACGTGAATAAAAAAAAATACAAAGGTTGACAACGATGGCCGCCTCAAGCCTGTTTGTTGTCTACTTAAAATTATCACATCAGACATGCAGACATGTAACACAAGAGTGAGTTTGTTGGTTAATTTGAATATTGATGTTCAAACATTCAACTATCACGGTACTTGAATTTATTTAGTCTCACGCATGGTAGTAGATAGTCTATCTGTCTATAACAACATCTAACTTATAATTTATTTATCCCCAAAAATTTATTTTGAAGTTAGGTTCAAGGCACTATATTCTACTAGCCAGACAATCCGTATCTCCCATTCGTTTCATGAGTGATTGCATGGGTACAGGTACGGTCAGACGGTACCGGTATCGCAAGAGTGTCCGGACAGCTGAGCAGCATTCTCCAATTCAATTACCTTTTACACGTAAAAACAAATTTCCCGAATTTTCGTACTCAATTCTATATTCTCTTATCATTATTATAAATATATTACTTCTAGTTGAACTTGTAGCATGGAGAATTTATAGAACATTTTCGTTTTGAATTTATTGAATATTGCTCAAGAAAATCAGTGAGTTAGAAACCCAGTAAACACCGTTTGTGCGCGTAGGATTATGCATGACAACGTTGGTCCCAAGCCGAAGCAAATTTTCTCAAAATAAAAACGCGTGACAACGATGGGCCACGTGTATTTTTTTTTTTTAATTTCTTTTTTTTTATAACTTCGTTTTTATCTTATTTTCATTTTTATTTTTAATTTTTTTTTTGCATTTTATTTTCATTTTTTTTTATGTTTTTTCACAACTATTTTTTTATTTTACTTTTATTTTAAGTTTTTTATTTTTTTTTATTTTATTTTTTTTCAATTTTAAGCGTGACAACGATGCGCCACCATACAGTTGTTATTTACGTTTAAAACCAAGCCATTGTATCATGGTTAACTGAGGATTGTATACACAATAGGCTTCGTTTGATTCAAAGCAAGATTTAGTTGAGAGCAAGTTCGAAGGTAAGGCTTTGGCCAATGATCGGTATTTCCAATCGGTAAGATTGTCCGATGCATTGTAATATAACAAGAGTTCGGTAGCGTTGAATTTCGGAAAGTTGCGAGCTCTACAAGCTTTCGTATCTTCAACATTCCAAAAAATGTAAACCCACCTTTCCGGAAAAAAAACAGAATTGGGTGCGCATTGTCTGAGGTATTTGAACGTTTTTTTTTTTTTTTTTGGTTTCGCTTGACGAAGAACAGCCATGAAATGGTTCGCCAGTAGGTCGTTGTACGTTTACAAATCTTGGTATCAACATTTGTAAGAAGGGTAGGTGTCTCGTAGATGTTTGCTGAACAATTCTTTATTGTATGACGTTTGTGTCGACTACAAATAGCTGGTTTGCGTATGTCGTAAGTCTGTCCATGTAACGATTTGTGACATAATTTCAGTGGTCCCTCAACGGCTTGCGTTCTCATACAAAGCATGACAAAGCAAAGTAATGTGTAGAGAAATATGGTCATCAGATATCCATCTGAAATTCGCTTGATAGAATAAAATCTTTGCTTAAATGGCGTGGGAGTTTTCCCAGCCTTCGCGGCCGATTTGATTGTTGCTGATTTGACATTTCCGGAGACGGCCCCAGTCGATGCGCTGAATCTGTAAAATGAATTATTGCATCGCAATTTGGTCGTTTCGTGCTTGTATCGGATATCGTATTATTATTTGAAATATTGAAATTGAA